TAATTAGGAAGCCCTTTTTATCCATATTATACATGTGCCGAGGTTTAATGTCATATTCCTTAAATTTGCTACCCAGTAGATTAAAATATAGGCTGTATTTATCACCTAAGTTGGTATTATGGCGATTACTATCCATACCGGCTACCCATTAAGAGATGAGATGGATGCTATGTTAGTTAATAAAGCGCGTAACCCAGCTCTCACTTACTAGCTCCTTTGCTATTATTAACGCGAAATTTTATATCATTTCTCTTATAGGTGGTAAGTAACGCGCTATTAGCCCTTCTATATAGTTAATAAGCTCTACCTCTTACTATAGAGTGAGTTTTTATTAGTTGGTGGTCTTTAACGCGTGCGACTGTATAACTACGTAGTGCCACCACAAAAGAATTAAGTGCTTAACGCCATGCTTACTAGCTATTTTCGTATAACAGAGTTTATCGCTAGAATCTAGCGAGTTTATCTCTGCAACCGCATCGTCAATTGGAGCCATATTGGTGGAGTTGTGTGGTGTCCAAGTTTGACATGTTTTCGGGCCGAGCGTGCATCACGCGAATCCGTGCATCACGCGCACGGACACGGTAGTCATTATCCTTGTACAGTTCCGTTCCCGTTCAATTCCAAGTTAGGCGCCATTTTCTTACCTCGACTTTGCTGTAGCCATGTCGAGTCTACTGGAAGCATGCGATCTTTATGCTGATGACGAGAACCAAGCGCTGATCTGTCGCGTATGCAAGTATGCCCTTGCTACGGCAGGCTCTCGCGTTACTACCCACCTTGACAAGAAGCACAGCGTAGAGAAGCAGGTTCGAAAGGGTCTGACCAAGTACATATGCCATCGTCCGTGCCAGTAATAGTGGGCGAAGGTCAAGGCGAAGGATGACGATGGAAATACAGCACTGCACTATACAGACTAAGGAACCGAGGTGGCAGCAGTGCGTCTACTGTTGGACAATAGAGCGACAGCTTTGAAAGGGAACAGGGCGATGATGCGGCTGCTGTTCAATCTAGGTGAAGACATCAAAGCAAAGGCCAACGGCCGGTGAATGGCGTTGCGCCGGGCAATTAAGAAAAGAAATAGACCATGGCGCGGACGCTAGTGAATAAAGGAGCGGACATTAGAGTGAAGGGAGCAAAGCTGGTTATTAGTTGGTATTTGCATTTCCGCATTATTGGTAGTACGCTATAGGCGCGATGTGCTCACCGCGTCTGCGCATCCTAGAGCTGGGTCCATCGACCGCTATTTAGATATATAGCCATTTAATAGACAGTCTCCAGAAAGTTGCAGCCTTAGGGAGCTAAAGCATCATCTTATAAATAGCTAGAACGTGCACGTTCATCTCCACCTCTACCTCCACCTCCTAATGGCAGAATACCTTGAATTTATGGTACAGGGACGTGTCGTAGCACGTTCCAGTCTGAACCTGGATCTCCGTAGGTTCATGTTCGCAGGTAGAACCTCTGTATATGAATGCTAGGTTGTCTGAGTCAGTATATATACTCTTAGTTATGGTTCTAGGATACGCGATGGACTCTCATACCCGGAGAGAGTCTTGATAAGAGAATAAATTTGGAGGACTCACCACGACAGGTATTGGCAAACCACGTAACCTCCATGCTGTATGCAGACAGGCTGTGGCACCCACCATCGTCGTAAGAACCGTCGTCGTAACTCCACATTCGAGCATTGCCCGCACAGTGCGGCGAATCAGAAAATGTTTTGAAATAGACTGCTGGTGATTCTGTTTGGCGAGTGACAAGGTCGAGGCCGATATTCTCGGAGACAAGGGGCACGGCAAGGCCAGTTTCGAGCAATGCGGCCGTAGCCATGAGAGTGAGAATCGACTTTGAGATCATGCTGAGGGTATTTCAAGATTAAGGAGATTAGGACTTCTTCCAAATGCTCAATATTGCAATTGTTGTTTGTTGGTGATGATGGAGTGGAGTAGTGAAAATGTAGTGATGAAAGGAAGAAGTGTGAGCGAACCACCTGTACATATAGACTACTGATCACGGATCTAGCACAGTACTATTAGCCGAGGCTCGGTGAGGCTAGAGCTCGTTCCACATAGAAAGTATGAGGGTGTGTATAACGTTAGACATAATTTCCCCAATTGCTTAAACACAGGTCTGTGCGCGAACTTTTCCGTCGCGCGGTCGCACAATTATCATCCCACTTTATTATTCTCACAATAAATATCAAGAATTATTTCTTTAGAATAATGGGGTTGTTTTAGTCCTAACTGCTGGTCTTTCATAACGGTCAGAATAACGAGTACGTGCAGGCAGAATTGGAGGATCGAACTAAGATTCTGTTATGTATAGCTATGAATTGTAAATGTAGTGCTAGTAAGACATAGCGGTGAGGTATACACGTAGTACAGCAGTAGAGATGTGAACTGTGTTACGTCGTATATCAAGAAAGACTCTAGAACGAGACAGATCCTCTATCGAACCACCGAGTCTCGTGCGTGGCCTGACGACGATAAGTTACACAGTAATCTAGATTCTGCAGTGATTTCCTCAGCTGGCGATATCCTTATGTCCTCTTCTTTCACATTTCTTTTGCTCCTGCCCTTAACATTCTTCCTTCTTTCGGAATTCATCCCTGGGCTGCCTTCTTTAGCGGAATGAACTCCTTGCAAACATAATCGGGGTTAGGGTTACGCTAACCGGTCCCCTTTCTTCGGCTGAAAGGGGTATCTAAGTGGCCAGAAACTGTTAACGAATCAAAATGAAATCCTCATCATACATTTAATGATTCCGCGAACCAATTTGGTCACCAATCGCACCCAGTTGGTCCGGAACTTGGCCGCAGAGCTCTCATACCTACCGAGCCGGCGATCGGTTTGCTGGACAGCTGCCTAATTGTTCACGCAGTCACGCGTTCCGTTGGGGCAGAAGAGCTCTGAGTCTTCGATGCTCTGTGTGAACCTGTCGCTGGGAGCGAAATCGGTATAAACGTCTAGAATGAGCATGCAGGACAAAAGTGGAGGAAAAAGAATGCCTAGGTGCGAGATTCTTGCTTTCTTGGCAGCTTTCTCACTGCTGGGATCTGCCATCGTCTTTAAAATCGTCTTGCTAAATAAATAACTTAGTCACAAATAACAGTCGTCGACTTCCCCGTCGATCGTATAGAGAAACACGAGCTTAGCAACTCGACCCTGGCCAATTTCCTTGCAAAGCCTCGAGAAGACTCGGTCACCTGCCGATGGTAAATCCCTACTCCAGCGAGTCGCAGTTGATATGCTGGTTGTGTGATCTCGATTAGGTACCCAGTAAATGGGTTCAGTTGGGACGCAGTACGCTTGATCAGGGAGAGGCAGAAGCTGCATGGCCTTGCTGTCGAAGATCTTTTGCATACCAGAAATCGCACAAAGGCGGACTGGTACCCGGAACCCGTATTTAGTATGTCTTGAATTAACCACGTTGAAGAGCTAATCCAGCATAATCCTCTTGACTTTACAGCGGCTCATCCGTACAGCGGAGAGTACAACTGGGTCATCAGTATCTCGAGCTAAACACGTTAATATTCACAGCCCAGCTTCTCGGGATATTCAAGTTTCAGCCGAGTACAAGGAATCTGTGAGAACGTTGCAAGCTTTTCGCCACGACGTGGGTGACGAGAGAACGAAGTACATGGAGGAAAATTCCTCCTTGGCGTCGAAAGGGCTCATGATGTTTGTGGAACAAGTGTCGATTTTTCTCCAAAGCGATAACACGCTTGTCTCGTTTCTCGAACATTCCGCCGATGCCATAGAAGAACTAGTACTCAAGAGACTGCAGTCTTCTGAGACTGTCCTGAGAAGAAGCGGTGATGCGAGCATGGTCATGCACGCTATCACTGATGGAACTGTTGATTTTGCCATACCGATCGCGACAGCTTACGAAGAGCATAGCAGAGCTGGAGCTGGAAGTTTTGATGGAACCACACATCGCTCACTCGACAGCCCTGTACATCCCTCCTTGCCTAAAGACGTAACATCGTCTCGAACGACTGACGGGACATAGCAATATTATTACGTCAGAACTCTCACTGCTACGGTCCCAGAGCGCTCCGATCTCGGGTATGGTGAATGCACTGCGATAACACAACTCTAACCCCCTCGCACAATTGATGGAATCATCTCGAGACTCCTGTATCTCTCCTATCGCAAATTCACCGCCCCCTTCACTCCCAAGCATCCGTCCACTGGCTCTATCACTATTATAACGCTCGCTCATATTTATTTTAGCAATGTGGTAGATAACTGCAATATGGTTCTCGAATCATTGGAACCCATACGCCGCTCAGCCGGCAGGATGATCTCGTTGATTTTCAATACCATGGACGCATATCAGAACGAGAGCATGAAACAGATAACTTTTGTCACGATTCTGTTTCTGCCAATTACGTTTTTGGCAGGTTATTTTGGTATGAACTTCGAGGAGTTTATTAATTTACTCTGAAAAATAGCGATGCATATTTTTGGTGGCTCTGCATCCCCATCACTTCGGCGATGATTGTCATTTTAATGCGAGTTAACATCATAATATTTTGCACAAACGATTACTGAGAATGTCTAGACGGCAAAGACTGTGGCGTGCGATTAAGTGTTTCTGGCGTCGAAGGGATAAAGTGAAGTCTCGTAGAGAGAGACAGTCACAAGAGCTAGTCATACTGAAGAGGCGGTGATCAAGCTATCAAACTGCCAAAGGCAAGGGCATGTACCTTTGAAACCGGTCAAAAGGCCCAATGCTAGCATATGTAGCGTTATGCGACGAGTTTCCCATTCACTTAATAAGACAAAGCTACATAACGTCCCCCCCTACGTGACGGAAACCCCCCCGTGCAGACATAGAAAACTTTCAAGAATGATTAATCACCCACCACACAATTGCTGAAAGCCATGCTTGAGCTATAAGCGTAATTCATATAGTAAACCCGAAATATCGGCTTGCAGCCTAGAATTACAACACATCCACGGTGCTGTTGATCATTACTTGCATCTATCTGCAACACTATAAACGTCTCACCCCTACTGCACTGCGATAGCACTAATATTACTTTCTTTTGAAGCCTTTCGGCCGCTGTAACAATGATTTTAAGGGTAGCTAACGTATTCTGTACTTCCCAAACCGCTATTATGTGGATTTGTAAAGTTCCTCCGTTAGAGAGTATACGGTCTTCTTAGCGTAGGCTATCCCGAGGGCGCTTACTCAGTAATCTATTCCTACTTAGAAACTCAACACTAACTCTAATAATCTAGTTCTCTCCGCAAGTCAGGATTCAATGACATAAGCCGGCCACACTAGCAGAGCAAGCCAGGCCTATGGCTGGTCCATCTCTGGCGCTGCTAATGGCTTGGGCATGTTGCACTTTCATTAATTACTTTGTTTCCGTATTGCTTGCAAGATAGCCTACGTTAAGGATTGGTGCTGTGCTAAAGGCTCTTAATGACATTGAGGCGACAGGAGTCGCCTCACCGGTCAGCCTACGCCATGATGCAGCCTGGCGGGCAGCGCGTACAACCACGACTGTGCCGTCTTATCACCTTTTGTCCTTCGACGCCCTATTCTATTTCGTCAACTTCCAGGTTTCTTGCGCCGACCGATATACTGAATGAATCTAACGAGCCACACGTGTCGCGCGTGCCATGAGATGGCATTCAACCTATAGTCATGGCTCTCATACGCCTCTTGCAGCGTAGACCAGACGGCGGCATCGTCTTCCGTGAAACGACCAATAGCGATGTTCCCGCATACGCAATACTTTCACATACTTGGGGAGAGGAGGAGGTCATTTTCCAAGACATGAAAGGCGGCGTGGACATGAGCAAGGCTGCTAGCAAGGCTGGATGGAAGAAGATACAGTTCTGCGCGAGGCAGGCCGCGGTAAAATGTTACTAACATTCAACCAGCATTAGTCTTAATGGGATGTGTTATAAACTCCCCTAGGCTTCCGAATCTACATTTTTTGAATCTCCATCTGCCTCCTACCAATCCACCTACATTGACTGATCTTCGCGTAGGCTATTTTGGTGAGTTCGGTGATATTGATACCCTGTCACTAAAGGCTAATACTAGAAAAGGTATTTGCATTAATAGTTCATCTGGCTTTGTTTATTCCACGACCCATGGAATGAAAGCGTTAGATTTAGCGTCCAAGTTTTGGAACACTACCACTCTTCTTCCCAGCGTTAATGTGTCCAAGCGCCTCATTGAATTCGCAATGACTCTACAAGGGAACATATTCCCTCCACTATTGGCCGGCGCTGGTGCCATCTTTGCCCTAGGCGTTTTCTTTTTTATCATGCTCCAAAGAGACGTAAGAGTAGGCGACTAAGTCATCCAAGGAATAAGTAACAAGAAGCTAAGCCTAGAAAGAATGGAGAGATATTGAAAAGGTGCCACTATATCTTTCTATATATCCTTAGGGCTGGCTTTGGCTTCGGTAATGGTAGTAGCATAGACAGCAGCTAGTATACAATTCACACTTCAGGCGATTAAAGGCCAAACATCAGAAACGCTACGGAACTCTAACAACCTCTTTTTAACTGGCTGGCAAGGGACTACCCATAATATCAAGCATTACTACCGGAAAGCCGAACCAAATTCTATAGTGGTTCATTGTCGCTTGCTCGGCAATTTTCTCCATTAGAATTGTTCAGATCTTCAACGAGCCATTTTTCAAGGTTGCGAGGAATCCATATATAAAGGACCTACCAGCTATACCTCTATAAGGCCCACCTCCAATGGCTGGCGGGACACTACCTAGTATAGTAGGGCCACCTCCACCACCTCCACCACCACTTCCACCCCCACTTCCACCCCCAGTTTAATAGGACATAACCACTATTCTTTTTTATATAACGTACTTCATATGCGAGCGCGCCATATAAGCGAGCGCGCCACCTCCACCTACTTTAGATAACTTACAACTTAGAAGACTCCACAACGCGCGTACGTACTATAATAGATAGATAGCTCCTATATTATATTGCATCTTACACATCTTTCTGGCACGTATGAGAGTTATAGCTAGCCTTACTATAGCATCTATAGTACCTCTTACTCTACCCACTTATACGCGCGCGCGCATTACTCTTATATATCTCCTCTCCTAGCTACTTATTAACGCGTCTTTAAGTAATCAATTCCTCTCCATCTACTTAAGTTAAGGTCCCTTACTTCTAGATCCGCTTTCTTTTGCGCTGTCTGCGCTTTATGGCTACTTTATTGGCTCTCTTAAGGTTGGCAATTCGGCTTTCTTATAAGGTAGCTAAGTGGGCTATTACTTAAGCTCCCTTCTTAAGCTAATTAAGTGCTATAATTATAGATATAGGTAATGAGCTCTTATACCTTTAAACTTAATTATAAATTAAGGTTAATTATACCTCTAGCTTATGCGCGTTGCTTAGTGTTTTAGCTTCCTATATGGTGGCCTCTAGTAGATCTGGTGTAGGTGTATATAGTCGTATATTAAGCTTTAAGAGTACTATATCTAGGTTATATAGGACTACGCCAGCACTTTAGAAGCTTGCCTTAATATTACTCTCTATAATAGAGCGCTTAAATGCTGCTTTAAACGCTGGTAGGAAAGTGGTTTTATTAATATGGTTGATATAGTTGCGTACTAAGCCAGAAATTTAATTGCCATATGCCCGCTTTAACGGCGAGAAATAGCCCATATTAAGTGGCTGGAGTAGGTGCGATGAACAAGTAGGCATATAGAGAGTAATAATCTTGTTAGATTCACACAGTGATTTAATGAATATCGGTGATCTGGAGATGAGATGGGTTCATTGTTTGGTGTGTTGGCCGAGGTTCTATCTAGGGCGCCCTTTTGTGTGGGTCTTGGCAGATAACCTATCCTAGCCCTGTTTCGGCCAAGTCTCGATATCCTGCCTCCGGCCTCCGCCCCAGCCATCTGATAACAACATTGAGATACTCAGAACACGCCCTTATATCTGACAAATCTTACTCTTATCTACGTGGTGGCTGGCGCACCTGTACCTATTCCTAAAACGGTTTCACCCTTGCTTGGAAGGCATTCAACAAGAAAACAAGAACATCTATAGAAACGTGATGACACACTTCAATTAATCAATCATCACTTTTTCATCAGATACTTGACGATTCTCATCACGCGATTATCTGATAACAGCACTTAATCAGCTTAAGAAAGGTGCTAATATGATGGTGTATTCCGCCACGCTAATACGTGAACGGATTACAAGGCAAATAAAGGCAAATAAAGCTGCTATAACGCATAGAAATCACAAGAAGAAGCGAATCCAGCAGCGAGGCACCCTAACAAAGGTAGAGGGAGGAAATTATTGCTCAAGGGGAGGTTGAGCAGCAGCTTAAGGCGGAAACGCGTCAAGGTAAGGCGCGATCAGGTACTAGTCGGCAGGCTTCCGCGCGCTGTAGGCGCTGTAGGGAGACTGGCCATAACTCGCGAACATGTAAGAAGGATACTAGTGATGCAGCTTAATCTAGCATAGTAATTGTATTCTATTATCTCATTGTATTGTTGAGATATATTACTATAGAGGCATTAAAGTCTGGTGGGGTGGCCAGCTCGCTTGCCTGGTCAGCTCGCTTACCAAAATTGAACTGCCACAATTGCCACAGCTTGCGCATTAATGCCCGGGCATTATGCAAGCTAGTACGGAGGTGCATTTCAAAAGTTCTTGCCTCCCCCCGGCACCTTGGCGGACAGGGGTTCTCAGCCGTAAACTAAATGGGGTAATTGACTCCGTTTTTGACAGGGGTTTGACAGGGTGTTTGATAGGGGATCTATGAATCTATCTCCATGAACGATCTCTGCCCTCCTTGTACTCATTACCTCCTTCTAGCTCAATGATCTTTTGAATATGAATTGGGATGCGCTCAATCCAAGCCTGAATCTTATCCTGAGGTAGATCCTTCCAACACTTCTCCCATACATAAATTGCCTCAGCCCTAGACTTTGGAGCTCCTTTCTTTGTAGTTTCTCTTTTCATCCAAAACCAACAAGGCTCAATTGCATTAAGATCTGGTGAGTTCCCACACCAAAGAAGCCTCTCTATCTCTTATAGGCTATAGATATAGCTTTGTGCATAGTGACTATGTAAAAGAGCCTTATCTTCTTAGACTATTATTGCTGGCCTTTTCTTTTAACAAGATTTTGCGAAGGGGAAGAGCTTTGGGAGTAGGATTTTAGATTGGTAACGATACCAATCAATTCCAGATCCAGATCCTCGTGATAACTTGCCATTCCTTTTAGTCCATTTCCATTAAGGTTACCGCCCAGGTTGGGTACGTAGAGATAGACGCCGCATGCCATTTTCTATCTCCCATTTCTCTTTCATGATAGGTTCAAGTTCTTGATTCAATCTCTCAATCTCCTTTATAGCCTCCTCTTTCTCTGCCTTTGTCTCTGGTAGCCAGCAATGACAAGGTCCCTTCTCATCATATGAAAAGCAGCCCCAAAACATGAACTCAGAGTAGCCTTTCCACCTCTCTCGAATACAGCTTCTTACAAAGGCTTCATCTACTTTGCGCTAAACTTGATAGCCTCCGCGTCTATGGAGTAAAACAACAGAGGTTTCATCAGACCAGATCACATTCTTCCAGTCCTCAATAGTCCAATCTTTATGTTAAAGACACCAGTTTAGCCTCTCTGCCCTCATCTTCTTCGTCAGTCCAGGCTTCCTCGTTGGTTTTGTCTTCTTGAATCCTGCAATCTTGAGAACCCGCCAAACTATTATAGATGATACATTCACTCCCTTTTGACTAAGGTCCCCAGCAAGATCAGTACAAGATTTCTCTCGCCCATAGCGATCAGTGCGTACAGAGTTAATCACACTTTTAGAGATATTAGGTTGTTTTATTGGCCTGCCAGATCGTGGAGCATCTTCAAGATAGCTATTTTGAACTTGCAAAGGCCTTTCATCTGGATCAAAACCTCGTTCAATTGCCCGTGAATAGATTGATCGAATTGACCGTATAGGAACATGAGTAATATGATTGATCTCTGCATTTGTAGTGCCTATAGCTTTTAAACAGACAATAAAGGCACGAGTAGCAATATCATATTGAGGCATGGTTGAGTAATTGATTGGATTTGAATTGATTGAATTTGAACTGATTGAATTTGAACTAAAAACCCTTTAAAAAACCCTCCAAAAGTTGAGGATACGTATACTCGGAGTCAATTACCCCATTGAGTTTACGGCTGAGAACCCCTGTCCGCCAAGGTGCCGGGGGGAGGCAAGAACTTTTGAAATGCACCTCCGTAGGAGTCGTCGAATCGTTACAATCCGTAATCAGCAGCATCCGGCCCGTAATCAACAGCATACGGATCCACTGCGGGAACATAACGTGGCCATGCGCGTGATGCACGGGTTCGCGTAATTCGCACCCCAACACCATCACAGTTCTACAAGAAACGAGGCTATCGAGCCACATATTGTAGTCATTATTATTATAGGATTTTTTGGTGGAGTGTTATTGTCAGATTTAACCTCTTTAGGTCAAGAATCAATGAATGCAATTATAATGATTGCCTTAATTATTCTGTGCATGTGTTTTTTCCTCGCTAAGACTGTCAAATGAGTCTTTCACATGCGCTGCCCAGGACCTTGGAATATCAAGGTAGCTTTCCATCTAATACACCGGACAGCGCAAATCTGACACGTCTAATTCTATAAATACTAACCCGATTCTGATTGGATGCCTAAGCGAATCTAGCGGCTTGGTAAGGCCGAAGGCAAACTCCAAATGTTTGATCTGACTCTCTGTGCAGCAATCCCCCTCATAATAACCCCCTTCACCCCTTCATTTCTGCGATCCTGTAAAATACTTCGAGCTTGTAGCCGCATTCTTCATCTTAGACCTTGTTCCACCCGCTGAGGATGCTTCCATCACTCCTAGCGGATACTTATCATCGATATAAGCAAGATACCGACGACATTGCGACATGGCTTGCTACGACAGCCAGGCGATTTGGATTCTCATCTGATATACTCACAGGTAACTCCAAAATCTCAGCCCAACAAAAGAGTAAACGCTTGAAAGGAAAGGCACGGAAGGAGGGAAAACAGACTAGTAGCACCGATACTTCGCTGAAACCATCGACATTCGCGCCGAAATATACCATCGCCGTCAAGGACTTCATTACGTTGGCAGAATTTCTGGCACCCAAACTAGATGTAAAAGTTCCCACGCCAGTCTGGGAAACAATAGAAAGAGCAATTAGCCTACGACAAGGTCACAACGACTACCATGCTCAGCAGCAAACCGCCACTAACGGGATTGACGACGGACATGCGTACTTTTTGGGAGTCTTGGAGAAAGTGAGGGATGTTCTCAAATCCCGTCGCCAAACAGGACCTACTCCGCCACAAGGCCAAACCACTCCAAGCAGTGATCCAACGGAGGATGTTGAGGTTCGCCTCGACAACATGTTCGCAGCTTTGACGGTCGAAGAACCCTCTGAAGGCTTCCTCAATGCCCCGGACATTGCACCCGCCACCAAGAGCGATAAAGCAACTGCTATGTATATAGTTGAACCTTCCGACGACCCACTTGAACTTTATCTTGCAACTGCTGCTATGCTTCAGGACTGCTCCAGAATCCGAAACGCGATTCGGCATGCGTGGAGGTCGTATTCCCAGCGTGCTGTGACTCTCACTGCAGCCGCTATCACCACAGATGTCGGTATCAAGATAATACAAGAGTTGGAGGAGCAGTTCATGACGGACCATCCGTCCGAGTCTAGTACCGTGAATGCGAGAGGAAAATTCTTCGCGGTCCAATGCGTTCTTCAAGGTCAAGATCCATCAGCACGTCTGAGACACGACGATCCCATTAACTTCACCTTGTATGAACTTGCAGAAACCAGTCTCGTCAGTACACATAGTCTGGTAGACGCTTTTAGAAGGGTCCTCAAAGTCAATGATTTGCCATTGTACAAGCCCGGGTTTTACGGAGTGTTTGATCCGGCAAAGGACCGAGCGAGCATGACAGGCGGGGAGAAATCGGATGAAGACAAAGTCCTCCTTCTAGAACTTCTTTCGGACATCGTGTTCTTTCACCAAGCTAATAAGGCGGGTCAGCTGAAGGCAACTGACGAGTTTACAAAGGCCGTGGCCCTTCTTAAGAGCCAGGATCGTCATACGATGGCATTGGATTTCGCCGCTCAGATCCATTTGGACATACAGCAGTGCCTTAGGGGCCAGTCAGCAATGGGTGCCGTCGACTTAAAGATCTATGTCATGGCCTGTAAAGGATCTTTGAACCAGAACTTCGAGTTCCACGCAAATTTACGTGTCGAAAACTGGCCACGAGAGAACGACCAGCCTCTGAGGATGATCTCGGAAGTCATGGAGCGTTGGCTGCTGAAGGACACTTATGGTGAACTGAAAGCGAAGAATGTATGTCTCTCTACTAGCTCATAAACACGCTGGAATGCTGACTTCGAAACAGTTGACTGCACTGGGCATAGTAAGACAGATTCCGCGCTCCCGGCTTTGGGTGAATTTTAGCTGACGTTCCATAGCCTCTTGATCAACTGCCACCTTCGTACGCATTCTTCAAAGCTCACCCCTGGCTTTGCGGTTCCTTAATGTTTGGTATAAAGCTCGACATGCAGGAAATGGGTCTCGCTCTTCTCAACGCCTGGGGTTCTGCAAAGTTCACAGCCCAGATCTACAATGCTATTAGACAGGAAAAGTTTCTCACGAAGTCGTGGCAGGACATGGATCTGGCTATAATGATTCACGGCGAGCCTGCGATGTTTGTTGGCGATAGGCCCAAAAATATGGACGACTACTTCCAACGCTTTGCCCTGTCCATGGGCTACTCGGCACAGAACTTTGCCCAAGGCGGTAAGCGGAAGCATTCACGTCCAATCGTGTCAAATAAGGGTCCGCGCGGTGAACTCAAATTAAAGGACGCAATTCCGGTTGCATATGAGCTACGTTTCGGATATTCAAATTTCGAAAGCAAGACGGTGTCGGACCCGGAGAAAGTGTTGGCGAAGGTGCTTGAGATCGACTACGAACTTCATCCGGAGGTCGTCGATGGCCACAAACGTCATGGAAAGCGACACACAACACCGGAGGCTCTCACAATGATCTGTCAATCACTGGCCTCCGAAGATCTGGCATTGACCTTTGATCATTTCCGTCTGCACCGTCAAGCTTGGCGACTTCTTCGCGCCATCAAGGACAATGTTGCTGATGACCTCCGGCGTATCTACGGCCCTGGATATCTTGAGACCGAGAATCAACTCCCCTTCGTAGTTGGGTATATCTTCATGACAGCCGTCAAAACGAAGAAGCTCGGCGCGCTTCTGCTGCCAAAGAAGGAAGATATTGTCAGTTCCAAGCTGCTGATGAAGGCGTCAGAGGCTCTCGAAGGTATGATAGACAGCGGTGCAGGCGGACTGGAGATCAAGATTCTTCGCGAGAAGTACGGCATGGAGATCGAGGTCGAAGTGGAAGACGCAAACGGGGTGACTATCACTACCGCCATGGCCGGAATGGCTTCCACTTAAGCCGCTGTCTCGATAAAGAAGCACCGCGGTGTTGCGAGCGAGGAACTAGAGGAAGAGCGACTACCATGCTAAGTCGATAGGTATGTTTGTATTCTCGGTACCCTTGTGTCAGATGTCACGTATTGTCCGAATTCTGATGAATTTTGAATAATGGATTTGATGAAATTGATTGATTGTCCCTGTGTTGTCGCGTCGTGTGTCTTGGAAGTTCTTTATGTTCTTGTGTTCTCTCTTGCTCTCATCGGCAGTCTCCTTGTCCTACCTCGGGAGCCAGCCACCTCACTTTGGTTACGGGAACAGGGCTTCTGTCAAAGTAAGGTCAAGATGCTTACTACACATCGTGCTAAAATGCTGTGAAGTCAAGGATCTCTCTAACTGGATTAGCTCAATGGATTACTGCCAATGAATGAGCTACCGGCTATGCCGTAGTCCGCCTCAGAACGTCAGATCGCTGTCTTAGCCGAACTATGACACTGGTAGGCTTCCGCATTATTCGGTTACCGTGGCTAAACTACTATTATGGAGCAATGCACTAGGTGATACGCACGGATGTCTAGATAATGATGGTGTGGTTAATGCCACTGGAGGTTACTCAGCTGCTATGCTACCGCAAAGCAGTAAGTGGAGACCCAATAATTCCACGAATGCTATTTATTTAATGCTGCTTACGTTTACCGTGCATTAAGTCGGGACCCATATGCTGCTGGCCCTCATCATGTGACGTCAGTCTTTGTCCTTGCTAATGGATAATGCTGGCCTTCTTAAAATCAGTATTATCCCTTATCGTGCCGTCTTCCTTGGTTGGCCTGCAAGAATCCTTTGTGATTGTAATAAATCCATTATAATCTTTAGGCGTATTGGGGTTAAATAAAGCAACGAGGATGGGGAGATGCTCCTTAGTAATGCTCGTTGCGGTTTACCTGTATAGACTAGTAGTTGTTAGAGCAGCGCGTTTAGCTGTTGACTTTCTTAAGCTTGAGTGAGCCTAATCTAAGGAGAAATATGCTGTTGCACTCCCATATATACTAAACAAGTGAGTGTTAACGTTAGTTGCCGTGGACCATGAACTTGTCCATTATCTGCTAGACGTGCTGCAAACAGCCTCTTGGCTGGCGTTGCTATGGGGTGCTCTTGCTGTCGCTCTTGTATGTGCTGTTGCCGTCGACGTCGTCCTTAAATAGCTCCGATAACTCCAATGCCTGCTGCACGATCATGAACCGGGCGACCTTGATGACGGCCGATAATATGGGGGGTACTGGTTGGCGCCCTTCCAACGCCTGGCTGACCTGCACTAATCCATCCATGGCTTCCCACATTGCGGCTGCTACGGGCTCTTCTTCGGCTTCGGGCGCCTCTACGCTCGCCAACAACTCGGGTCGCTCCATGCCTACCAAATACGGCATCCATCCTGTCCGCTCCAACCACGGGTTCAACCTCGTCCCGCGCACCGTTCTGGATCGTCGTCTCGGCCCGCTTCTTCACCCTAGCCCATGCCTGGTCCATGTTTCTGACGACCCGCGCCCACGCCGTGTCGCTGTCCATGGGTTCGGGGGTGGATTCGGGCCGGTGGACCTCGGAATACTGTGACCCGATGCCCTGGACAAACAGTCGCTGGTAATGCACGTGCCTATGTCTCTGCTTGCTGCGTAGTGCTATGCGTTTCTGCTCAGCTTGGCTGGGATGACCCCCTCTGGTGGCTGGCGACCAATGGTGCGCTTTCTGCCAATGCTTCCTCATCGCTTCTTCACTCTGATACACTTGGTGGCACCTCTCCAGCTCCAACTGGCACATGAGCCCGTCTGTGTACACAGGTAACTGGCCGGTGGGATCGACGGCCTCACAGGGCACCTCGAGCTGGCTCGCATACTGGATCAAGCCGGCCCACCTACCCACCTCTTCCGCTATGGAGTCGGCTTCCTTACGGTGAACCCGGTGATGCCGCTGTAAATGATGTGGCACCTGGCTGGGTAAAACACCGTGCCTGCACTCTCTACATATCGCCAACGAATACTCGGGCAAATGCTTGAAATGCTAGCCTGCAACGCTGCTCTCGGCCATGCTGGTAATGTTAATGCTGCTGCGGTGGTGAGTTACGGGTTACGGGTTATGGATGCTGGATTGCTCAATATCGCGTAATGGTTAACGGGTCACTCTGCTGGCTGTGATACGGGTTATGGGTTGGGGGGCTGCTATATTGGTTGAAGTATGGATGAATGGTTATACTGGTAATAATATATATATCCTACTATCGATTTCTAACGCAATATGTCTTTTTGTACCGTGGAATCTGACACGCGACGTGACGCGTCGTTGCTCGTGCTGGATGTTGATCCCTATGGCGGAGTCGCCTTCGATGTCTGATCGCTGCCTCACCAACCTTACCCTACCCTAACGCGCAACCCTAACACCTGTAACCACACGGAATCTGTGGCTGCAAAATGGATGGGCGGTGCAGCTCGACGCGCTGAATCTCCAGCCCAAATTTTGGATGGATTGGCCTGCTGGAATGTAACTGGACCGGCAAATAACTTACTGGAGCTGGGCTACGTGCTATAAAATACGCAACGAAATGTGAATATTCTATTACTAGGAACACTGGACTTAGTACTGACTCCAGTTGCCGCCCTGGGATAGGGGGAGGCGGTAGAAAGTTACGTTCCCCTCCTACTTACCACCTAATCTTATTTCAGTAAGTGCTAATTAGCCAAAAGAGAGATTCTGGGCTAAGTCTTTTCTAGCATATATCTTATAACTAGGTTCTGAAACTTATCCCCTGGAAGAATTACTTGGGTTTGTAAACTCAATATTTCCTTCCCAAACCTTCTCATAGTACCGCTTGTGCTTGCGTCTTTGCCACAAGTACTAGATAACAAAAATAGGGGTTTTCTAACAAGACTGTTGTTACCCAATAAATCTAGTATCGATTTGAGACCACCCTGCTATCTGGTTCGCTAGCCAGCTAGTTGAATGTTGAAATGCTGAACATTGTTGCAACGAAAGTTGCGGGGAGAAAGATTGTGGTAATAACCGAAAGAGTTTTCATTGATATGGCGTCGTGTCTAGAGGACTCAGCTAGCTGCGCATTTAGGGAGTTGTCAATTTGACTGGTATATATCTGCATCTAGTGTATGCCATTAGGTTTCAAACTGTAAATCACTAGAGAATGGGTATTCCTTACTGTATTTAACTGCTGTTGAATACGACAGCGGTGGTTTTCGTTGAAATTAGTAAGGTTTTGGACTGCAGACTCAAGGTATTGGATGATCTTGCCCATGTAGGCCGATGCTTCGTCTATCCTGGTGGTCTGGGAAAGCTGATGATTTCCTTTATTGATGCAATTGAGGCAATCCCTTTGCCATTCGGATACCCGAATCATAAATGATATTTCTGTTAAACATGTGCTCAACCCCACAAGTAAAGAAAAAAAAATCATTCTGGGCCTTGCGCACGCTTTTACTATTCAGGATGCTGCATGGTGACCTTCGGGCCAATATGCCAATCCTCGTAACGCCCATGGCTTCTTCTAGCAAACTACATCACGCTCGATAGACTGAACATTATAATCTGTCGCCCTGTGTAGAAAGCAAAAGGGTAGGTAGATATAAAGGATGGAGATAAGTTCGTCCGCTGCTTTGGATAGATTCTCGAATGATCTCTTGAATCTGATTCTGGATTATGTATCGTTCCCATTGTCCTTCTAGAAGGTGCTCACATAATAAGAAACCCTGGGTAACACATGTTCTAAGGTTATAATGAAGAGACAGTGCCCACGTGCCTGACTGAATCTTCTCCGTTGCTTTGATGATAATCGCTGTTATGATATTAGTTTTGTACGCAAATCGAAAATTCGGTAGAACTCACGGAGTCCATTTAAGTCATCCATCATATTGTGTGATGTGGAGCCCCTTATCGGATATATTGCACATGCTCCATTAAGGTTAAAGAATGCTGGCATAATGGAAGGATGCAAACTGAACCACCGCTCCATAGCTTCGTGAGACTGTTAGGTGATTGGGATAGTAAGGTTGTAGACCTCCCCGCGAGGTCTGGAGCAAATCAGGAGCCTCAATCCAACAATTGCTGCTGGTGGACAACTTCCATTGTCCCGGGTCCATGTAGGGATAGCCGATTCGGATATGTCGCGTAATACTGGTGGGAATGTGCTTATTTGATCGTTCTAAGCAAATGTAAGTATAGAGACATGGTAATGGACCTGTAAAGACCTAAATCTTGTTGTTGACTCCATACATCCAGAGCTTGGATTGAGGAACTTTTATCGAAAGGCGTGCTTCATCTAATCTGTGCAAATATCTGGGCACGAATTGATCTAAACATAGATTCGGGTGATAGAAGAAAGGAACCCCTAGGAGATAATTGGGGTATATATCTCGGTCTCATTGTATTGTGTGGTTGTTCAGGAGCTTTGTGGAGTGACTATCAGTCGATAATAGAGACCATCGTCGCATCACAAGACTATTGACCTAGCCAAGGCTTAAGCAAGATTGTCAGATGAGAGTTGAAAGAAAATGGTCTGAATTTATTGATAGTCATTCCATCTGTCGATTGCTTGAATTTGGTGCTCGCATGTGACGAAAGCAACTTCCGTTTGCAGCCAGCAGACTATCAACACACCCTGGCGGCACCCTAGGTCAACCATGGAAAGAGGGGCACGTAAGCACACCACCGATGAGATAGCAGTCCAAAATTCGTATGCATTCTAATGGCCGGGCCGCGCACTCCTTAGCACGAGCCTGGCGGAGCTGAACAAGGAGAACCAGGCCTGGTACTTTGAGTACCAACTCACCAGAGTGCTGCAGTACGCGACCATTTGGAAGTCGGTCGTATTGCTCGATGAAGCTGACGTCTTCCTCAAGCAGCGTCACCACGACGTCGCCGGCGCCTTAGAGCACAACGCCCTCGTCGCTGTGTTTCTTCGGCACCTTAAATACTTCAGCGGTATTATTTTTCTCACCATGAACCGCATAGAGGTTTTCGACGAGGCTATGAAGAGTCATATTCATCTCGCCCTAGGTTATAAACCACCTAAGGTTGAGATGCGCCGCACGCTCTGGACAAAGTTCCTGGAGGTGGCTACAGGCCACGAGCTGAAACCTGACGTAGAAGAAGCTATTGACGTTTTCATTCAGACGGAGCTGAATGGAAGAGAGATATCAAATATGATTAACACGGCGCAGACACTCGCCCGTTTTAAGGGCTAAAGTCTACAGTTGAAGCATATTGAACAGGTTCTAAAGGTAAGAAGGGAGTTTGAGATAGGTCTGCGTAAGATAGTAAGGGAGGGGAAAACTTCATCGACGGGGCCAATTGTAAGGCGGGGTTCAATATTAGCATTGGTAGGCGAGTGTTAGGATCCGCTCGCGCGTGGCGCGGGGCACCGGCTTATTATACTCCTAGACCAACAATTTAAGCCATTCGCCAAGGACATGAAAGTTAGGAGGAGGTATAAGCTAGTGCATATGGATACCGGTACCGAACACCTCGGGTTTCGGAACACCTTGGCAAAACGCCACACCTGCACAGAACACGCCATATCTCCCCCCAACACACATTAAAATGGATGCCCGTGAGCTCACTATTCAATCAGCCATCAATAGCCTGGGGTTACCGTGACAATTAGAAGAAGCCTAAATGATAAAAGATACGCACTGAGATCGGGCTAGCGCGGATATTCTATTTGTCAGACCTCCCCCACCATGGACCAGGCGGCTCACCCTAAGGTCATGTGACTTGGACTATATAGCACTAGGAGCTGGCGGGTAGAGCCCGTCAGCGATTCGTCTATCCTACATCTAAATGCTACTATCTCTCCACTGTTGAAGTCAAGGCTACACTGTTCACCCCATACCTCTGACACTATTCCTAATAAACCCTATCTTGAAAATGGACTCAGCCCTGACTCCAATTGGCGCCCTGGGTTAGAGTACTGAGGACTGTGCCGAAACCCCCCGTGGAACTAACAATTTTGACAAATGCGGCACCGTGTCGACGAGCGTTACAAGACGCAGTGCCGCAAACGCATGTGACACCAGTAACAGAAGAAGGCCTTATGTCGCTGCAAAATCTAATCCTCCAAAGCGACGCGACGCTTATGCTTTTGACGAAATAAGCAAACAAAGCCTACAGCGACACTTACTGAAATTCGCTAAAGCAGCCCAGTAATCCTTTGTAAAAGGTGCTCTTCAGCAGAACCACATTCGACTTTTAATGGGAATCAATAATGAGGCTAAGCCTCGACGATCAACCAAGTCAGATGTGTTGGCGAAGGGGTCCGGCAGAGTGCTGAGTTATGAGGATGTCCAAGAACTACGGGCGAAGCGTGCTGAGAAAGATGCTGCTAAAGAGGCCGGCAAGGGGAAACGTGGCCGGAAGCGTAAGAATACTGCGCTGGAAGCAGAGGCCAATCCGCAGGATACTGAGGCTGGTCCAACGGTACCGAAGCGCAAAATCGCGAAAGTGAACGAAGGCAAGGCACTGGAAGCCAGAGAAATGCCGCTGAAGGCACCAATAGCAAATATGTACTAGAAAGTGTTATAGTCTGAAGATAAATGTCAATGCTAAGTTACCTTACATGGAGGATGAAGGCTGAACAACGTAGAGGCTAAGGCCAGTTCAAGATGCTACCATGCTAACTAACGTTACATTGGTCAGATCATCATGTGACGGTATCGGCGCATTTCATTCACAAGATATCGGACACTGAGCCCCATAAGATCGCTAAGGACGAAGAGGGGTGCATCAGCAGAAGGAAAATACTTGAAATCGAACTTAGCAGTCGTGAAGAGAAAATACACGCCTAGCACGAAAGCAATTAAAGAGCGTATGGGCGAATCCTTAGCCGACTACATGGAGAAATGAAATAGCAGAATCGCCAGCACGGGGAAATCAAGAATGTAAAGATTTGAGGAGATCGGTGAAGTCCATGCGTCTCGGGACGTCCCACCATCCATCCTCAGTGTTAACCCAAGGATTCCGGCTCTCGGTCCCTCTCTGATACTTCTTCAACATGCCTACCCATGGGCTTCCTGGAAAAATGTTTTTATCAACTGGCTTCAAAGCCATCTTCTCTTCCAAGTATCTCGGCCAATGCATGGCATAAAACCCACCGATCTCTAACGATCTCTTCACCTTAAGTTGTGCCAGCCCGCGTATAAAAACGACGCTTTTCCCTAGCCCAGTATGTATTGGACCCTCTGAATCCCAGTAGACACTCAAATTTTGGATGTTGGTTGCTTCTCGTTGAAGTTGGTCGAAAAGCACGCACCATCGCTGAGGACTAGGTGCGGCGTCGGTCGCGTCGACAAAAACGGTAAGGTCAGAGATTACAGCAGCGTTGTTTGTCTTGAGCCAGGTCATAAGAGCGTCAGGTTGCGATACGTTGATAGCGACGGATTGGAGGAGATCATCAGGTGCATCGTTGAGGGTAGAAAGATTTTGTAAAGTAGGGTCAGTCCCCTCTTTCCAGTAGTAACCTTTCTGTCTATGGAAAAATATGTATGGAGGGGAATACATCATGAATTAAGATGATGCTACCTTTGTTTGAGGATAGAAAGAGGGGGAGAGATGTTAGATGTGGGTTGATGTAGAAAGAGGGGAAGGAAAGATGAACATGGTTTCATCAACTCTAGGCTCACATGCCAATCCAGCCTTGACACATGCAGGTGCCCGAAAATGCCATGTGGCAAATCCTAATTGGTCGCATGAGGTCTCACAGGATCTCAGCAAGCAACTACAAACAACTGCATGAGACTCGCAGCTATCTTCTTGAATTTACTCAACGAGATACTGTGAGGCATAAACCATGTATGCTCCCGTATGCTGCACTACGCTTTGAGAATCACTACTCTGTCCTCCCAGTTTTAGGCCGGATCGAAGGAGAATGTAGTTGGTGCGATGCCAATAATAAGCGCGGGGTCACTGCTGTTCCCATGAAAATTGACATCTGCAAAACACAGCTTGAAACCATTTCACGTTCTAGCAACAATGAAATTTGAGATAAATGAAACGCATGTTCTTTGCTGACTGTGCAATGTGATACTCGGGATTGTTGACGGCTCCCCAATGCTGATGTTGGCGGGTGTGGCTGGCTCGATTGCAGCGATGCCTAATCACCACGCGACTGACTCCGCCCGGACGGTTCGATCCGCACACGAACCAGTTCTAGATTGCCGCAAACCTCCTTGTTGTATTTGGTAGGATCAATGCTATTATACATTGCAACAGTTAGGACGCGTCGTGTCACAATAACCCCGTGAAAATTCCGGCAACTACAGAATACCATTCTATGTAAGTGTGAGTTGCAGACTTTCAACAAGCCGTGCTTGCTTAAGGAAGTACTAAAAAGGAGTGGGTTCCATTTTTCATGTCTTAATACTGCCTCTTTGTATGCTATTGCGAAACGAAGCAGACACATGTACACTGATCGCTTCAATAATGTGGTCCTGCATATGAACAGATTTTGTTGTGAAGTTAACTTGAGTATAGTAGAAAGGTATGGCTGTTTGACACGCAGATACAAGGCAACAAGAACTCGAATAGAATGAGAATGGGACCAAAGAGCAGCGGGTCTCCCTCGCTCCTGTGATGCCTCAAAGTATGCTATAAGTCATAGCCCGTACCTAGATTTCAGGTTTCTCCACCAATCCCTAGCCATCCACGCATCGAATTCGGTGATTTCTGTCGCAGAGCCGGCCAGCATGATGAAATTCGTCACCCCAGTGGGAGTCCAGTCGTAGAAATCGTCGAGCGCGAACGTGTGGCCCATTTCATGGAGTATAATGTGGATGTTCTCGCTGTTTAAGGCGCCGAGGAAGTAGTCGGTGCCGGCACGCTGACCCCAGTCGCCTCCTGCGCCACCTTCGAAGCCGTCAGTCAACCATAGAGATTGGTCTATTAGCATGGTCAGTACTTGTACAGGATATTTAAAAAGAAAACAGAATAAGGTACTTACCATAGTGACGGTCAGCGCCCGCAGTACAACGGCTATAATCCGCGTCTTGGTGGAAGAAGCGGCCGCAGTTCTCGGCGCACTGCGGAATGCCATCTGCATCCTTATCGGTGTACACCTGGATGCTAGAAGTATCGCCCTGGAGCAAATTCTTGTCGCGAACCGCCCAGCCCACAACGTTCACGTCTACTGTCTTGTACGGAAATTTCTCAAAACCAGCAAGGACAGAAATCCATTTGTTGAATTGTTTGCGGACAGCGGCTTCGATCTGAGTGCGTTGGGCCGCCGAAACGGACTTGCTCGAGTCCCAGCGTACGCAGTAGTTGATTTTGCCCTTTCCGGCCATGACTTGGTCGTAACCGTAGTTCTTGAAGCCGAGGGGATTGCTGTAGGTGGAGATCTCGTGATCCCAGACCTGCTTAAGGGGAACCACGAGGTTAGACGGTGGGTTCCAAGTCGTCTGCCCGAGGTCGCGGCTCTCGAAGGGCAATTCCGTGACGTCGCGCTTGAACCTGCAGATAGGAGCTGCCGTGTTGGGGATGGTAGCAGCGAAGGCTCCGCCTGCGAGGAGAGTGGAAAAGGCAAAAGTCTTCATTGTGGAACAGTGACGTGCCAGCACTATCTACCTGTGAGGAGAAATTTGAAGCGCCCGCGGGGTGAAGAAGGAGATGAGGGAAGCACACGAATAGCCTGCGTATCCTGATCTTTTTAAGCCCAACTGAGGAGCGGCAAGTACTTGGCGGCCGCCGCAAGTTAAAGGACGAGATCTCCGCACTCTGCCCTTGGCACGACAGATTCGTTTCTCATAGTTATTTCGCTGGAATTAAAGCGCCTCTTGGGAAAATCATTTCGTGAAGAAAACGCCTTGGCGAATTGCGAGTACAACGCGGAGAAATCGCTATAGGCGCAAACGAAGCTACGCAGCAACGGGTCCCGCGTGGAAATCCTTGTGAAGTAATACCTACATGCCAGAGAATCCACGACAACGAATAGGAGATTTTCCGTGCAAGGTGCTTTAGATGATGCAAATCGATCATCAGGGGGAAGATGGATCCTGTTTCTTATTAGTGCCTCCACTAATTGGTGGGGTTCGCTGAAACGAAACACAGGAACCCGGTTGTAAATTAAATGAACAACTAAACAGATTCTGGCACAATGACGCAAGCTTCCTTGATAATCGAATTATTAGGGCGCGCGGATTGTTACACAGGTATCAAATTAGCCATAACATAGTGGAACACTTCAAAGAAAGCAGCTGTGCGAAGGTCGCGCTTCTCGAGGCCCAGCATATGGAAACCGATCCATCTGGCGCCGGCAGTGTGACTTTAAAACATAACTGGATTTCTTTTGTGACAGAAGCACTTGCCCATGAATTCTTGAATGAGAAACTGAACCCATGATCTCGAGAAATTGTGAGGTCTGTAGTGTCAATACAGCGTCTGCAGTGGAATTCACCACTGATATGGAGATATCGCATACCGCGGTGCTTCACATTCATCCCTACAATGTAGCGCCAGCGCAGACAGACTGTTAGATAATCTACCATATGTTAACATGTAGCAACCCAACCCAACACCGAACTAACCTTCAGCATCCTCCTCAACCCGCAGTCTCTCAAGCTTTCCTCTCCGCATCCACAACGAGGCTTATCTGTCTCGCTGTGTTCGTCGCCACCATCTCCCCTTCATTCTCATGCACGAGGAACTCGTCGTCATTCAAATGATGGTGTCTCCACCAGAAAATCGCAGTTTGAATGAACAGCGCTATGGCAGGTCCAGCCCAGACCCACTACATATTCAGTCAGCAGTGTCCCTTTGCGTTCACAGCGAACAATCAAGGCTTACAATCAGATGCGGATCCACGATGGCAGGAATTAGAATCTCGCTCAGTGCCACACTCAGCGCGGTGTTGAACAAAAACAGGGCAACGACAATGCTTTTCATGCGCGGCGGCGCACGCGCATACGCCAACTCATATCCCGTAACATTCACGAAGACCTCAGAGATAGCGCCCAGGCTAACATTTGGCAGCTGCCACCAGATGCTGATGGGACTGACATCATCACAGGTGGAAGCTGCGTAGCCGCAGGGCGAGGTCTCGTACACGCGGTACTGCAGAACAGCGCCGATGACGCCTGAGACAGCTGCGAGGAGGAAGCCCGTGGTGATGCGGGAGATGCGACCAAACTTGATGTTGTAGCGCTGGAGCAGAGGGTAGAGGCCGTGGCCGAGTATAGGCGTGACGATAAGGATGGTGAGGGGATTGAGCTTGGCGAGGAGGTCGTTGGGGGCGCCGTTAGTAGTCATTGCCGCGCCTTGATTGGAGCCGACGGCGCCGATGCCGCCGTCGTTCATATACCAGACGGGCATGTAGAGGAAGATCTGGCAGGCGACGAGGGTACGGTAGACGTCAGTCACGTCTTTGTCGGTCCAGGATACGGTGATATTTTTGGCGGCTAGGGAGGAAGGTTTTACAACCTCCCAGTAGTTCTTGCCCCACAGCCTGTACTTGTTATGTTTGATAGCTGTGCCGATGATCTTGAAGAACTGTGGAAGATCGGACCCGGAAGGTGGTTGCTTGACCAGCCTTTTGTTCATGAAGACTAGGAGGATGGGTAGCAGGAAGTATACGATACCAGGAAGCAAAAACGCAGCCCAGAATCCGACATACTTCTCCGTGTAGACACAAGCGATAGCGAAGAATGCCCCGACATTGATGAAGGCGTAGAAGTAAAGACAGATGCGCTGGATCGTGGTCTCGGGGTCGACAATGACTCGTTCGCCACCCGTCAGGGTCTTAATGTACGGCTTTTGGTGTTGGTACTGGTCGAGTAGTATAGGCGATACGTTTGGTTTGAAAATACCTGCACCGATGGCAAGCAATATGAAGCTGACCATAAAAGGCGCGAGACCTTTGCCAGCCCTGAGGAGTGATGGGGCTGCACCGCCGATCATGATAACGTGCGAAATACCGCCGATAATCACACCCCAGACGATAGCTTTGAATCTACCAATCTTGGCATCAGCGAGCCACGCGCCAAAAATGGGTATGGTGTATGAGAGGAACGTGAACAGCAGACCCATGGCAGAGGCGAACTGGAGGCCCTGGTTACTGTTTGGAACGAAATGTCAGTCTCACATCTCGGTTCTGTATACACAAATAGATGGCTTACAGCGCTCCGGCGTGTCCATTGGGCTTGTTTCTGGGAACGGCTCCAGCCCCGTTTCCACCCGCAGGAAGCGGAAACTGCATGTAGTTGTTGAAGACCCCTTTGGCACCATAGTATGATGCACGTTCGGCAACCTCGACGAAACAGATGAGGTATGCGATAGATGGAATACTGCCGGCTACCTTTCTCAATGTACCTGCCTCTTCCTCCGTCGGCGCAATGTGCTCTTCGAACGGCGCATCAGACGCTGCTTCTAGGTCGTCCTTCTTATCACCTGTGCAAGTGGGGTCTTGTACAGCCACTGTTCATGTCAGAAACCATCGTTCCATGTGTAAGAAGTCAATATCTACCCATGATGCTCATGTGGAAAAAGCACACAGGTGCCCGAACCCTATCGATCAGAACAAGCTTGGGCACAGGAGCGGAGCCGCTCATATATGTATGTCTCGGCCCAAAGCTTAACGTAACCCTACTAGTCTGACAACAACCTAATGTCGCATCTGAACATGTACGCACCATTGAGTAGTGGGTAACGACATCGCCCAGCACTGCAGCACGCACGGAAACCTCTCCAGTCAAGGCATAGCCTTGCTATTACGTTGTGCCGAAATGGAACCTCGTTCGTAGGCGGATGGCTCTGATAAACAGCTGCAGGGGCAAGCGAGCCAAAGGAGGTTTAGCCAGACGAAGATTGGCCGATTTGCAATCGTGCCCCATTATCGCGACGGACAGGTGCCGCATACGTCAAATCATACGGGAGTGGCGTGCTTCGTCGGAACACGTACATATGCACTTGAGAACGCGGTTCGTCGGCCGTGTGGTGGCTCGCGATGTGAAGCTTGCGAATTAGAGCGCACAACGTATAGCTTGCTATGTTAAAAGTTCAACTCACAGCCGCCATTGCAAAAGGATACCGTCATGGGGAGAAATATTGATTCTTGGGATATGGACTGCTCTGTACCGCAGACGTGGAGGTCACGATATGCCGTAGGCCTTGTTCAGCGACGACAGCACCATTTCGTTCCACCTCTTGCCTCCCTCACAGATATCGTCCAGGATTGCTGCTGTATGCGGCAGACCGGGCAGCATATGGTACTCGGCGTCGTTGCCTGCGGCCTTCAGTTTCTCGTAGTACGCATATCCCTCATCTCTAAGTGGATCCAACTCGGCTGTGACGACCAACGCAGGTGCGAGATTCGCGAGCGACGCCGCGCGGATAGGCGATACTGCAGGATTCTGATTGGCGATTAGCAATCATTGTCTCGCGGATCGAATCTAAATACCAGACTCACATTGTACGTGCTCTTCTCTCGCGGCACGCCTAGATAGTGTCGCGCGAAATACTCCATGCGCTCCCCGCTCAGCGTAACTGTGTCGTACATCTCGCGATAGCTCTCGTACGGCGCTTCTTCCTTCTTCACGCGGCCTTGCTCGTCGAAATGATCCATGTCGCACACAGGCACGTGCAGCTGCTGTAACACGATCGGTATCCCTGCATCGCGTGCCCGCTGAGCTACGACGGCGCTGAGATGCCCGCCTGCGGATGGACCGCCGACTGCAACTCGCGACGTATCGAGGTTGAAGGGCCCAGCCTGCGTCTTCACGACGTGCAGAAAACCAGCCCACGCGTCGTCTACCGGAGTAGGAAACGGATGCTCGGGCGCGCAGCGGTATTCAACATCGAAGACTACGGCGCCCGTGCCGTTGACGATGCGCTTGCAGTGCTCCGTGTCGGTATCGATGTCGCCAAAGACCCACCCTCCGCCATGGTAGTTCACGTACACTGGCCGTCCTCCTTTGGCCGCGTCCCTGGACGCACCGTCTTTTGGCTCGTACACTCGTATCTTGATGTGGTTCTCCCCGTTGTCCACAGGGCAATCGATGTCGCTTATCCGTCCAACATTCGTGTCGTCGGCAATTGCTTTGCCGAAGCTGGTGATGTAGTTGCGAGGATTGGCACGGAAGTCGGCAATGGGGACCTGATGCGTGTGCAGGCGGCCTACCGCGTATGCTTCATGATACCGCACGAACTCGGGATCAAAGCGTGCGCGGAGATGGGGCGGGATTGAATTCAGCGGCGGGCGGGAGAGCGCGGCGGGTTTCAGGTCTGAAGACATGGTGAGCAATTATCGAGAAGTGCGGCGAATTATTGGACAAGGAGGATGAGACCATAAGACGTGGAGGACCTTCAATACTTACGGGAGTACGTCGCAGAGCGCGACTGGCATGCCTCTTTCGAGTAAGCCGGAGGGTTGCAGTGGTGGTGGGGCGAGATGGAACAGGCGGGGTACTGCCATTCCTCTTGGCGCCGACGCCCTGAGTGCATCCTCCCAGCATCTTCAGACGTCTTCCAACGTCCCCAGCCGCCTCCGATGTTTCTCCCGCCATGACGTTGCGTCGCACTCGTCGCGCCATTTTGACGCGAAAAACTCCATATCTTTCTGTCGGCCTTTGAGCTCAGTAGGACAGATCAGGCTCGACCAAGTCAAGATGGTCCTAGATCGACAGGCTTGGTGTACTGCAGTATGCGCAGTCTTAAGGCACGGCGCGTGGAGTGTGACTCAAATTATTGCGCTGTTGCTCGGAGCCGCTCCCGCTATCCGCCATGATGGGTCAGCTTTCTCGTTACCCTGTCGACGACCGCGAGCGCGCCCACGAGCTGCTGAATCTAGGAGCCAAACCCGAAGCAGCGTCACACTGTTCTTACTTTGTCACTCCAGCCAGGACCATGCTGCCCAATAGAAAGACTAGGGAAAGTTTATGGTTACAAAGTAGAAGCCCGAGAAGCGAGCAAACCTATATAGTAATACAGGACGATACGAAACTTAAGGTTCTGTTGGAGTCTCAAATTCCCTGTCGTTCCATCTCGATCCTCACCGCTCCGATGCGACACCGCTTCTAGCAAACAGTAAGAACAGACAATAGCGGAGGTGGTGGAGAAAACAAAAATAAATTATACGTGTGCGATACCAAATGAAGTACAGTCAGAATACATCTAATTACTGAGTCTCGATTCCAAACTTTCTCAGTAGGACTAGCATAGAATCAAGACCATCGCCCTTGGCTTCCTGCAAACTTTCGTCCGGTATTCCTGGCATATCAAGGGTAGCTCCGTACGGAATCAAAAGGTTGCAAAGTGTCACATTCTCCTTGCTCATTCCGTATGCCAATGGGCATTTCCGCTCGACTGTCGAGTCCTCGGTGAGTGTATCTCTAACTTCGAGGCCTCCATTTGCATTGGCACCGCTCTCGAGCAGCATTCGAGTGACAGTTGTGTAGCCTCCGATGGCTGCGTTCAGAAGGGGTATCTTCACTTGGAGGATAGGTGCTAAAAAGGGCTCAAATGATATGACCATGACCATGCCTTGCAGCGGTTGACATGACTACCGAAATGGAGGCGCTATGTTTAACCAGAATCTCAACTATTCGAGCATGGCCGTTCTCCGCAGCTAGGCGCACCCGATAATGCAGCAGCTTATATGTGCGGGCCAGGTTTTCCAGGTTGTCTTGGAGAACGTAGTGGAAACCATACCTTTTCGCGCATACGATAAGCCCACTCGCTGGAACGTTTTCTTAGCCGTCCAGCCGCTGCAGCCTCTTGCAGAGCATACACGAGGACGTATTTTTTTTTATTGGCGAATCGGGCTCAAGAGTCAGAGTCGTGGCGAACTTGATTGTGTCGAGATCTGAGGTGCCATAGATCCACGATTTAGCCCCCCCTAAAAAGTACCATTTAGGCTTCTAGAGTCCAAATGGGACCTCATTCGACTTGAAATAATACAAAAAGGAGGCGATGTTTGCGCTGCCTACGTATGCGGCCACGAGAATGAAATGCCGGAAGTGGGGATTTTTGTCTATTCCAACAGATAAAGAGTATGTTAACACTTCTGAATTGGCGTATCGTGCTGCTATGATGAAGCAATCACCGAGCATCAGGCTGTTCCGACATTCCCATCGGCAATGGATCGTTGTGTCCAACAACTTGGGATACCTAGCAAATCAATGCTTTATGAGGGAGAGGTAATTTGCACGGATAGCTTCAGCATAGAGAACATATGTGTATCCCTCTAAACGAGCATCCAGATCATCGGGGCAGTTTCCTTGGAGATCCCTTACGAAACGCGTGGTCGGTGAGCATCGAGTGCCTCGGTCTTTCTCATAACGGCTTTTTATCTCGGTCGGGGAATAGAATGAGTCTATAGTGGAGCACACTAATTTCACGGACTCATCGATTGTAGGCAGCTGAACCATTCCAACCTCGTCCGATCGATATACTTCCTGAACTGCCTATGTGAATCAAGATAGTGATCCAGAAGTTGGCCGAGAAGCCCGAAAATATACAGAGCATTCAACAAACCCTTTGCAAAGTTTTCTTATCATGGTTAGCGCTATCATCAAGTGATATGCATACATACTATTCACCAACCTCAAACGCAAACCGCTCTTCGGACCCCTCACAATGATGCAATCGCGCAGTATATGCTCGAACAACTCTACGAGAAGGTCTAGAATCTGCATAGCGGTCCAAATTTATTGATGGGCGCTTGTGTAGGGGTCCTAACGTTGTCTCTGTTATTCGGTGGTCAGGTAGGTATGTTGTAACGCCGGTAGATGAAGTCGTCAAGAATTGACATCAGTGTAGAGGCTTGCTATGCGCATGCTGATACAGGTAAAGCAACACATGACTTATAGAAGGGCTGTCTGATTGGGGCACAGTCGGGCTGTGCCCTGATAAGAACTCTGTGCAACGGCCATGCCAAGATGGGAACGGTACCTTGCCCCGATCGAATCCTTGTAGGATGACTATCAAATACGTTCGCTGGTCTGTCATAGTAGAGTGTTCCAGGCGCAGGACAGATAATGGAGCACACCCGGCTGATACTCACAGGCCTCGTCTCTACAACGACAGGAATATCTATTTCTACTGCCACTTCGACAAACGATATGGTACACAATGATTGTCTCAATAAATTTCAAACTATCTTTGGACGGTGATGGAGAGTACGTCGAACAACAACGAACTGGTAGAAAGAGTCTGGGCTGGACGGGTGTGAGACTAACGAGCGAATAGTCCAGCGCTTCCAGGTCCCATCTCTTCAAAGGCCATTAATCCATCTCGACGACCTAAAACACTAGCGGCAGATTGGAAGAAATATCCTTAAATGTGTAAATGTCCAGCGCACGTTTCTTCCCAATGTCATTCCATGTCCACCTGTGTTCACGAAAGCGCCAAATAATGGTAGGCAACCCAAGATTTGCGAAGCTTCAAGCACGCTTCCAAAGCCAACTGGTGAAGAGCTACGATGTTGGGCAAAGTGTCCGTGCACTTTGTCATAGCAAGGGAAGCGTCGGGCCCAATTTTCATTCGCACCATGAAGAAAGCTTCTGCGACATGTCAAGGAAGAAGTTTTACCCTCTTTGTAAATAGGACGACGCTGCACAGTGTTTGACGTGTGAGTTCTACCGCGGCTAAGCTGAAGAACGCAACACTTCACTAACCCTTCTATCTCGGCATACAGATCCCTAAACGAGACTCGTCATGGAATGGAGAGACGAGGCGATGATGATACACATACTTCCATTTCGGAATGGCGGTGAAGACGGGGGCAGCCTTGAAATTGGCGAGGGAAGGACCGTAGTGGAACTGTGGCTTTGACTGGTGCGAACATTTCGGTCTCTAGTCTGACTTTTCCTTTTGTGATTTTTCCTCTCAGGATTGTCATAACATTCATAATTAGGGATAGAATTTCAATGTCTGAAATTCAGTGGACTTGTGATTCACCCATTCGCAAGCAGACTATTCCACTCCAGGTTTTTGTGTGCTGCGACTGTACAATTGTTATGTAACGCACCTGACCGTAATGACCTTAGGTCAGAAACCTGACCAACTATGACCTATCTGGCTTTTAAAAAAAGGATAAAAAATCTAAACCTGTAACAGGCTTGAAAGACGAATACAGTGTATAGGCCTTTACGTATCCCTGATTATTGTCCTTCGCACCTAAGTAGCCCTAGACCTTAGTCCATATGTCCCAATTCTGAACGGATACCCTTTTGAACGCCAGCCTCCTCAGCCGTCTCACACGCTGCCTGCGAATTTATTCTATAAGGAATGTCGTCACGAATGGTGCCGATATACCCCATTCGGCCATCGCTGTCTTACTTGATGGAATCGACGCCGCCCTCGGCGTAACAAATGTCCGGCGCTGAACCCGGAGATGAGACCAGTGCCTTAAAGTCGTCCGCTGCATCTGTGCTTGTTGCCGTGGCTATCAGGATCTTTGCCACCAGTTGCCAGACACGGGCCCAGTCCAGTCCTTCCCCGCGCTTGCAGATAACCCAGCCGCCCATCTTGCATGTTCTGGGGAAGGAGCACGGTCTCTAGCGCGTCGACAGATTGGAACTGCCCACGTCGCGACTGGCTTATCGCGATATCTTGACGTACCAGTACCTTATCTTATCGCGCTCGCCAGGGATCGGCAGCTGGCAGCCGACGGTAGAAGTGATGTATGGCACGACTTTGGCATCGCCTCCAGGAACAGAATAAAGATGCGCTGGTCCTGCAGCGCAAATACGCCGCTCTTACCACTGCCAGGGAGTTGGGATTGACTTTAGTCGCTGATCAGGATGCCCGCGTTCAAGCGACCGCATCTCAAGGTCGACCAACCAGAGTCCGCTTTTGCGGAGGGAAACCAGCGGTGGTAAGTGGCTTGACAAAGTTTCTGATGTTATATATGGAAACAGCCCGTGGCCTCATGGCCTGACCGCTACTCCCGTTTGCACTCTCGCGCTTCTCCAAATCAGCTGACCTTTCTACAGGACAAACAAAGATCTTGACCCAGTTCCGCGACATGCTCGCAAATGGGGCGTGACATCTTTCATCGCCTACTGGGTGTCCGACGCCTTCAACGCAGCGACATGGCAATTTGCTGCGGGTATCATCTCCGTCGGACTGAGCTGGCGAGAAGCGATTGGCATCGTTGCGCTAGCCTTCTTCATTGTGAGCTTCGTCATTGCGCTGAATGGAGCGATCGGTGTCATCCATCATGCGCCATTTCCTGTGCTCGCGAGAGCCAGTTGGGGCTTTTGGGGTAGCTACATTGCGATTATAAGTCGTGCTATCCTGGCCATCTTTTGGTTTGCGATCCAGACGATGAATGGAGGAAATACTGTGAGAGTTATGCTGGGTAAGTGAACGCTACATTAGAGACAGGCTGACGAGAGACTTTGGAACACAAACTGACCAAAAGTCACAGGTGCCATCTGGCCAAGCTTCTTAACTTTGGAAAACCATATCCCGGAGAGCCAGGGTATTGACACAAAGTCCATGATTTCCTTCTTTCTCTTCTGGCTTATCCAAGTTCCGTTCCTAGTCATGCACCCGAACAATCTCCGGTGGCTGTTCATGGTGAAGAGCGTAGTGGTACCGATAGCCTGGATTGCAATACTCGTTTGGGCATTCGTAGCAACAGACGGTGGAGGTCATTTGTTCGATGAGAAGAGCAAGATTCAAGGAAGTGCATACAGCTGGGCATTCCTCAGCAGCTTAACAAGTGTGATTGGGAACTATGCCACACTGAGCGTCAACCAGGTATACTCTTACGCTACTGAACTATATATGTATGCTGACAGGGCGATAGGCTGACTTCTCGCGCTATTCAAGGGTAAGCGTAAAGTGGCAAATCATATACGTGCCCTTCCTACCTATCATCTTCACCTTCATTTCCTTCATCGGAATCGCCTCCGCCTCCGCCGGAGCTGAGCGTTATGGTATCCTAGAATGGGACCCCATGGCGCTCGTCTCGCATTGGTCTTCTCGATCCTGCCGCTTTTTCGCCGCCTTCTCTTTCGCACTCGCTGCTCTCGGCGTCAACATCTCCGCCAACTCTCTATCCGCCGCAAATGATCTCACCGCCCTTTTCCCGCAATACGTCAACATCCGCCGCGGACAGCTCCTCTGCGCTTTCCTCGCATGGGCCCTCGTCCCCTGGAAGATCTTGGCATCTGCAGGCTCCTTTCTCAACTTCATGTCCGCATACGCCGTGTTCCTTGGTCCTATCGCCGCCATCATGGTTTTCGACTTCTATGTAATTCATCGCCGCCGGTACGACACGTTGGCATTGTACCAACCCCATGGCATCTATCGCTACTGGCATGGCGTTAACTGGCGTGCGGTCGTGGCGTTTCTGGTAGGCGTCATACCCAACATGCCGGGTTTTATCAACTCGATCAATCCTAATATCGACGTCGGAGTTGGCAACCGGCCATACACTTTTGGGTGGCTATTGGGTTTTGTGGGTACGAGCATCGTGTATGTAGCACTGAGTAAGGTGTGGACACCGAAGGAGACCCTAATTGAGAGGTCGGTAAGCCCGGATGAGATCTATGATGCCCAAAGCATGGATGAAGGAATAAGTGTCGGGAGTGGGAGTGGAGAGGAGGGGCTGCAGGCTACGGAGAAAGGGGGCTGGAAGGGAAAGCTGGAGAGGATGCTGTGAGCGGGTGAGGTGGACAATGACATGGTCTCGGCGCAAGGCTGCGATGTTGACCGGCATAATAGAAAGAATCAGAAGTTGCATGCGAAATAGCGTTGACAGACTGAGACAACAGAATGTCGGAAGGCGACTATGATGCTTCCCAACAGACTCGTTACTATGTTTCCGGAGAGGTAAGCATGACTCAAGTAGAGAGACATCAAGGATCTCTGCTGAAGATTGCCTACACTAGAACAACATGTGTGAAGAAGCCTCAGTACATCAGATCTTGCATGCAGTAGTGATAGGTATGTATTGTTATGACCTTTCTAGAATATACTGCCACAGTAACTCTGTTCGTGTTCATCATGGCAGGATTATGTACATATTAGCGGATCTGTGTGCTTCATGATCAAGGCAGAGCAAGGAGAACCTTCCTCAGCCTGCCGTAATCGGCCGATCCCAATCCCGAGACCGGGTCCCAGCCCTTCTTAGCCGGAAACCCGATAGTACCGCAACCAGGGTTCGAACCCGTGGTAACATCGTTGAAAGCCTTGGGGTTGGCATAAAGCACCGGGTTCACAAACCCAACAGTCCTCTTACCACTCTCCAGTCGTTCCTCATTTATGCGCGTGAGGATGGACGCGAAAAGCGGTGCAGAGGCAGACGTGCCTCCAATGAGAAGAGGGCGAGATTTGCCGACGATAGCGATTTTGTCACCAAGCGCCGAAATGTCGGGGTAGCCGCGGCCGGCACGGTTGTAGATGCCGCCGTTGGCGTTGAAGCTGGCGTTGTTGACGGTCTGGTAGAAGGGGTAGTTGACGGGCTTCTGCGCGAAGTAGCCAGCCACCGAGAGGATCTGCCACGGAGCCTCGAGGTCGCGACCGTAGATGTTGGAGAAACCTCCACCGGAGCCGAAACGCGTGGTAGGAACCTCGTTGCCAGGCTCGAACGAGGTGGTGTTCTGGATAACAGTGGAGCCCACGGCGGTCACTGTGGATTGTTAGGTTTCTTGAGAATAGTTCGAGGATAGTAGCAGCGACTCACCATATGGGCACGTAGCAGGGAACTGAGGCGCGAAGACGGTGTTGTCCTTCCCGAGGCAGTTGCCAGGAGTAGGGTCACCTCCGCGTCCCTCGACACCGGAATCTCCAGAAGAGTTAATGACACTGACCCCCTGCAGGCCAAGCTTCATGATCTCAGTGCATTGACGACGCTGGTAGCTGATCGGAAGATCGGCTTCAGCACCACCGTAACTTATGGAGATGACGGGAGTAGGCTTGTACACTCCGCACTGCAATTTGCCCTTGTAAGCGTCGGGGGAGTTGCTGGGATCCGGATACACGGGATCCAATGGAGAGTTGCCCTTCTCGCCAAATGCGCTGAAGGAGCAGTAACTTCCGTCGATTGCGTCAAAGAAATTGTTTAAGAATCCTTGAAACGTGTAGTTCCTCTCGTATACAGGGTCGTCAGTCTGGAAGAGAACCGAGTTCTGAGGGTAGATGATCGGGTACGAGATCTGGAAGTCGAGCGCGGATTCAAGCCCAGCCACTGCAGGAGGGACGGGTGCAACTGCACCATCGATGAGATCCAGTTTTGGCTGTGTACCGTTCTTAATGTATGGTGCAAAAAGCGTGAAGAAAGCGTCAAGATCTTCCTGAGAAAAGACATCATTCAAGTCTTCGAAGATTCCAAGTTCGTTTCCGGGAGTTGCTTTGGTACCCTTTGGAATGTTGTACAAGGCTACAGGAGTTAGTGACCCATGTTGAGGAGGCTTTGACAAACGACTCACCAGCAATGCAAGGTGGGGTTACGACGTTGTTGCAGTTGGTCAAGTTGGCTTCCGCAATCGCAGCAAGCATATGGAGCTCGAGCTTGTTGCCATCTACGTTCGTGGGCATGGGCATAGTAAGAACAGGTCGCTTGAATTTCATGGCACCTTCAGCTCTCTTTTTCACAAAAGCTTTAGGCACAGGGAGACCAGAGTCCGTGGTAAGCTTGATACCAGGAGTGATGTAGTCGATATGCTTTTGGATAGCAGCCGGGACGTGGTATCTACTCAGTCAGGTCATGGACATGGCTGGTTTCTGAAGTGAATCACTCACTCATCGCAAGCAATGTTGGTCTTTCCAGTTCCGGTATGCTCGTAGGCGTGGTACTTCGTCTGGAATATCTTCTCCGCCTCAGCTGCCGTAGCATCAAACTGCAGCCATTGCTTGTTGGCTGATAGTCCTATATTGTCGGAAGCGATGCCTGATTCCTCAAGCCAGGCCCGGACTGCAGCAACAGCATCCGCAGAAGGAGCGAAGAAGTCGACGACTTCTTCAGATGTCCAGTGCTGGCCGTACTTAGGCGACTCGGGGTGCGATCTATGCATGTTAGCGAAGGACGATGTGCACATTAGGAAGCATGAGCTCACATGTCAATCAGCGCTCGTCGGCCGGCCTCGATATTCCTCTGCGTGAGTCCAACACGCATGGGCAGGACTGTTCGAGCATCGATAGTGCCTAATTTCTGCCAGGATGTGACTGGCGTCGAACGTGATTCGTGAAGAACACGGTGTGATGCTGGCGCAGCATGAACGCCGGTCAGGGCGGCCGTAAGTACGACAAGGCTCTTGAACAACATCTTGACTTTAGCAAAGTGAGCGAGTGCTGAGACGACCGAGCGAGCGGCGCACTTTCGGTATTTGTGGTCGCGGCATTATGATGGCGTTCGGTCGCGTCGACATGCGAGCATCACGGTCGCCCACAGAGGAAGGTGGTCTGTGGATCATGATGCAAACGAGTGTTGCTAGAATCCGAGAGTGCTAGGAATACGAGGTGTCTGCCAGGCGTCAGCTAAGGTCCTTCCCCATGCGGGCTAAGTATGTGGCATTTCATTGGACAGGAGAGCGATATTTCCGTTATCGCTAGCGGTAGAGGGGCCGCGGGGCCGTTCCTCATTTTTAGCCGCGTCTTGAGGAGTCTTGAGAAGTCTTCGCGTTGCTTGACAAAGCTTAGTTGCCATGTGGAGTTAGATGTATTCGCGGAGCAGTGGCCAAGCCAGCGGCCGCGCTCCCGTCATTTTTGATCGGTGTTCTTTCGACCAAGGTGATCCGGTCCGAGATTACAGTGTAACTAATGGCAGGCAATAACCTCTCGTACTTGAGGACAGCTACCTATTGTATGTAACATTTTCACTGCGAACGAAAGTGATTTGCGGCTATAATGTGATTTTACGAAGATTACAGGGGGAACGGGAAACACCTGGAGATTCCGTCTCTATGATCTTTCTCAAGGAGAGAATTCCCAACGCGCTTCGAACCCCTGAGGATGTAGGATTTAGCGCGTGGGTCTAGCCCTAATTAAATTAGCGTTATGCGCCACCGTCCCGCACCGACGATGATCGCATGGCTGGTATGTCAGCCTTGATACCGCACCTCGGTAATACACATGGCAGAAACGTCCCTGATCATGGATCAGAGTGCTATTGATCTCGATGAAATGTACCGAAGACCTGAATTGAAGGACAACAACTACGTAAGGTTAACCTCAGCGCTCGGCACTTGCATGGTAGTTGGGCTGAAAAGCAATATCCGCCCATCCGATCGTGTGACTGGCGATCTATTCGCCTGAGTCTGGCTTTTAGCCAAACTTTCGCTGCGAAAGATCGTTATCATAAGTACTGTTTAGATGCACTGTTGTTTTCTAGTTTTGGCGTATCTGCCAAGTCAAGTGGTCTGTCTGCACTCTGTCGCTGCCAGTACCTATGGAATTTACTGGGAATGTATTTTCAAACATCATACCTTGAAGGACGACCCAGTCCCACGATCTTTCCTCGGAAGTGCAAGCGTACAGGACATTCATTCAGAGCCGTGAACACCGCATCACGCAAATCATGCTAAACGCTATCCTCGGGGCACAGTTGGGTTGCAGAGCTGCTATGCGCGCTCGCAACTGCACGCTGTACTCATGCCAAGATCGTCGGGTGCCAAATGCTTCAGGACAGCGAGTGATGATTTATTGATGATTGACACACCCAAATCGAGGAATGGCGACACGAAAGGAATTAGATATATATCACATGGGTGACTGCGACTGACGCCCATTAGGAGTAAAGGATAAAACGTGATAATTGGACAGAAGAGAAATCATTTCTGTTCCTATGACCACCAAATTTCCTTCATGTACAGTGATACAAGTATTAGTTCCAACGCTTCTCAAGATGCTATTCATTCGTGAATCACTAGGGTTTCATGGTTCAAATCATGAATGTCCCAGTTATCTTCGCAAAGTCCACGCGATGAGCTGGGTCTGAACCACAGCCAAGGTGAACTGTGGTATGAGAATGGCCCCGATAGAGGATTCAGAAACATATGATTAAAGCCCCTTGGGCTTCGTAGCTAGAATTATTGCCCGCCCCCATGGTCGCCTGATCACAAACCGATGTCGAAAGAAGAACGGAAGTATTGAAGATCAAACGTTACAAGAACGTAGTGGAAGATAGAAAGCAGCCGTATATACCTCATGTGGCCTTATGCGAATGATGCAAACATTCTAGGGATTCCTAAAGGTAGAATAGCAGTGATGAATGGATCTGGCGTCCTGGACCGCCACCACGAAGTAAAACCCCCAAAGATCACATCTCATGCGCTTCGTCTACTCATGAGGGAGGAGAGCTGGGTCCAGACGGAGGAATGCTGCGATTCCTCTCCTCAAGGGCTAGCTGCAAGTCCCTTCGAACAAGAAAAGGTGGCTAGGATAAAAAAAAATCGGCAGGACTTCACTTACTAGAATTGAAGAAGTAGGGCTTTTCGAGATGAGTTCTAGGTCCAATTGTTAGCCTGCCGAAAGCTCTTTCTATTTTTCGTTCGTACATGGAGAGCTGGATAGTCACATCTGAATGCTGAATTGGTGACGGCGATGCGACATGTACACTTATTTGCCATTATTACCGGCACGGGACATAAAATAAGAAAAGACGAAATAGAACCTGTCCTACGTCGCAATGCTGTGGCATAGGCCTTTAGAGATGTCTGAAAATGTTGTCAGTGGAACAACTTTTTATGGACACAGAACTTGTCGCCTTTACACTGCTGTTCACTCTACGTAAAAAATATGGATCTCCGTACCAGGCACATATCCATAAGCCTAATCGACGTTGTCACATCAAGAAACGGTCAATTAGGAGGCATGTAATCAGCGAGATTTTTGGGAAGAGACCTTGGCAATCCGGTACCCGTTATGTGATCTCGGATCAATCCCGCTTGAGCCCCCTTCCTTGCCTGGAGAGAAGTTCGACAGCCAGTAGGATGACTGCGGTCTGATCTGCATAACCCCTGGCACTCGAACTTTATACTCCCCACAAAATTGAGGCGACAGTCGAGAGATTGCAATTTCGCTCCAAAGGGCTTGATTTACATCTTCTTTTCAGCTGACGCGATAGCTCTTGACAACTCAACTCACATTATCAACTTTGGATGACTGGTCACGTAGAGCAGACGTAAAGAACGCATGGTTCTGTGCATGTGATATTCCGTCCCCTAGAAGCGAGGATAAGCTTCCGGAGAATATGCCCCCATGCGCCAAGCAGCCACATGCTCCTGTAGCGGAGAGTTGTGTTTCGCGCGGGTTGATCTATGCTACTAAATCGGTGGCTTGGCTACCTACTTAGTGTGTGACTGATATGCGGATTGGTGACATTGGCGATGGGGTTAATTAGTAGCCCAAGGCTGGGTCACCGAACACCTGGAGGGAATGCCTATATCTACAAGATTGCAACCGACGAATCGCTCATCGATGTTGCAGCCACTCTGAAAACGTACAGTCCATTCCCTCAGGAGCTGGAGTTTGAAGCCATCCAAAAGATTCCCTGGGCGCAGGTTCAAGGCTGGCACAACTTCGTGTCAGATGGGCATGGCGGAGCGTACGAGCAAGCGTATCAATACAGCCGGAATTTAGCCAGTCCATGTGTAAGTCGACCCTTCGCGCTACGTAGTTGACCAAGAACTTACGGAACGCAGCTGGTGGACAGCCCTACGGCGGTGCCCAATTTCCTCTCGCTGGCTTCCCTAGTAACCATCCAGCTTGGAGCCAATTGCCTTGGGCTCGCTATGCCATGTGCAAACCTAGAGCTCCCAGCAATCGTGCCGAGGATATCTTTGCTAACCAGCAATCACCTTCCGGTCTCGCGGGCAATATTGATGACGGCATCGACATGGTGACCGCAGCTCCTCTTGAGGCCCGCGGCAGGTCCCGTGGCTCTCGTACGTCCAGGACGAGGCCATCGACTGCTGGTAGGCGAAAGAAGCCAGTCGAGAAACCTGCCAAGAAAGCTACTAAAAGGCCTACTACTGGTACAAAGAAGTGCACTGCAACGATGAAGAGAGCTGGTAAATGTAAGACTACTACCAAGTGTACTGCTGTGATGAAGAAGGCCGGCAAGTGCTCTGCCAAGTCAACATGTACAGGCGCAGAGAAGAAGAAGAATGGTGGCACATGTCCGGCAAAGAAGGGTGACTGTTAAACAAGTCGAACAAGGCCCACTACCAGGAATACCTTGCGGCACTCAACAAGAAGAAGAAGGCTGGCAAGAAGATGGTGTGATCTGAGCGTAGCGCAGGCACCAAGAGTGTCAAGGGCACCAATACCGGTGCTAAGAGCGGCGCATAGGAGAAAGAGGGCTTGGTCAAGCTCTGAACGATTGGCCTTGGCGCAGGACGTGGCGTCTGGAAGTATCTGTAGCTTAAGTCATGGATTATTTAGATTTTGGCTCAAGATTACTGGTGTTCATTTTATGTAGAGAATTATTATAGACACCTTTCATATTGTCTTTCAGTTAGAGCGTTTCATACACCTTGCGGATACTTTCATCACGGAAATGGGATTCAACTACTATAGGCGAGCAGCATGACCCGACCATCAAAATATTAATTGTTTTTCTCGTTACTTTCGTATTACTGGTGCACTACACGACTGTATTCGTAATTATTTGTCCTATTTCCGGCACAGCGTCCCACATTGTACCGACGATGGCAAACATCGTCGCATCGCGCCATATGGGTACCGTAGCGCTAGCCGGCGCATCGGCTACTGTAGCAGCTCTGATGTTGTATCCGATGAGTGAAGATCCGTTGTTGATGACCCGTTGCACAAAAGCAATCGTATCGTTGAGGAGCGACGGGTTCACCCAGTTTTGATCATCGATCAACCTCGACGCGGTGCGCAAGTTGGGTACGCCAACCGTGTCGTCGGGAAAGTGCGTCGTCCATGCTTCGTAGAAGTTGTCGGTTTCGAAAAAGTTGAGTGGGACATTGAACTTGAGTTTCTCCCATTGTACACGGAGATCTGCCGTCATGGCCTTAAACTCATCAAGGGACATATCCGGGACAATCCACGGAGTCAAGGCCCAAGACATCTGCCCATCTGTGGTAGGTAGGATAATGGAGTACGCGTAACTGCCCTGATTGACGAAATCTGGAAAGCGACGCCATCACGCACCGATGGCTTGCCAGAAGATGTCGTCAGAGACGTCTCCATTGGGTCCAATTGTAATGGAGAGCGTGAGCCCTGCCATCTTCAGCTTTGGTAGGGTGCTGACAGTGACAGAGGTGACGACTCCGAAAGCCCCTCCACCTCCTCCGCGCAGCGCCCAGAAAAGGTCCGTATTGTTTTTCTCGTCGACAGTGAAAAACTTCCCGTCGGGTGTGACCACGTCTATGCTAAGTACATGGTCGACAGCGAGACCATATTTGGAAGATAGGGGCCTCATGCCCCCACCTGCGATGTACCCTCCCGCAACACCGACCGTCTGCAGTTCACTTAATTAGCATTGAGATGGAAGATGCTCAGATGTGATTTACCGGACATTCCCCAGTCAACACGCTCACGTCTTCCTCATGTGCTGCTTGGAGCAATTCCCAAGTCTGCGTGCCCGCTCCCATTTTGAAAGCTGAGCCTATGTGGGCCGACGCTCCGGCATAGTTGGCAATGAATTCAATACTGTTCAAGTGTCGGGTCCAAATAGAAAGGGCATTCGCCCCCGTCGACTTGCCGAGGTAGTCGTGGCCCGTATTGTGCACGAGCAATCTCACGCCGGTATTGCGCGCAAAGTTAATGGCAAGCTGCACCTGGGCCACGGTGCTCACATTGACCGAGTACGATGGATATCCACCCATCTCGCACACACTGAGGATTACTCGGAGCTGGGGCTTGGGTAAGACGGAAGGCACTTCCAAGTGTATTCCATCTGACATCCTGCAAATGATTGGATCATGGTTCCCGCCGCATTATGCTCTCTTCTCTTTACTCCATTCTTCTACATGTGTAAGCTCGCATTCAATCCCGCTGGATCGTGCCGTCTCTAAAATGGCACAGATATCAAGCTAGGATACTTCGGCTGGCGCCATGAAGACGTACCGAAAGACTACGAGCCATCCCAGGGCCTTTATTGGTTCTACATCGCGCAACTGTTCTACAACCCTATCCTTGCCTTAGTCAAGTGCTCGATACTTGTGTTTATCCTACACATTGGTCGCACTCGCAAAGGCTTACCTTGGATGGTGTACACAGGCTTAGCAATCACGGTTCTCCATGCCATTAGCGTTTTCTTTGCAGTACTATTCTCTTGCGTCCCGATCGCCGCGATTTGGACCCGAGCCTGAAGCCCCACGCGCAATGCATTGACAATTCTTTCCATGTCATCATCTCCAGCATCACCGTACTGACGGATATCCTGGTACTCGTGCTCCCGTTCTACGTTTTCTTGGGTTTACAAATGCGTCGCCGTACGCAAATTGCCGTGTTGTGTTGTTTCGCTTTCGGCGCCGTGTAAGTCTGATCCACCACATGAGAGAATCCTATGCTAATTGCACGGTTTCCAGGGTCACTGCCGTCAGTATCGCCCGCATTGTCTCCCTTGTTGAGCTATTTTACCTTCCCTCTGGAGGAGATCCGTTTTATGACATCAAGATCACCTATTCAATCGTCGAACCCAATGTCGCCATTTCCACGGCGTGCGCACCGGCCCTATGGCCTCTATTCAAACACTACTTCTCCGGGCCCGTATCTGCAAAAGGCACATACGGTAAGAGTTATGGAACAGCGTCGACGGGCACGCACCATCACAGGAAACCCAGCTTACAAGGCGGACAACTCGCCATTACTTTGAAGGAGTATGGGCAGAAGGGTCGGCGACGGGATGGACATGAAGAGTTGGGCTCCATAGCGTCCTCGCAAGATAGGATGGTATAGACGAAAACTGGAGCGGTATATAGTGTGTTACTCGTATATTAACGTATTGAGCTAGTATACCCAACTAATAGATTAGCGAATGTACCTATACTGTTATCAAGCTGTCGAGCTTTCGTGCGCGTGTTCGAGTTGAGTGATGAGTCCGTTTTCGCGCTGATGTGGCACGCGGGTCGCGCGAAAGCTATCTTGCGCGGTCTGTGCCAAATGACAACTTCTCATCCAAGACAGGATCACAAGCTCGTCTATGGCCTGTTATCTTGTTGTGGCTGAATGAGTTGACGATACTGCTATGTGCTGCAGAGGCTGAAGGACCGAGGCGCCGCAAATTCTGAGCCCCGCTATCTCCGGAAAAAGCAGGGTTACCGATATCTACGCCGCGCTAAGAGATTGCCCACGTTGCACCGTATGCCACAAACACGCAACGAGAGTCACATCACTCAACATCTTCAATGGTTCTTTGAGCGTACCCTCGCTACACAGTCGCTTCCTGCCAATTCACTTTTCTTTGTTCCTGGACCATTGACGATGGCAGTAGATGTGGTTCAAAGAAACATCGTCGGGGCATTGTCGTGCCAGAGGGACTCTTATCTGAGGACGCTGGAGACCGAAGTTATCTCATGCGAGGAGTATACACAGCCAAAAGACGACTCGAAATCCAATGGCAAGAAATCCACCGATGCTTCGAATGTTCCACGCGACAAAGGAATCGCTGAAACGCGGACATGGATGATCGAGTTTGCTGATTCTGTGCTCTTTCCCGAGGGTGGTGGACAATTCGCTGACCATGGCCTCATCACACCTCTCGGGACCGAGAAATCGGGGGAGATACCAATTCACAACATCCAAAGACACGGCTTGAGGTGTGTCCATTTCTCGCCGGCACCTTTAGAGGTCGGCTCAAGAGTGAGGCAGACAGTGGACTACTCCCGAAGATGGGATCTCATGCAGCAGCACACTGGGCAGCATTTACTCTCTGCCATAATGGACAGCATGGACCTACCCACGCTTGGCTGGAGCATGGGACAACCGGGGGAGATGAATTATGTCGAACTTCCGCGCAAACCGACACAGGAGGAGATCAGCAACATCCAACTGAGATGCAATGCTAAAGTACGCGAAAACCTGCCTGTTACAGTGGAGACACCAAAAGGGAAACAGTCTTCAAGTCTACCCAAGGACTATGATGGGGAAGAGGGGGTGATAAGGTTCATCAAGATTGGGGAGCTAGACTACAATGCTTGCTGTGGAACACATCTCAAGCAGACATCGCACATTGGCCTTGTACTCCTCCATCATACCCAATCGATTAGGGGAACAAACTGTCGACTGTTCTTCACTGCCGGTGACCGTGCTGTAAAGCTGGCCACGAGTTCGATCAACGGCCTGCGTGATATTGGTATCTCGCTTTCAACCAGCGCAGCTCCCGAAGATGTCGCAGCCAAGATCCAGAACCTCAATGACCAAGTCTCGGAAGGTAGGAAAAAGGAGAAGAAGATGATCACGGAGCTTGCGAAATACCAGGCTCAACAGATCAAGGAATCACTCCAGAACTCTGTCGGCGCTTTTCTGCACCGACCTGATGACGGTATGGATTTTGTTAGCCGTGTTCTTATCGAGTTGGATGATACTCTTAAGCAGGATAGAGTCATCATGCTATGCACTGGCGACGTCAAAACTACTGGCACGATCGTGATACAGGGGAGGGAAGATCTGGTCTCTTCGTTGTCAGCCAAAGTCAAAGAGATAGTGAAGGCAGCGAAGGGTGGCGGTAAGGGTAGGAAATGGCAAGGCAAAGTCACAGAGTGGGGAAGAGGTGAAGTTGAGGGATTGGAGAGCGCAGTGGATAAATTGTGATCGCAAGCGATCTCAACAACTCACAAGCGAGCAAGCTTTCTGCTACGATGACCAATCTGATCTGTGCCCACTTCGGCCCCCAATTTTCTTGGCAGTTTGATGACGCAATCCCAGCAACCACAAAGAGCTTTGATCATACCCCCACAGAACTCCCCCGCCGCGCTTCGCTCACATCGTACTGTGCTTGGATCATGTTGCCTACCCGACCAGCAATTTTCAAACACTCCACAGATTTGATGTGGCGCATCTTTGACGAGCTACAGTTTGAAGATCACTTCCAATTTGCGTACGTCTGCAAACAAATCGCAGAACGCTCAGCGATAGTAATCCAACGCCGTCGAGATGGATATAGAAAGTACAGAGTTGCCTCTGATCTCGATCCTGCTACTGTTCCAGCGTTGCTAAGGAGTGCTTGTGGAATAGGCAACCCTATTCCAGCTTGGTCCGCCCTTTTCCCGCATGCTCGTGGGATGGTTGTCTCATGATAGCACAGGCATGTGAGATCCATCAAGGTTTGGTGCGATCGTTATTCATTCGATGAGTGGAAGGTCTTTGCTTTCAAGGGTCCCAATGACGAGCGGCCGACCGCGCAATCCTCACGTCCCGACCAGACGACCCGAGAACTCGAGGCTTACTCCGAGAAACTGGATGAATATGTTCTTTGCGAAGATGTAATGTCCAAGACATTGATCAATGCCGGCGAAGACGGTGGTCTCGAAGCGCTACTAATCGCAACTTTACCGCGCCTAGAGGGCGTGAAGTTCGTCACTCTGCAACATGAACATGGCTCGACCCTCTACAGGCTCGATCGAATAATTTCTGGAGGACTTGAAATTAAAGGGGTTTGGGTCGAAGGATTCCAAACTCTTCAAAGTATGGCAGTGGGTGTACCCTTAGCAACTTGGCTTAATGCCTTTCAGGATACGAGCCTGCCTTTCCACATTGTAATGTCCTTGCCCCGCATTCCCCACCTAGAATCGATGTATCTCAACCACCTGGAATGCCAGGTTGGCGATGATGCAACCGTTGACTTGCATAGTCTTCAAATTGATGCATCATCCGAGGTCAAACGTCTATTTCTGGACAACTGCAACATGAGGTCACGGGACTGCCAGACCGCTATATACGGGGCTCCGCAAAAACTCAAAGATATCGCATTCAGATTCAACACAGCGTCCTCAAGGCGACCCAATAGCTTGGACCAATATTCGTACCAGTAGGCTAAGGCGATCACCTGTTTAGTAAGATATTCCTATGTAAGACTCGCGATCCAAGCAATGTTTGATTGTCTCCGCCTTTGCCTCCGACATTTTGTATCACCCGTCGCGCCGGAAAGACCCCGTAGCGCCTGAAAGACCTCGTAAGTAATTTTATAGAGGATTTGACAAATATGGCTTATCTGTCTGATTAAAAAGCCACAAAATGAAGTCGGTCGCCATCGTCGGCGGTGTCCTTCTGGTAGTGGGTGGCTCACACTCAGGCGGAGACATTGCTGGTTTGATCGCGATGCAGCTTTCAGACACTCGACATTCACCAGGCTCCCTTGACCGACTGCAATAAAAGAATGCCAAAATCGTACATGTTAGCTCGTATGAAATGTTCGCATTGCCAGTGTTCATTCTAGACGCAAAAGCGCCAGTATGCAGCTTTCAGCCGTTTGATTTCAGTCTAGCAAATCGGTCTAGCAGGCCCGTAGGTGAGTCAATCACGGTAATATTGTCAATAATCCGTCAAAGGCGAACTGTAGCTGAAATATTCACGATGCTAGAGCCACCTCCCGTATTCACGGTAGGCTTAGTAACTCCAGGGAAGGTCAAGGCGTAACGGACAATGGTTCATGCTATCAATAATGGTAATGAGGGCACGGTGGACACTCGCGAAACTGACGAGCTGGCCCTGGTTGGAGTTCTAGGGATCTATACCCACATTTCGTTGAAACAGGATTCATCGAACAAGATCGCGAGACCTTGAAAAGCCTCGAGAGGGTAGACGAAGACTTTGTATCCGTAACGATTGAAAATAAGGACAAGAATGGTTTATTTACCGTGGACAAGATCTGTGCAGCAATAGAGGCCACAGGATTCGACTCGCCGTCGGCACTCGCGTATTCTTCTCCTGAAGTCAAAACGGCACTCGACTATGATTCATCATGCTTTCCAGCGTCGTTTGTTCTCGACAAGATTTTCCTGTCAAGAAACTCAGAAATACCCAACCTCGCAATTGTAGGCTACCCGGGGGCATACTAGCCTCCCTTCGAGATGCAAGCCCGCGCTACTGTCCGTGTCTAGACGTCTCCGCCTTGGTTTGTGGTCACCCGCACGCCACAACAGATGGAACAAAGGTCCAAGCTACGAGTAACTACCACGAGCTATGTAAGGCGTATAAAGAGCGCAGAAAAGAAGAGATGACGCAGAATCCATTCGGTGACAATATTGGCGCCTTGAGCAAGCCAGCCATGAGCTTAACCTCGAACGCTTCGACTTGGGCTTTTCAGAGACTGAAGGATCGCCTGCTCTGCTTGATACACGGATCCATAGAGTGACAAGACCGAGGCTATGAAGACATTGATGGAGGTGCAGAGTGTGCGGAGAGCAGGGCTTTTTGGTGGCTTTTTGGCGAGAGCCGTGGCCCGATGCTTGATGGGGAAGTAGATAGCAGCTGCGCAACATGTAGAGGGTGATGTTGAGGTTGTGCAACTCTCGTTCCTGCCGAGATATCCGACCGACGCGGCATGTGACTGGAAGTATATCGGCTCGGAGCATAGCGAAGTTTGGCGATATGCAGAGGCTACCGAAGGCATCACCATTTGGAGCCTTGAAGGATGGCTGGAGTACGGGAGCTCAGTTGAGTACATTGGATTATGCACACGATCAACAAGAGCACGGCAGAAGCACAGTAGTGGCCGTGCGAGTCCTATGTTCTAGCCCTCACAAAGACGTGGAAGGTTTGGAGTAGTTCCAACTCCACTTTGCCGGGTCCACGTTGAAATCATGGACAACGATCAAGGCTGGTGGTGGATTGAACTTTGTCCGTGTTGGGACAGCTTAGTCTTCGTAAAGCTGAAGTCCAACCTTGCGCTTGCACTATGAAAATCTTCATAACTTCCATCGCTTAGCGCACTCTACACCCTCGGCCAGCGTGCCCACCCGTGCATCGATTGCATACCCTTCCTTCTCAAACTTCTTACACTCATCCCACAGATCTCTTAGAGGGACCGAGAAGGTCTCGATGAACTCGTTGTCTTCGAGCGACGGCTGGGGGTTCTGGTTCTCTGGAAGCGAGAGATCGACGGTGACATGAATCATGCGCAAGTTCGTATTGCAGAATCCCGGATCTGCCGTCCTATTATTATCCAATCACCACTAGCCAGAACGCATTCTCACCGTTGCACATGATAGGGCTGACGCCGAAATCTCCTCCCATTACCTTACCAACGTAGCCCGTCTCCTCCTTGAGCTCTCGCACTGCGCACACCTCGGCAGTCTCATTGGGATCGATGAGCCCAGCCGGTACTTCGATGACGATCGCATCGACGGGAGGTCGCCATTGCTTCTGCAGGAGGATCCGCGGAGAATCGTCTGGCTTGCTCGGATCTTGAAGTACTGCTAGGATGCCTACACCGTCGATGTCTGCGCCTTCAGGGCGGGTGAGACGCTCGCCCGACTCCCATGTGCGCTCGACGCCTTCTGGGTCTGTGTAGGTAATCCTAGGATTCGAGATCAGGACTAGTCATCTGATCCGTGGTCCAGGATGCGGTGCTCACTTGACGAGGGTTGCCCATTTGGCATCTTTGTGATCCTGGAGACTTTAGATACGCTCCAATCTTGGACGCTGCTCACCACACCAATGGCTCAACCTTGACTACTTTCGATTGCTTTGTGGTCGCCATCGCTAATGTCTTGCTAATTTGAGATCCGGCGTGGGCTGGCCACCGGACGGTGGAAGGCGCACCCCAATTGTGGCGGGGCATGACGCCGCCAAGACAGGCGACCACAAGCTCGGATGTGGGCGAGTTGACCTTGGTAAGCTTCTGGAACACGTACTACCTGTCCGCCTGCGCCTGCGAGCATCGAGCTGCCCTGTTCAATGTGACGCCTGACTGGCTGCGTCGTTGACTGGAGATGCATCATCGCCCTCGCGTCTTCTGACGTCGAGCGCGACGTTGACTGCGGTGACTCGTCATGAACAACCCCTCAACGGGCCGTGTAGACGACCACGCCTACGTACACCCCAGGTCCCGTACGAATGCTCGAGCGGTTGTGTTTCAGCCCAGCCTGGCATGACTAGGCAGCTTCCATTGTTGTCTTTGAAAAGCTTCACCGGGCGGACGGTGAATCGCAATCCGCGAGGCTTGTCACCTTGTTTTCTTTTGCCAACGTTGGAGAAGCACCACAGCAGTTGTCGTGTGTTGGCGTTCACCTCAATTCGGTACTTAGGAGCCCGCCATATTAAAATCGATAGTCCCGCTCGGTCCTCGGCCGCTGTTGGGTTGGCTAGTCCACTGCAGGGAACCTGCATTTCAGTCAATGTGGAGACGCACTCTACGAGGAGATTGTTATTCGAGTCGTGGTACACGTTCGGTGGCGCCGCATTGTCTTCGCGCGGACGTATACGCCGTCAGGCTGCTACCTGCCGCTAACCGCGACAACACGCCTCTTACCTCGGAGGCATAGCAAGTACTCAGCTGCGTCACAGCAATGCGATTGCCCCAGAGCATCATTCGTCAAACATCAAGTACCATTCGCCTTCTTTGCGAGGCTCGCCGCGATGAAAATTCTGTTCGGACCGGAGATGTTGAGTACGGCGCCGCCGCAACCCCGAGTAACTGGACTCCATACTTGCAACCGGTTGAAGAACCGGTAGAACGCCCGTGGCTGAGTTCGTCTCATGCTTGCTCACATGACTAGCAAACCGCGACTCAAAGGGACCAAACGGCAGGGAAAATGCGTAGCCAGCCTTACAGCCGACAGCACGCTGCATGTGCTTCAGGCAGGTGCGTGCTATACCGCACAGCGACGCCTGATCATACTTTCGCATAGGTCAAATGCGGGTTCCGAGATGATTCGATAAGTCGGATCACCTAATAAGCGACCTTCATGCAGCGAGTCGCGCGTGGCCAGAAAGGATCCTCAATACGCGAGAGCGATGCCGCCGAGCTTTCCCCTGGAAGTGACGGTCTGGAAAGACTGCGCGCTCTTCTCCCTGTTGAATTTGTCGCCTCGTCGTATCGTTCCCCTGCCAAGCCAGATAGGGTGGAGACGGCGGCGCAGCTAACGCGCTCGCTTGTCCTGTTCCTCGTTGCGTACTACGTGCGAACAGGGGTGGCCCGCCCTGCCGCAAGCCATCACCGTTTGGGCTCCCAAGATCACGGCCCGGTAGATGGATGTGCCATCCATGTTTCTCGCCGATTGCCGACTGTATTTCTCAATTCGCAACGCACACACACAGGTGTCTCTGCGCGACGCAAATGTACGCGTCAAAAGGCGACGGATGCCATACTTAGTTCAGGTGAAGCATCAGCTAACATGGGCGACTTCCGCGAAATTCGTACATCGCGCCTGGGCAGGGCTCCAACCACTAGAATGTCAAACACATTCTATACCAGAGCGGCTAGCACCCGGCAAGACGGGTGTCCAGAATAGGAACTGCACATGCCCCAGGCCCAATTATTGGCCGCAAGCGCTCGGCTCGCGGAGGCACTATGGAGTCTAGTCCTCGTTTCACAGGAAACTCAAAGAGATCAAGGTCCAAAACGTGCGAATGCCCACATGGCCAGAGGGGCGCTATACCGAGGGGCCGGCATAGTAGTAGGGCTTCTTTACTGAGCAGAGCCCCGTCCCTCGACAGTGTGTTCTCTTCCTGAATTTCCGCGACTGTCAAGCCTTCGTTTACCAGTGTGCCGTAGCACACGTCCTCTCGTTCGTGATCACTTCGTTATACAGTCGCGGAACTGCTTCGTTACCACCACACTCTTTCGCTGCTCGTCGACAGGTTGCAAGGATAATTTTCGCGTCTAGCTGAAACGACCTATTCCGGTTTCTCCCACGTTGACTACGTTTTTGGCAACCTGTAACCACATTCTTCCGCAATCGAACGGTTTTGGATATCTTCCCGGGTCGCTACTATCGAATTGGCGCGAGAGGCTTGGACTCGCCTTCTGGTGTCCTCTCATATCTTCGTCGTTTGCTCGTAGCAGACGTGGTACCCGCCGGCGAAGGGTGCAGGATCTACCGTCACTCTTTTATCTTACAAACTCACCATTACATAACTTAATATTCAACATGGGCAACTGGTTCGGGAACCTTGACCTTGCCTACAAATACACGTAAGGCACGATATGTTCCATGTCGGTGAGGTGTCGCTAATCTTTGCAGTGTTGTATTCATCTCCCTGCTGCTTCTGACCATCTTAGCCGGATTGGTCAAGGTGTTTTTCGATCGCAGGAAGTCAGTAACGTCCAACGACTTGTCTCGCAACATACTAACGAAGGCATAGGCTCAAGAAGCTTGCAGCGAAGCAGAACGAAGATGGAGAAGTCAGAGAAGAAAGGATGGAGTTGACGGGACGGGAAAAAGATGAAGGGGACTACTTTGGAGTTCGCGCGTTGGAAGCAGGTTTCTATGCTGGCGTTGCGCAATCCGCGCCAACCTCCAGAGCCAACTCGGTTGTAGGAAGCCCGTTCATGAGCACGAGCACCCTCGTTGGTGGTGGTGGTGTGGGCAACCTCAAGGACTCGAAGAACAACAGCGTCACTACTCTCCCGCTTGCTCACACCAGAGAGCGCAACAACAGCGCGATCCGCGACTCGGATACCCTGCCATCCCCACAGTCCGAGGACCCGCCCCGAAGGAGGTCACCTCCAGCCATCCGTCTCGCGCCGTCGACCGCTGAGCTGACCGGTCGCCACCGATTCAGCGCTGCCGTCAACATGAACCTGAACGTGCCTCCGTCCCCATCTGCCTCGCGAGGGCCGTCATCCCCGACGTTTGGCGGTTCGGATAACGGCGAGAGCGACGGAGCTCTGTCACCACGCTCGCAAATGTCGCCCACATCTCCTGTCACCCACTACGCTCCTAACCCACCACAGCTACCCATGCCGCAACCAGACGGCTTCCGCGCGTCATTTGTGTCTGTCTACGACCACTACCAGTCGCAAACGGCATCCATGCTCATGGCTTCGCCTACGGGTACCGACGCACCCGCGGACGCTTCAATGGCAATGCCCGGCATCACGTTGAACGACAGTGGTACGCAATCGCCTCGTAAGCGTCGCACACATGGCTAATTTGCACTAGACGCCCTTCCCAAATCTCCTGTCCAGCTTCTCCCCAAGACATACCAGCCATCTCACAACCGTGACAACAGCGACTCGAGCAGCATCTACAGCGAGGCGCGGCACAGCAAAGTCGAGCGGGATGCCAGCCGCCAATCAACCATCGGGCCTCTTCCCGTGAACGGCGAGAACCGCAAGACGCTCCTCCCGCCGGCAGCTGGCGACAACCGATACAGCGACATCTACGACGCCTACTATCGGCATTCGATGATCCAGGGCAGTTCGAGCGTGACGGACTCTTCACGATCGGATGACGAGCACCCGGCTGGGAGCAAGGCGGGCGCAGGCATGGCGATGTGAGGAGGTCGGATTACAGTTTTTTAGGCCAGCATTTGGCTGACACACGTCGGCTGGGGCTCGTATTGTCGCTACGCAGCGTTGGGGGCTCAGCTCGACGCACGTGGGGACTACGCACAGGGCGCATCTAGCACAGCGAGGCGTTTGACTGGTTTGATTGCATTTACTGCGACACGTTTCACGGGAAGCCGACTGCACATGCTCTTTCCTTTTGGTCTGGGGTCGACGGGGTCGACGGGGTCGAAGGGACGGCCGGCGTGGCTGTGGAGGCAACGACGACATTGAACGCGTCATGGGTCGCTGGCAGAAGCACCGGCGACGGCGCCTTGGACGGCGACAGGCACGACGACAAAGTATCACCCATACCTATTTTCACTGTAATTTCTAGTAGACGGCACCTGGTGCGATGCCCGTACATATGCATGGCTTGGCGGCGCACGTTGCGCCAGAATACCCATTTCTCTTGCACAGTTGGAGCTCCTCTACACGTGACCGCCGTCTTTTGTTGCTGTCCTGGCGCCTCGAACGGGGACGGAGACTGGGACGGAGACTGAGGATGGGCCGACGGTCAGGGCGTCCGGGGCAATTGGGTCAAGTTTGCTACGATTTTCACGTGTCGATCGGACCACCACGGCGGGTGATTGGCGGGCCCCTGGCAGAAGCGAGGCGGTGAGTCTGCGCGATGGGGAGCGGCGACGGTGTTTCTTAAGATCGCCACCGCCCGGCGAGCGATGAGTTCATGATCCCTAGTGGCAACGGGGACCCTGAGTGATAGTTTTCGCCTCGCGCAGCGTCCTCGATACACTCGCCGTGCTGCGAGCCCAATTGCACCGGACTATTGGCCAACACACGCAGACGAACGCTTGCGACATGTCGACGACGACAACCACGACCACGACTACGACCACGGCGGCGGCGACGACACTGCGCGGGCGGGCCATGGAGCGCAAGGGCGCGCTGGGCGCCGTCGAGACGCGGGACCAGCGCGAGGTGCGGCGCCGCGAGGCCCACGAGGCTGACATTGTCATCGTGGGCGCGGGCGTGCTGGGCTGCGCGGCGGCGGCGGCGTTTGGCAAGCAGGGCCGCAGCGTGCTGCTGCTGGAGCGCAGCCTCAAGGAGCCCGACCGCATCGTGGGCGAGCTGCTGCAGCCCGGCGGCGTGCGCGCGCTCGAGGAGCTGGGGCTGCGAGGTAGGCCATGTGCTGCAGCGGCCGTGGGCGTGTGCTAATCGACACGGCAGACTGCCTCGACGGCATCGACGCCATCCCCTGCCACGGCTACCAGATCGACTTTCACCGCGAGGCCGTGCACATCCCCTACCCCGACGACCTGGTCCCCAACGCGCCCGCCCGCCCCGAGGGCCGCTCCTTCCACCACGGCCGCTTCATCCGCAAGCTGCGCGAGGCCGCCCGGGCCGCGCCCAACGTCACCGTCGTCGAGACCACCGTCACCGACGTGGTCAAGGACTCGTACACGGGGCAGATCCTGGGCGTCGAGGCCCAGACGGCCGGCAGGCCCGACTACTACTTCGGCGCGCTGACGCTCGTCGCCGACGGCTACGCCTCCAAGTTCCGCAAGGGCTACATCAACGCCACGCCCGAGGTGCGCTCCAAGTTCTGGGCGCTCGAGCTCATCGATGCCGACCTGCCGCGCCCCAACCACGGCCACGTCGTGCTGAGCGACGCGCCGCCCATCCTCATCTACCAGATCGGCACCCACGAGACGCGCATCCTGATCGACGTGCCCGAGGGCTGCCCGACCGCCGCCGTCAAGGCCGGCGGCATCAAGAACCACATGCTGAACGTCGCCCTGCCCGCACTCCCCCCCAGCGTGCAGCCCTCGTTCCGCCGCGCACTCGCAGAGGGCAAGCTGCGCAGCATGCCCAACAGCTTCCTCCCGCCCGCCACCCAGAAGACGCCCGGCATGCTCATCCTCGGCGACGCCATGAACATGCGCCACCCGCTGACCGGCGGCGGCATGACGGTCGCGCTCAACGACGTGCTGCACCTCTCGCGCCTGCTCTCTCCCTCGGCCGTCCCCAACCTCGAAGACACATCCGCCGTGCTGGCCGCCGCGCGCCAGTTCCACTGGCAGCGCAAGGACTCCTCCAGCGTCATCAACATCCTCGCCATGGCCCTGTACAGCCTGTTCGCCGCCGACGAGCCCGCACTGCAAGCACTACAGAACGGGTGTTTCCGCTATTTCCAGCGCGGCGGCAAGTGCGTGTCCGAGCCGTGCGGGCTGCTTTCTGGTTTGATCCGCAAACCGGCGGTCTTGGTATACCACTTTTTTGCGGTTGCGTTCTATGCGATTTGGTGCAAGGCGGCGACGGGGCCCGTGTGGCGGATACCGTACGTGCTCTTCGTGGAGAGCGTGCTGATCATTTGGAAGGCGTGTGTGGTTATCGGGCCGTATCTGCTTGCGGAGATGAAGGCGTAGATGGAGAGGGACAGGTGCATTTACGGCGTTTAGGATGGACATGGGCATTGGCATTGGGTTGGGTTGGTACGCTATGTGTATGTTATAGACAAGAGTAATGTAATTCTACATGCGTGACATGTAACCTCGTTTCCGCGCATGCTCCAGTTTCAGCGTGCCTATCGACGGGCTGCGCCAAGGTCGTCCCGTCGCTCTCGCACTGCCGGCTGTTCGTGGCCATGGTGCGATGCTCTGCATCATTCCTTTTGCCAAATGCCCAAGGGCGAATCATCAACCGGGTCTGCACAAATGAGTATGGACGTGGCCTGTGCATCTCTTCATCCATCTGCAGTACAAGAAGATTTCCATCTACTTCTACAAGATGCCAGAAAGGCGCGGCAAGCTACTGCGATGCGTGCTGGTCCTGCATACTGATGCTTCCCAGCCGCTCCATGAGGATGTTTTCGTACTGATCGTGCTATGTGAACCGAGAACGCTGCTCTCAGTACTCATGCTTATGGTAGAAGCGGATTTGTCAAGCTCATAAGCCGGGACCTTGGGCTCGCCCTTGGTAAATTTTGCCAGCCTTGAGGGTTTCGGTCAGGTAGACGTGGAACCCGAAGCGACTTTCTCGAGCCACGCTTCTTAGCAAATTGATTCGGTACTTCTAGACAACGAGTCTGTGGGCGTTAGACCCACTCCACGCATCTTTGCCAAGTACAGGCTCGATGGGGTTTTAAGGCGACTGCGCATCGCTTTTGGGTCTTTGCTTCGGATATTGCTACGCCTTCATCATTGCCTAGTCTCTATCGCTGCTTTGATGACGGTACATACATGATGAGCACCTCATCAGGGCCATGCTTTGGGATTGGGATGTTGTCGATCGTGGTGGTGAATTCTGGGTCGTAGTATATCTTGAGGTTCTTCATTCTTGAATCCTGGCGAAAAGTGCGATCTCTGTCGTTGTTGAATAGTCCGCCGCAATGATACGAGGCTTCATACATGATTCTTCAATACAAGCAAACCTATCCTAGTTCAAGCAACCGCGTATACTAATCAACAGATGGTTTAGAAAGCCAAGAGTATCAGGATGGTTCGGGCGTGACGCGGATTTTCGCTCAAGAGCTCGAATCTGCGTGCACTTGCGTAACGCCAGACAGATTAAGGGTAGTCGTCATTGACTTCTCACTACTTCCGGAGGACCTGCTCATGACGCTTTGCACTGTGTTGCAGCCAGGTGTACTACTGCGCGACGCGAGTCTAAATCCGGCCCTCGGCCGAGACTCGGCGCTCGCGTGAATAGACGTAATAGAGCAAGAAGATTTGAACAGTAACATATCGAGGCGTCTATAGTATTCCATAGTTGTATTCAGAGAAGCGGACATCATCTGCACGAGATGGATCATCAATACATGTGGCAACCAGAACAATCTAACAACCCGAGCAAGGCTTCTGTGGTGTTGAGAGGAACGGATGCGGGGGATCAAACGGTCCGTGAATGGACTGGCCTGCTGTCTGTTTAGACAAAATTAGATTTGTGAAGCTCTGGAAGGGGACAACGGTCTCAGTCGTGCAGTGGGGAAGTACCCCGCATTAACGCCTCACAGCTACCCCACATAGTTCCACAAGTGGGCTGGTCACGCATTACCTTTGTTTTGGCTGCCTCCATGTGGAGAAAACCAATACATGTCGGTGTCAGGTCTTTCGATGAACAATTGAGAAGAATCTCCACTGAGCAAACCAACCAGGAATTCTTTGCTAAGACACTTCTCTGCGAACATTACGGAGAGTCAATTCAGGGCACAGTTCGATCACATCGCTTCGTTTCCAGCATACGTACGTTCACCATGTCCGCCGCCGACCCCAACTTCCCATCTGGGCCTTATCCAGCCGGGAAACACATAATTCCGCCCCCACGGCCCGTTTCCCCTTCCACAGCCGGCTACAGCCTCAATCATCTTATGCTACGTATCAAAGACCCAGAAAAATCTATCCGGTTCTACAACGATTGCTTTGGTTTACATACCGTCTTCATATTCAATGCTGGGCCATGGACAATATACTACCTCGGTCCGCGCGATACCAACATCAGCACGCTAGGCACATCTAAGGGACTTCTCGAGCTATATCATATCCCTGCGGACAGCTCAGTAGAGTACCAAAATGGTAACGAGTACCAAAACGGAGGGGTAGGCTTCGGTCATGTGGGGTTCACCGTGCCGGATGTAGGCGAGGCATTAGAGAGGGTGAAAGCATTTGGGTTCGAGGTCATCAAGCCATTAGAGGCGGACAAAGAGGACGGAATGGGCCTACCGGAAAGAGTCGTAATGGGGGACCATGGAAAAGTGAGCGAGGGCTATAAGCATGTTTTCCGACAGTTGGCATTCGTCAAGGATCCCGATGTGAGATCACTCGTGTGCAAGCGGACATAACATGGCGAGCTAAACATGAACAGGGCTACTGGGTCGAGATCGTACCCCAAGTTGTGAAGTCAGCCTAGCGTGCATTCGTTCGTCTGCTTCAATGGACTCGTGGACATTTTGGGGCTGAGCTCGGCCCCATGATCGAAATGACCGGTACATTGAGGTCCGCGATGGATACGTTTCCAACGGACGTCAGCGCAAGCGATGCCTGCAGAAGCGCTCGTCGATGTTTCAATCGCTGTGTCTATTAGCGGGATATCATAGAGCTGTGCCGCAATCAACGCAGTGGTGGGGCCAAAAATGATACGCGCGCCCTAGCTGCGGCGAGTCCATACTTGGTTGACAAGGATACCGGTACCCCTTCATCTGCAAGACGCCGACTCGCGAAATGTCAGCTTATGATATGTACATAAATCCGATGCACCGTGCCACCAGCGCCACACGCAATCTTTATGGTACGGCCGACGACGGCTCTGAGATTACACGTTTTCTCTATGTCGACCTGTTACTGTCGATCACGCTCGGCTACGCTCACATTGCTCTAAATTGTGCTCCAGCGGTCAGAGAGTGAAGCGCAATTGTAGACCCTCGTGAACAACAAACGATGCCACACACAGCCAGCTTCACGCATCCACCCCATTAAAAGTTTCGCTAGATGTCACACTCAGTTCCGCGAAGACATTAAACTCTGCAAGAACAAGATCTCTCCTTGTCTTCCATGGCTTCTCCGCGTTGCTGAAACGGAGCTTGTATCTTCGAAAATCCTAGATGCGTGTGAGTATCCGATTCAAGAAGAAGGTCGAAAGCGGCACATATATATCTCGAAAATTATCTTGTTCAGTTCAAGATTCGCAATGTTCATACCAGGACAATTGGAGTTTCCATGTCCAAATACAAGGTCTAGATTTCGTCGCACAAGCTTCAACTGTGCTTCATAATTGATTCAACACCATTCAAGACAGAATTCGGAGACATTGTCCCCGAAGACGGAGCTCATCTGAGTACCGATAGTATTGAGGCCGAGCCATGTGCCCCCTGTGATGGTGTATCCGTTCATGATTGTACCTTCTGGGGGAAATACACGCTCACGAAGCTGAGAGAATACAGGCTCCAGGAGACAGTCTTGGAGGGATTTTATCTGTTTGATGACAGAGTTTAGGACTGAATCTTGAGAATCTCTGAGGCCACTAATAACTGCATCAATCTCTTCTTGCAGCTTGCGCACGACAAGGTCATTGGAGAATATACACCTGATAATTGCTTAGAGTGCATGTAATGTAGCGCCCACTTCGCTAGATCTGTACGTCTGTCAGTCTTCAAGTGGGCCGGGTCCGCGATGGTAGCCATACATTATCACCAGGGAAATTTATTAAAATCTCTGTCGTCACTTGAGCGGTGGAGAGTCCTCGTGAGAGAAATGCATCGAGGATATCATGTTTGCGTAACTCTTTCTCACTCTCGGCACACCTGTGTGCTACAGTCTCGTGTATCTTCTGTTACGGCATCAACGATCATCCCCAAATTCACATGCTGCCCATCTTGTTATCTTACCATCATGACACGGCCTATACCGTTGGAGCTAGTTGGCTTGGGAAAAAGCCACTCTGACTAGCGAGAATCTGCCTAGCCCACATCTAGAAGGATGTTGAATTAGGAATGACCGCAACGTATTGACGTAGTGTCATTCTAAAGTTCAAAGCTTCGAAAAACCATAAAAATCAACTCCTTGTGCCAGGCACCCAAAAGGTGTCCCGAGACATAAGAGTAATATTATGTCCTAGATTAGATTCTCAGCATACCATCCAGAACATGATTGCGGATTTTCAACATCGAGTCTGGCATGGGGAACTGCTGGTCATGGCGGGAGCCATCGTAATACCAGCCATGCGCATCATGTCGACCATACCTATGTACAGCAAGTGCTATATGAGACATAGATGGGACTTCGATGACTGTGAGTAGCTCAAGATCTTGGCGAGGATGAGACTCTGACCCTGGACAGCAATGTTTTTATTAAGCTTGGTGCGCGTGAATATCTAGCCTTGGAATCTGCTAACTCTCGTATAGAGCTGCGAAGTGTCGCTGGCAATTCTTCAGATTAGCTGTAGGTACTCGCGGGATCTTGGATCATTCCATTCCACTAAAATGTTACAGTGATGACCGGAGGGGCATATGGATACCATGCTTGGGATGTGCAGATTAAAGATCTAACGAAGCCGTCCTAGTGGTAAGTGGAGCCGCTGCCGTGCAAGTGAAGTCTGAACGATCGCTAACGTCCAATCCAGCGCTCACTAGTCTTGATAGTAGCCACTCCATTGCTTACGTGGGGCATCAAGCTTGCCGTCTATAGCCTTATTTCACCGCATTTCGGCCGCTCGCATACGTACGATGGATGGTGTATGCTGGAGTCGGTGTCAGCTTTGCCCTTTCTCACACTGCAGCCATCGGCAATGGTATTGTTTGCGGGCCACGAGGCGGAACTGACCGTTTGGCATATCTAGTCGGCATGACAGGGCCACAACGCGGCAATCCCTCTGGCCTTGTCCAGATTTTTCAGTACCCTTTCAGGCGTGGCCAATTTGCTGGATGACTTTTACTTGCTCATACTGCCTCTTCCGGCATGTTACAAACTCAAACTGCCACCAAATCGCAAAATAATTATCATGCTAATCGTCCTGGCTGGCACAGGGTAATACTTTGGCAATTAATGTTTTTGGGCGAGGACTGACCTGATTACTGTGCTTTCATCATGAGTATCTTAGCGCTTATATATCGCTATCGTAGTTTCAGCTACGACACAAACAACATGTGGGTGCGCGACACAACCTACCTACAAGTTCCGCTCTTAGTTGTCACGTAAGTTACTCCTATCATTTTCTGTATGTGTGATAGACACTAAGAGTGGCCTAGCACCGTGGAGTATAGTGTTGGTGTTATTATTCCATGCATGGCTCCTTTCGCCAAATTCCCCAAGTACATGACTACAACCACTCGTTCATATCTCACCACGAGATCATTCTAGCATACCTTTTCCGTAGGAGAAGATTACAAGCTCGCGAGGGTGGAGAACAACGATGTAAAGAAACAACCTGAGTCGCAGACGGACACTATCGACCGAATGCTTGCACATATGTTTCCTGGAGACGCCGCCTCGCAAGCTTCCAGGGCACAGGGCAAAAGGGAATATCAAGGTCGAGACTGCTTTTTCGATCACGGAATCATCTCGATCGACCTAAATGGGCAAGGAATTCGTCGCGTGTGTCCGATGGAATGTGATTACGGTGGTTATCGGGGTTTAGCAATGGAGGATGGCATCGGCAGCTATATTTTTGGTCAAATTTGCGAATTGCAGTTCGGCGATGCATGCGCGGTGACCTTAATGTTCCCTAGCTCATGTTCATGCACGGCGTCAGCGCGGGTAAATACTACTGTAGCGCTATTCAGCAAGACAATCAGCGAGTGAACTGTTGCACCAAGTGACCGTGTTGTCAGAACCCAATAGAACCGCGTATACGGGCATCCATTAATATACTGCACGTGTTATCCACTGTGACGGTAATACATGGGTATATCGGCAACGAGACCTTGTGAGACCCAGAGCTAAGCCTACCCAGGATGTGGCACAGTTTGAATTTCAGACTCGCGCGTGGGTACCTTACCCTTCACAGCTTTCGTTCCTTTTTGCTTCCATTTTCTCACTTCACCATTGCCACGATCCTTTCCTCCACCATGTCCTCCACAGCATCTGTTGCATTTGCGACACTTGTCACTGTCGCGACTGTTCTCTACGGCGGCTTGCATTTGATCCTCCATCTTACTCAAGACGCGAGGGAACCCCCGCCAGTTCCAACTTCGACACCTTTTATCAAGCCCATGATTGATCTTTCGAGGAAGAAGAGTAGATACTACGTCGAATTATGGTGTGCAGACCCTCTCAAACAGTCCTGCTATTCTCAACAGATGGTATATCCGACCGCGCTGCCTCTTCGGACGCAGAACAAATCGAAAGGATATACTTCTATCTTTTTCACAACTAATAAGTTATGCAGGGAACAATCAAGAATGCCAGCTTGTACAATACGACTTCCGGGAGCCAGGCTTTATGTTATCAATGAAACGTCCCTCATCCCATCAGTGCAACGCCAATACAAAACACTGGCCTTCCCTCCGTTGCAGGCGAAGCTTGCAATGAATGTTTGTGGGTCGAGCCAAACGGCCAACGACATTCTCAACACGAATGTCAATGGCGATGAGGGATTCTGGGGTTACTCAATCACACACTACAAAGCCATACATCCGCCCCTCTTCCCTGGCCCAGGGCTGGACGCCATGAATAGGGTCATGGCACAAAAGATCACTACCTCACTCGAACGGATTCAGTCGTCAGAGGTTTTCAGACTATTTGACTTTGTCAAGCGGGAAGTTACGCGTGCGACAACGGATTCAGTCTATGGAGACCAGAACCCCTTCCGAGATCCCGCCATCGTTGAAGCGTTCTGGTAAGCTCGCTGAGAGGACATAATGCGTTACTGAGAGAGTGTGCTAATAAACTTCAGGGAGTTCCAAGAAGGAGTTATGGGTCTACTCATGGGTCTCCCACCTTCATTCGTTCGAGACAGCTTCAACGCACGAGAATTCATGGCGAAGCGATTTGTGCAATACTTCAACGAAGGCGGTCACGAACAGGGATCGGCTCTTATCAAAGCTCGCTATGCGCACAGCATGGAGCACAAGATCCCAGTGGAAGACATTGCAAGGTTCGAAACAGCTGGGGCGATTGCGATACTTACCAACACTTCGCCCGCCTGTTTCTGGCTACTCTACCATCTTTACTCGAGCCCGAGTGCACTTGAAGACTGTCGTAGAGAGCTAGGCACCATTCTTTCCGAGAATACGAATAAGACACAAGGAGGAGGATCCGGCATAACAATTACGCTCGACCTCACGCAAGCCAAGACCTCCTGCCCTACCCTGCTCTCCAGCTTACAAGAGGTACTAAGGCTGCACTCAGTCGGTATATCCACTCGACAAGTTATGGAAGATCACATCCTTGACGGAAAGTATCTTCTCAAGAAGGGAGGAACGGTCATGATCCCAGCTCCAGTGCAACACCAGGACGCTGCAACCTGGGGTGCGAATGTCCACTCATTCGATCATCGCCGTTTTTTCCCAAGTGCGAAGCGTCCGAATCCGATTGCCTTCCGCGGGTTCGGTGGAGGAACGACGTTATGCCCTGGTCGACATTTCGCAAGCACGGAGATCTTTGCATTCACTGCCCTGATGATTCTACGCTTTGACATGCACCCTGTGGACGGAAAGTGGAAAGAGCTGACCACCAACAAGGCAAGCTTGTGGGAAGTGACTCCCCGACCCGATGAAGACCTTGTCGTCAAGCTAATCCCGAGGGATGGATTTGATTTGAATGTCAAGTGGGAGGTCCTTGTTACGGACTCCGACAAGTCGATGCCACTCGCGGCTGAAGATATGGACGCACTTCGTCATTCAGAATAGATTAGGCGTATGTTTGGGACAAGACTGCAAGGTTAAGGACGGCACAGCTAGCATGCATGGTAGACCGGCTAAATACAATTATTGGTTCCACAGGGACGGCACCTGCATGAAGAAGGCAAAGACAGCTCTGGTCCTCATTTAGAGACTGCCGCATTTGTATAGGGTGGATTCATGTCGTCCACCTCGAGGACACTAGCTGACTTGGGGGCCGTTCGCGCATCCTATTGAGAATGGACAGCATCATCTTCACAGCTCCTCGATAACCGATACACTCGCCACACCTGGTCAAGAAGGAGCGATATCTCTATCCTAAACACTACCCGACCTAACTTGCTCCCTTCCACCAAAACCCCCACCCGCATCATCGTCCTCATTCGCGGCCAATAAGCCTCTCCCTTCATCCTCTTCATCCTCGGGTTGTGCACGCCCAACGCCCCGTCCACCACCCACTTCATCCTGTACATATCCTTCCCTTTCCTCTACGCCATCCAACACAAACCACACATCTTTCTTCGTCAATAGGCCCTTCAATGCACCCCTTTCAGTGAAGATAACATAACGCAACCCCAGCTTCATGAACATTGCGACCGTGAGTTGGAAGCTAGCTTTCGCATTAAGCGTAATGGGCGTCTGATCCATCCAAGGCCGTAGGTCAAGGGAGGTGGTAGGGTCTGATAGCGGCTGGTGGGAGAAGTGGGCTTCAGTATCTGGTGAGAGGTTACGTGGTGAGGAGACCGCAGACTTGAGCGCGAATGCCAGCTCGGTTCTGGATATGTAGCCTAGAAGGAGTGCATCCTGGACGTTGTCTATCACCGGGAAGCCCCGGAAGCGGTGCCGCGATAGCAGCTGGCGGAGAGAGGCGACTGTGTGGCCGGTAGCCGTGATGGCGGTGAGGTCTTCGATGCGAGTCATGACTTGTGCAGCGGGGACATCGGGAATGGACGAGCTGTTATCGTCGCGGTTGTCGAGGAAAGGGTATCCGTTGAAATGGATCCAGGACTCATATATGCCTCGTGGTGAGATAGCGTCTCCGACCCACTTGCTGATCATGACGGCGATCATGATGGGAAGTACGTAGGTAAGCGCGCCTGTCAGCTCAAACATGATGACCACGAGCGACACGGTCATGCGGGTTACACCCCCAAGGGCAGAGGCAGCGCCGATGATGGCGTAAGTTCCAGGCGTGACGCAGGGGACGTCAGGTTCGCATGAGTTGAAGATAAATAGACCAGGCCACGCTTGCTGAAGTTGCTTTACGGTGAGACCAACAGCGCGACCGTAGAGGCCGCCGATAGCCATGGAGGGAAGAATGATGCCAGCTGGGATTTGAAGGCCGAATGTGAAGCTCGCAAGGATGATGCCGAGGCCTGCGGAGATAAGGAGAAGGGCTACCACGCCAGTGTTGGCTTTGCCTGCCTTGCAGAGGCCGAGCGTATCATCTGTTAGATCGACGCATTCAGCGAAGAGGAAGTATACGAGCTCCGAGGCCTGGGCGCGCATGAACTTGATAGGGTAGTTTATCATGGCTGTCACAAAGGCGACAATGACAACTTCGGTGACAGGTCCTTTCAGGTACGAGCGATGCTGCCGCCACTCCGCGACCCGCATATTAAGCTTGGTAAACAGTCCTCCATACAGACCACCGAGGATTCCGAGGAAAGCAAATGGGACCAGCTCGAAGTCGTGCCACCCGCTGTGATAGGTGACCTGATATAAAACAAGCTTGCCGGTTCTGAAGGGATTGAACGCTTGCAGAGTGACTGCTGCGACCATGGCGCAGACGAAGCTCTGCCACATAGTCTTATCGGGAAAATAATAGGACAGCTGCTCGAGACTGAACAGCACTCCGCCAATGGGGGAACCAAAAGCTACCGATATGCCGGCTGCAGCTGCAGCGGAAAGTACCTCTCGTTTTCGTGCTGCCGTGGTCAGCTTCGTCGGTCAACTGATCTTGGTTGCTTACCCTCATTATGATTTACACTAGGAAATAATTTCATGAAGAGATTTGCGGAACAGCACGCTACGTGAACCAGCGGGCCTTCTTTGCCCAGCCAAAGGCCAGATGCGACTGCGAGACACTGGAGCAATTAGCGCAAGGTTTCCATACTTTCAAGAATTACGCACCAACCCCAGAGTCTTAACAACCAAGGTCCAAACGCCCAGAAACCGCCGGATAACGAAGCCACCCAGGACTGTCTTAATCTCTGCGATACCGCTGTGCTTCGCATGAGTGGAGAACTCCCGCACAAGAAGGCTCGCGCAAGCTGCAAATAGAACCTGCTCGTGTTAGACCGGGCCATTACGGTTGAGTGAACAGGCACTTACCGAAAATAGTACAAAGAAGATATACTCCACGATCCAGCCCCCACCCACAGATCGAATGCCCATTGCTGTGCTCCAGGGATGCCAATCATTGCACTTGGCGTACTCAGAATAGCCCCAGCAGCAAAATCCTTTGTTCAGATAAAACCTCCCATCCCCATCTATATTGCTGCAGTATCCCGCCTTCAAATCGCCCAGCCAATCACTCGCAACGTCGATGAAAGCTGCGATACCACCGCTGAGCACGCCAGCCGCGATCAAGATGATCCAAATCTGGCTCGCATCCGCGATTTGCTTGACGTGGCCTAGCATGCCCGATGCGCTGGAGTAGAGATATCGCAGTCGCTGCCGCTCCTTCGCATATTCGAAGATCCAATCAATGGCCGTCAAGTCATCGTAGCCCACGCGCCGGCCGGGACCTTCGACGTACCAGTCGAGCCCGTTGGCATCCTTTGTGTCCTGAAGCTGGTCGCCGGCGTCGGCGGGCGTGTCGAGGTAGTTCAGGATGAGCTCAGTGTCGCTCCCACCTGATGTGGTTCGTAGATGGTGTGCGCGGGTATTCTGGGAGCGTGGAAGCGGGGACGCGCGGTCTTTCGAGGTGCCGAGGGGCGACGAGAGGAATCGCGGGAGCCCGAAGGCGGAGGAGGCGGCGGCCTTCTGCTTGCGTTTGAAGGATACCCTGGCCATGTCAGCTTCCCCCAATTCGTTACTATGGTTTCGAAAGCCTACTGCTCCGGCAATGTGCTTGCTAGCGGATCCTCATCTAAGAGGCCGTCCTCTTCGTCACTGGGCTCATCGTCGACGGTCGGCTGCCTGTTCGCTTGCGAGCGGCTCGAGGACGCTTCGGCCTGTCCATGGGCGGACTGGTTGGATGACGAGCTGGACATGCTCTGCGAGTGTCAAGCTTATCGGGTGAAAGGGCATGTTCCTATGCGCGCATGTCGTTAATCATAAATGTGCTTATCGGGAGCTCCACGCGCAACGTCGGAGGTTCGAGGTTGAACCAAACGCGACAAACTGTGGCTCGTGCATTCTGCTGCGCCACAGTCCCATAACAGCCAGGATTCTTGACGCGAGAGCGTACAGGAGAATTTGAGCCCATAGTCTGTGAGAAGACTGGCAGGCAGAAGACATAGAAGAAGGAGGGTTCGAAGTTCGCTCACCCAGATGGAGTGCTCCTGCCCAGATGCCCGGGTGAGCTCTACGTCACGTGGCTGGTTCAACAAGCGATCCTTCACGTCTATGGAGTCCAGCACCAATGTCAAATAGAACTCATAGGCCTGGTCCTCAGGAGTTCAAAAAATCCCAAACAGAGTAAGTGCTTTGGGTTGGTGGTCAGTTTCCACTCCGCTTGGACGAAAACTTTGCCCATCACAATGTAGTGTTGCACAACCCATGGCCACGTTTCCTTGCCCTCTTTTCCAACTGCACTTCAAACTCGGTACATTCACCGACTCGAATTCAATCCGGACGGAAAACATTTCCAATCACAGCTGCCAGGCCAAAGATGCTTGAGCCGATGCCACTTCCCGATCATCAGCCACCAAAATGGAAGATAAGACGCTTCGCTGGTCTTGTGGTATCCTGGCCCGATCACCTTTGGCGGCAGTTGTCAATCTTGCGGAGCAAGGTGGATACGGCCCGATTGCCCCTGGTGAGGCTTCTTCGTTGACTATGTCGCGAGGACACCAGTTTCTCGTGAACGCAGGGGAAACTCGTCATGAATTTATACTAGCAATGGGGACGTTCATTCCTCTATTTCACTGTCAGCAGAGGACGAGTAGTCTCTATCCGGTCTCACTCTTCCGCCTCTCGGGGCGTTACGTCATGTTACCCCGCAGTTAGCCTCGTTTCTACCCCACAGCTTCCCCAGCATCGCCTACCACCTGCCGCAGGATGCCGCCAGCAACGCCGAACAGCCCACTTGGTGCGTTTGGACCGCGAACCGCGGCGGCCGGATTCCGCTTCGAGACGACTCAGGCGTCACGATTCGACCAGACCACGCGAGGTGCCGTCGCTCAGTGGTCGCGTTGATCAGACCGAGGTCTTCTTCGCACGTGGCGGACAGTCGGCGGCAGCTATGGGGAGGGTTAGAGATGGAGGACGCGTGCCGGGTCTTGGACAAGGTAGTGTGCGGCTATTAATAAAGAGGGGAAGGTACGACGGCGCGAGGGGTACTTCGTCTTCCACTACTACCTTTTGTGCATCAGCTTCGCCTTCTTCCTCGCTTGTCCTGCTCAGTCCTCCCACATCGTCTACCCCCGGGCCGTCTAGGATCCTGTTGCTCTAACGAATTGCATTGCGAGTATGGCGGACAGCAAAGAGCAGGAGCAGGTGTTCGAGATCCCGAAGACGTGCAAGGCGGGCGTCGTTGTCAACGAAGGCCCGGACTTTCGCGTCGAAGTTCGAGATGTTCCCGTACCTGAAATAAGTAGGTGTCCCTGTTGTTGTTTGTGCATACTCGTTACGTTGCATGTATACACCTACTGACCCCTGCAGAACCGAACGAGGTCCTCGTCAAGCTCAACGCAACCGGAATATGCCACTCGGACCTGCACTTCATGCTCAACGACTGGGCACTCCCCAAGATGTCTGACCTTGGCACGCAATGCGCTGGGCACGAGGGTGCGGGTGTCATTGTGAAGGTTGGCTCCCAGGTCAAGACATTGAAGCCTGGCATGAGGGCTGGTCTCAAGGTACATCACCCACTTCTCGTCGGCATTGGATCAGAAGGACTGACGGTTTGCACAGCCCATCCAAGATACCTGCGGTGCCTGCGAACTTTGCCGCACCGGTGACGAATGCTACTGTGCAGGAGCCGTCCTCACCGGTCTCACGATAAACGGCTCGTACCAGCAATATATCGTTTCGCCCGAGCGCTACACAACCATCATACCCGATGGAGTATCAGACTTCATCGCCGGCCCGATCATGTGCTCCGCATCCACAGTCTACACGTCGATCAAGGAATCCGGCCTCCAGCCAGGCGACTGGGCAGTCTTCCCCGGCGCAGGCGGCGGCGTTGGCATGCAAGGCTTGCAGCTGGCCAAGGCCATGGGACTGCGGCCCGTCGCGATAGACACGGGTGCCGACAAGAAGAAGCTCTGCATCGAGAACGGCGCGGAGCACTTCATCGACTTCAAGGAAACCTCCAACGTCGCCGAGGAAGTAGTCAAGATCTGCGACGGCGTCGGCGCACATGCCGTGTACGTGACGGCCGTGCAGTCTTACCCCTCCTCTATCTCTTTCCTGGGCGGCAGAGTCGGCGGAAAGGTCATGTGCATTGGGCTGCCGCCGGCGGGCGCGTTCCACATCGATGTGGATCCAGGGCAGATGTGCTTCCGGAAGCAGTCGGTGCAGGGGACGCTGGTGAGCAGTATGGGGGATGTGGATAAGACGCTGCAGTTTGCGCAGAGGGGGCTGTTGAAGCCGATTTGTACGGTGTATCCATTGAGCCAGTTTAATGAGGTTGTGCAGAAGCTAAGAAGGGGGGAGATTGCGGGGAGGGCGGTGATAGACTTCAACACGGAATAAAGCTGGAGCAGCATTGTCGTCTAATACAGTAAATGAATCATGTAATCTTGTCGAGCGTGGCGATGAAAATGCATGGCTTTTTGTACCCACTTCCAGAGTTGCACAGATATAACTGCCCATGGAGATGTCTTAGTACTACTCTCGTGTTATGGTTCTGACTCCGTGGGATGGCGTAGACACTATTGCTGCATGTGGTATTAAACTTGCGAGTTCGCCCTGCCCGAGGCTAGCGACCAATTTAGAAACACGAAATCGCCCCACCACCACCATGGCGAAAGTTCGAAACATGGGCGATGATGGAATCAGCCAATCAGAGCGCGACAACCACCACCGGGGCCAGGTAAGCGACGAAAAAGCGACAGGGCTCTGAGCGGTGAGGCAGTGCACTTCGCATCACATGCACCGCAGTCAACCTTGCAAGTCAAGCTTTCTCTCATAAACTTAGCAGGCCCTGCCAACGATCTCAGCCTCGGACTTTGGGTATACCATAGGCAGCTTGTCGACGTCTGCGCAACGTGATATGCGAGGAAGAGCTAGAATCGGAGGCTGAGGCGAAAAAAGCTGGACCGACGATGCATTGGGCGATATACGGATTTGGACATCGAGGATTATATCGCAGACGACTCACTGGAGACTTGAAGGATTGAGAACGCGTGCACAGAAGGATTGACCTTCCACCCTCAACATGACGTTTGGCTTCTCGAGTCGGGAGCGCAAGCACAAGAAACTTCCAAAACCTGCTGCACAGCCGTACGCCCATGCGACGCTGGGCTCGCAGTCGACTGTGCACACACAGCAGAGCCACGAGATTCCCTATCCGCCGCATCAGCCGAGTGGATACTTCACGAATCCTCCGCCGCATTTCAACTATGCTGTGAGCCCTCCGCCGTCTGCCCGGCATATCTCGCCACCGCAACAGCACCATCCAGTTTATGGAGCAAGGCCGCAGATGCCACAGCAATTCTATCAGTCTTATCCTGCCTCGCCGCCTTGTCAACCAGCGCAGCCTCACTGTGTTGAACCCACAGCTAGCTCCGCCACACACTCCCCCCCACGGAATGATCGTGGATTGAAGAGCCACTGGGACCGAGCTGGACGTCTGGCGTCGAGGTCGTACCAGGATCTGACAGCTCAAGTCTCTTCAGGCGCACAAAAAAGCGTAGACCTCGCCAACAAAAGTGTCGCCGTGACAATGACGACCTTCGTTGAGCGGCCTACCACACTAGTCACGAAGAAAAGTGTGCAGATGATCAACCAAAGTGCGGCTCTCTGCGATCGTTTGAATTCCAAGTTGGATGCCGTCATCACTAGCATTGACGAAGGCATGTTCAGCGGCAAAGAGCAGGATCTCATGGTCGAGGACGACGAGATGCCGTACGCATCTACTTCGACACTACAGCCCGGCACTGCGCTCGACCGATCTGCAGCTTCGGCTGTATATCCCAGCCAGAAAAATGCAAAAAGCTCAAACATGTTCTCAAAAGTCTGGCTATACTCGAATTCGCGGTTACCTCCACACCTTCCACCCTTTAAGGTCTACATGCCAACCTATCCGCTACTCTGCCTCGCCGCCGCATACTCAGAGCGCGTCTACACTCCTTCAACTCTCCCAAACACCGAATCCGAGACCCACATCCCCGCAGACTGGCGCTCAGGCACAAAAGCCATGATCCTCAAGTCGCTCCCCCGCGACGACATGAACACCGTCGTCTTTGCCATCCGCGGCTCGCAAACCTTCATGGACTGGGCCGTGAACTACAAGTCCGCGCCGTCCAGCCCCGACGGCTTCCTCGACGACCCCGGCAATCTCTGCCACGCAGGATTCCTTTACGTTGCGCGGAAGATGGTCGCGCCGGTGGCCGAGCGTCTCCGCGTCCTCCTGCAGGACAATCCCGCGCGGTCGAATTGTAGTCTCCTCATCACGGGCCACTCGGCTGGTGGTGCCGTCGCCGCGCTGCTATTTGCACACATGATGAGCACGACGGTGACGTCGGAGCTGAGCTACCTTACGGGCTTTTTCAAGCGCGTGCACTGCGTGACGTTCGGCGCGCCGCCGATCAGCCTGCTCCCGCTCAAACCCAGCACCGACAAGCGGCACCGCAAGAGTTTGTTCTACAGCTTCATCAACGAGGGGGACCCCGTGCCGCGCGCAGACAAGGCGGTCGTTAAGAGCTTGGTCAAGCTGTGGAGTAGCCCCCCGCCATGCACAAAAAATACATCCACTCTAGCCAGCATGTCGAAGCTCAACATCTCTTCTTCCTCGAATAATCTCGCAAAGCCCAGTCCTGGGCGCAAAGTAGCCAAGACGAAGCCCTCAAAAGCATCGCTGCCTGCGACATCGCTCGCTCCTACAACTGCAACCTCCCCGCCGTGGCCCGTGGTGCCCTGCACGCTGAGCAATGCGGGGCGGCTGATTGTGCTGCGGGAGAAGGTGGAGGGCTCTGTGGGACAAGAGGAGGACATCGAGGCTGTTACGGTGAACGACGAGATGTTGAGGGCGGTGGTGTATGGGGATCCGGTGAAGCATCAGATGAGCCTGTATAAGCGGCGGGTCGAGTGTATTGCTACGAGGGCGGTCACGGGGGGTGGGTACTGACGTTGGTTTTGCTGGCAGACTTGCCTCTGGGGACTCGTGCAAGGAACTAAGTCAGCATTGCGGTTGCAAGCACTGGGGCTCTTGAGGATTTATACATACCCTAGATTTATGAATATTATTGGCTTGTTGGAACGCGTTGTTCGATGTGGTTCAATTGCAGGTGTAGCAAAAGAGAGCTATTGGGGGAGTCGCGTTGGGTTCATGCTCGTTGGGGTGCATCCCACGAGTATGCATATATGCGTACTGAGAAAGACGGATTGCCAGGAGAGATCACTGTACTCACGTGATGATTCAATGAAACGAACCCGATCGTGGAAGCACAGCAACAATCGTCAGGACGATGCTACAAACATCACACGTGGCTCGCGACAAGCAGAACATGCTCCCAGACCAGGGCGCTACACGAAGCCTTCCGAGCATCGGTTCAACAATTATTAAGAGCCTGCTCTATCTTGAAGGCTTAGGTAAGTCGATGCCAGAAACCAGGCGAAGAACTTCGCACCCGCAGCGTGTAGACTCTGGGGTGTTTCCAGAGATGGCCGAGCAGATTTGGGATCATCCGGATCACAAGCTTGGTTGGCAGCGCAGAACGCAGCATACTAGGGTACCACTCGAATCTTGTGCAGCTGGAAGATCGGGAAAAGCACGGCCATCTGCTCCAACTCCACACAGTGGACTTGTGCCTTTGCACCCAGACCTGTTTACGCATTTGAGCTTTAACACGGCCTATATGAAAATATTAGCGTTCGCCAAGAACCGCTCGCCGCACCCATCCTTGCGATACCCTCATGTTCGAACCATGGAACTACATCTACAGCTGAGAACCTATCAAATCGCCTTGTTCCGACTCAAAGACGCCCAAAATGAGCTTTTAAGGTTTCACGGAACGATTCATACCGCAATTTCCACATGGACATATGGAGACTCCCTCAAAATCATCAACCTGGCCTGCAGCCCCACGTGTATATACTTGCGCGAGGCCATTGGCTTTGAGAGGTTACTAAGCATTCGAGACGCTCAAAAGACAATCTGTGCTGTTATGCAGAGAATCTTAACGAATTTGCTCTACGATTCGCCGATAGTTCGCCACTTTGGCCATCTCTATACGAAACAGTGCGGACTGCGACCGAGAGAGTGTACGAGTCGCATTCTGCTTCAAAATGAGATTGTTGTCCCCGAGTTATCGATGGATACATGAAATCTTGACCCAATGGCTCAAAAATTCCATCACTAAACATCGTTATCCCGGGCTAGAAGATTACAAACAGGCATTAATCCGCAGATTTAATTTCGACGTGGGCTTGTTCATCCACATGGATGTCGGAATCATGGAGGGTACGACTGTTCGTCGATCGAATTGCTACACGAGCTAGATTAAATGCGCCGTGAGACAGTATGGGTACACCTATCTGGCTTAAAAATTAACCCCAAATATAAGCTAGTGATGTAAATGTAAATTATGATTACATACAAGGCGCTTCCGAAGAATGTGGAGCATATCGTCTCCCATGAATATGTGCATCTACTCGTCCAGCGACTGCATGTTGTGACGGACTCTGAGCTTCAACCTTGAGACGAGAACGCGACGCGTCTGTGAGCAAGCTGTTGACATAACCAACGGGCACGATGATGCAATGGTAAAGACTGCAGCTGACTACAACAAAGCCAAAAGGCACGGACCGAGGCGAGAAAGTAGAAGAGAAAAGGCCGTACCATGAAGGACAAGAAGCATAGCTCAAAGCGAGACCAGGTGGAGGGATCTCTGAGCGATAAAAACGATTCTCGATCGCGCATCTGCGGCATTTCTCCGGACTAGGGTGGTTGACTGCTTCATAAATAGGTTGTTCAAACTCGCTCGCCGCATTTCTGAGGACGAAAGGAGCCCAATCTAGAGCCAAATCTTGACACACTCGTAACCTGGCCGTCACTCATCAACTTTTGTACCTCCCTGCCACAGTATTTGGACGTCCGTGTGCATGTCATCTGATGCTGGCTTGAGATTGCTGCTGCATTTTGGTTATAGCCCCATGCATACATGAGCAAATGTCCATAGCATGCGTAATCAGGTATCTGTTAGACGGTAAATCCAACGAACTTCAGACCATCATATGACTGGTAGAGCGATTCGGAGTGAGCTCGAACGCTCAGGCATCTTACTCTGTTATTGATGATATCACAAGACAAACAAATGACGCGGCCACTCCCAACAACGAATAAGCCTTCCGTCCTCGCGAACTAATGCTTGTATCTTCATGGCGGTTGCAATCTTTCTCTTCTATACTTCACATCAAACTCTCAAACTAAATCGCATGGCTTTTCCCCAGTTTCCCCATGACCATGCGCACCACGGTCGGCCCCGCAGCACAGACGCTCACCATGCACGCCATCACTCCACAGCTCAACGTAATGAGATGGCTAATGCGACACCCGTGCAAATAACTGCCCAGCACTACATCCAGCTCGCCACCGTGGAACAGATTCCGGATCTGCGTCGCTCCTGCATTGATGACATCGTGCGGATCCAAGCTCGGCAGGCTCTCCTTCAAATGCGCGACAAGGCCCTGCTGGAAGGAGGCCTCGCAGCTAGCCACGAACAACGAAGCACCCAGATTCTCGGTGAAGAGCGTCAAAGATGTTACCGATGGGATGTCGTTCCGTGAGACGAGTGACTGGTTGTAGATCATCGGAATCTGCAGGCAAAGCCCGACGCCTATGCCAGTGAGCAACTCGAATCCAATCCACGTGCGCGTGGTCCCTGGTTTGTTAACGGAGTATATCGTCGCTGTACCCGCGGTCGCGAGGAACGCGCCGACGAGGAGGAACGGCTTGTGGTGGCGCCACCAGGTGAGTGCGCCGTTCGAAAAGGCCGTGAACACGGACACGGCCAGGATCAGCGGGATGAGTCGGATGCCGCTTTCCGAAGCAGAGGTCGCGTCCACAGACTGAAATTGCACTGGCAGCATGTACTGCAGCGGGAAAAACATCCCTGCCAAGAAGAAGGCATAAATCAAGTTCATGCAGACGTCTGGCTTCTTGATGAGGTGCGCGTGGATCATAGCTTTGTCGCGCATCTTATACTCGTTGTAGATGAAGGCTAGGAAGCTGAGTGCGGAGCCGACGAGGGAGCCCCAGACCTTTGGCGAGCTCCAGGCGTGCGAGCCCGAGTAGTGCATGCCGAGGACGAAGCAGCTAAGGAAAGAGGTTACAAGAATGCCGCCGCCAAGATCGAGGCCGATGATGCGATCGCGGAGAGCGGTGTCCCGGATGACGATGGGGGAGCGGAAGGTTAGTGTCATGATGATCACGGCGAGGCCGCCGATGGGGAGGGAGATCCTATGGATGGTCAGTAATGCGAAGATGCATTTTCGGACTGTGATGTGCTTCAACGGGGGAGAAAGATTATGAGTAGCATACCAGAAACACCACCGCCACCCCACGCTGTCCGTCAGTCCCCCACCCAACAACGGCCCTGCAACGCTGCTGATTCCGAAAGTCGCACTCACCACCCCCATATACGCCGCGCGATACTCATCCCTCACACTAATCGCAATGATAATAAAGCTCCCCGTCATCACACCCCCGCCCCCGAGCCCCGCAACAACCCTCCCCAGAATGAGTATCTCGGAGCTCCGCGACGCGCCACAGATTACATTACCGGCTTCAAAAATTGCCACGGACAGCATAAACACCCTCTTCAGCGGGAAGTACTGATACGCCTTTCCCCAGACGAGCTTGAATGCCCCGTTGGTAACCGAGTACGCACTCCCGTACCACGCGATGTTCGCAATGGAGCCGAATTCCGTGGTGATGGCGGGGATGGCGGTGGCGATGATGGAGAAGTCAAGGGCGGCGAGGAGGATGCTGAGCATTAGGCCGAGAGTGAGGAGGACGAGGCGGATGCCTTTGGGGTGCTGGTACTGCGGGGAGGAGGTGGTGATGGTGATGAGGGAGGCTGATTCTGCCTCTGCTCCTGCTTCGCGTGAGTCATCTTTGGCGTTGGAGGGCTGGGCGGGCGCTGGGGTTGCGGGGACCGCGGTTCGTGTTGCCAGCTCTATTTCGTCCATTTAGAAAGACAATTGAAGTTGAGGAATACTGAGAACGGGTGGGAGTTGGTGCACGGGATATGTAGTTCTGGCGTAGGGCGTGTCACGCCAAGGAATTGCTGGATAAGGAAGGTGTCATAAGGATGGGGCTAGCGTATGTAAGATCTAGTGCTGCACCATTCATGAAAAGCGGGTTTTCCGCCTGCTGTACACGCAAAGCAACGGTGAGTCATATAAAGTGGTTGGGGACAGTATCGCAATGAAGACCGAGATTAGCTGGTCGCGAGAACAGGGCGCTACAGAACATTCTGACAGTGTGTTTCAACGAGTTGTTCACAAGGTCAGAAAGCAACGTCTCTACTGTATCTCTTGAGTAGCAGTTCGGAATAACGTAGAACCAAAGTGAGTGATTCGATGAGATTAAATGTAGAATTCTTGGGCGCAGACCAGGGTTTAATGCTCGGGAAGGATATCTGGCAAACTAGAATCTCACTTCCTCTCCATTATGAGCGACTCACCAACCATTGCCTGTGCACTTCCGCCGCACGCCGTCATCATGTGCCCTCCCATTCAGCCCACTACTTTAGCGTACACTTACATCCTTCCTTAGTCATTACAACTCTTGGCATGTCACACTGTTGATACGTCTAAAGCAGCTAGCGCTAGTAACCACGCCCTTCCCTAAGCCCCCTGCTAGTCTCCCGCTCCCGCCCAGTCTCAGCCAAAACTCGCCCGGAGTGTATGTGGATCACCTACTCTAAATCGCTCCACGCTTGCGGGACGAAAATGACACTGCGGAGCCCTGCAAGCGCTGCTGTTTCTGGCGGGACGAGAGTTAGGCCCGGTCTGCGTGTGAAGAGAAGGGAGCGGGAGCGGGCGAGGACGCTAGAATTGCAGGTACGAAAAGCTTATTTGTACGTTGGTGAAGGTGCTCTGGACTTTGCCAAGTTACATAGGGTCGCTGCGAAGCTTGGAAGGGTGGGAACGGACGGTAGGCAAGGTAGTAGCCATACCATGACTTTGAGAAGACTGTAAATCTTTCCACAAACACATGTAACGCGTATCCCTCGTTTCGAGTAAAGCTTCAATTTTAAAGTCCTACCAAACGCCACAAATGCACACTTTTACCCCTTCAAACGCCTGAAATGCGAAATTCGCGATACAAAAGCGATCAAACACTCCCCACAACCTCCCCAAACCACTGCCTCAGCGCCCCGGACAACACCCCGGGCAACTCCCGCACATCTCTAACGACCAGGAAATACCGGAACGGGAAGCGCTCCATATACTTCCACCTAATAACCTTACCCTCAGGCGAGATCTCCACAGACTGCAGATCCATGATACCCTTGTTCTCCTTCTCCGCCTCGGGCTGGCCATCAGGTGCATTCGCAGCCGCAGCAGCAGGGGCGCCGGCAGAAGAGTCAATGATGACGAAGACAATCATCACACGCTCCTCCTGCGCGCGGCGCACAAGCCGCTGGATATCCGCATGGGAGTCGCAAATCCCATCACTCACGATGAGCATGAGCTGCCATAGGTCCTCGCCGGCGGAACTGCTTCCTTTCCGTCTTGCCTCCGCAAACAAGTCCAGGGATTTGTGCACCAGTCCGCGCACGTCCGTCTTCTGCTGGGCGAAGCCAAACTGCTCGAACACGCGCACGCCCGCCTCGCTGGTAAACGGCTTGTCGAAGTCATGCGCGACGTTGATGGTGTCGCCGAAGCCCGTCACCGCGACCTCACCCACCTCAAGCATCGCCATGCTGCGCGCGACGAGCGTGAGCGTCTTGAGTGCGAGGTTGGAGGCGCCAGACTCGGCCATAGATTTGGAGTCGTCGAGCGCGATCATGACTTGGTAGGAACGCTTGGAGGGGAGCGAGCGCCGCAGCCAGATCTTGTCGCGTTTGTAGCTCGAAGCGATGTAGGGGATGATGCGCTTGAGGTTGAGGCGCTTGCCGGTGCGGAAGTCGCCGCGGAGCTTGGTGGCGAGAGTGGGCGCGAGGATGAGGCGGAGCGACTCGGTGAGTTGTTGCGAGAGGGAGTGCGTGGAGGCTTCGTGGGAGAGCCAGAGGGCACGCGCGCTCTCCGGTGTGAGAGCGGATACGTCGTCGAGGTGCACAAGGTCAAGCTTCGTCTCAACTTCGTCGACTGAAGAGCCATCTGATACGTCATCCTCGAGAGGCATAGCGTCGTCCATATCCGCATCTTCTTCGTTCAAAAAGGGCTTTTGCTCGCCGACGAAGGCCTGAGGCCGGCCGTCGGTAGTAGACTGCTGCTGAGGTTCTTGCTCTTCTGGCGGAGGGGGTTGGTTATCCTGCATGTCGACATCCTGCTGGGCATCGGGTAGCTCTTCGGTGTCTTCGGGTCGAGCAGCTGTCTTCTCCTCTTCATCAACTGCCATAGCCATATCGTGATCCAAAGCCTTTGCTTGCTCTTCAGTCGCCGTGCCCAACGCTTGTGTGTCAGCCTGCTCCTCCTCGTCTTGAAGATGCTCGAAGTCAGCATTGGCCATGTCGACCTCCTTGTCAATCTGCTGCACTTGCGTCTCTTCCTTCTGGCGAGCTTCCGAAATTTGCTTCTGCTGGTTGTACCACCTCTCCAATACATCGCCCAGCTTCTTGAAAGATTGCGTCTCGGGAGACTCTTCGGGCTGTTCACCATGACCACCAGCATCAGGCTGAGCGGTTCGACCGAGGGTACCGTCGTCAGCAGTTGTCTCTTGCTGCTCTGCCGACTCCCCTTCAGTGCCCTCGTCGCGGTTTGCAGCGCTGGCAGAAGTTTGCTCCTGTTGGTTCTTGTGTGCTTCTTCGTTGGCGTCTGCACCTGCACCGGCCTCGGCGTTCTGATCAGGCTGATGCTCGTCCTTCGTATCACGCGACATGTCCTCTGGTGCGGTCTCATCAGGCAGAGGGACGGGATCGTCCTCGGGTCCCTCTTCACTCTCTTGCTCTTCTTCGCCTTCCTTCATCTCCTCATCTTCGACATGGCCTGTGGTGTCCTTCTCTTCTTCGCCCTCTTGCTCTTGCCCGATTTCTTCATCAACCGTGTCAGGCTGGACACCAGCCTCCGCTTCCATATCCTCCTCAGGAAAATCGTCATCCATGTCCATGTCCTCGTTGTTGTCCCCCTTTTCGTCATCGTCCTCATTGCCGTCCATATTCAACTCGTCAGGAAGTTCAAGCGTCTCTTCCTCTTTCGCATGCGGATCCATCTGCTCTGTCTCGCCAACACCAACATTCTCCTCCTGGTCCTCGCCTTCCATTTCCATCTCATCCTCTTCGCCCCCCTCTTTTTCCTCTTTCTCCTCATTCTTCTCATCTTTATCGTCCTTCCCATCCTTCTGCTCCTGGCCAGCAGCAACCTGCTCATCTTGGTTCTCAGTCCCAACATCCTCCTTGCCTTCCTTCTCCTTCAGATCGTCCTCCTTGCCACCCTCATCCCACATCTTCTCATCCACCGCGCTGGGCCCAAGGTCGTCCACACTACCAACCTCACTCTGCACATCATCCTCGCCTTCTTCACCTTCTTCGTCGCCCTTCTCTTCCTTCTCTGCGGTCTCGCCATCTTCGCCTTCCATCTCCTTATCACCCATATCGACGGCATCTTCCTGGTCTTCAATGCTTCCTTCCCTTTCACCCTTCTCTTGCGCAAGCTCTTCAAGATCTTCGTCGTCTTCGATATCTTTCGAAATGTCTTCTGCACCTTCGCCAGCACCCAAACCCGTGCCGTCTTCGAGCTTCTCATCCTTGGTCTTGTCGTCTTGGTCGTGGGATTTCTCGGGCGGCTGGCAGAAGCCCTGGGTGCCGACTTGGATGAAGGATTTCGCAAGACGATGGAGGAGCTTCGCTGTTGAGGTGTGCAGTGCGGAAAAGCGGGCGACGAGTGACTTGTAGGAGGCGAGGTACTGGTTCAGCAAAGGCTGGATGGTGGCGAATAGCGTGGCTATGACGCGCAGATCGGCATCTTCAGAGACAAGGTGGGCAATGTCCAGGAGTTTTATGATCGAGGAGCTAATGTGAAGCGCGTAGAGTGCATCAATGGCGGCAGTCAAAGCCTTTTCTTCCCTCAAAAGCCAGCCAGCATCATCGATCGAGGTGGGTAGATCCTTGAGTGCACTCTCGACATCTTGCATGGAGCCAAGGATGGAGTCCAGTGTGTCAAGGATGTCCTTTGCATGCGACTCTATCGTAACGCGCTTCTCTCTTGACACAACTTGTGCAGTGGCGTCGGGGTAATTGAACAAGAAGCTCTCGACATGCTGAAGGACAGTGCGAGAGATGGGGAAGCGCTCCGTCCAGGTGTTGAAGATTTCGCGGAAGTGACCCAATTGAGTCTTGACAGACTGCTCGAGATGCGTGTGAGCTTCGGACCATATGTTTGAAGGCAGAGCTGGTAGCTTGTCAAAGTCGTCCACCGACCGGCGAAGTTGTCCACTCCATTCTCGCATCTCCAGCACTAAGGCATCCACTTCGTTAGTTTTTCCAAGTTTCGCTTGTGCTGCAACGACCTGTGCGCCTGTATCGAGCATTGCGCATAGCCACGCGAGCCTGGGTCGTACAGTAGCGGTAGCATCTGTCTTTGCTTTCGAGACGCGTAAAATATCCTGTTCGTGCATCGAGCTGAACTCAGCTGCTTTAGAAATCGGGCCCTCTACTTGTGCTAGCATATTCGATGCCTTGCTCAAGAACCCACGTTGTCGAACCGAAGTATGCAGCAAGCCCTCGAGGTAGCCGATACTCCTCGTAACATCATTGCCCGTCAGATCTCCGTGGTGTTCCTTGGCAATCCCCCGGACCTCATTCATGATGCTCAGCGCCTTATGGAGGAAGAACTCGGTCTGTCCCGCCCCGACGACAGGCAGAGCAGCGAGTACCGTGGAAAGGTCTTCCTGTCGCGCCAATTGATCCGTGCTTAAGTTCGCCTTGACGCCCATCTGGCGAAGTTCCTTCATCGTATCAGCGTAGACCTTGCGTTTACGTGTCTTGAGATGTTGGACAGCCACTTTCGTCTCTTCAGTCAGGGTAGTGGGCGTGGCTTTCTGCAGCTCAACCATGGAACTCTCGAGGTCGACAATGAAGCTTTCAATATAGATGGCGCCATCCATTGCCTCGGTGTTAGGTGTTGTCAACTTTCTCATCAACGGCACAGTGACTGCGAGGTTCTTGAATCTTGTGGGACGAGCGCTCCAGCTTTGCACGCTCGTGTCAGACAGCGCGAGTGCAGTGGGCGAAACAGCGGTGCCCACTCCTCCCATCTCGATCGCCTCAGGTGAAATAATCTCCTCTGGGAACCCAGCACTGACGATACCGGAAACAGGCTGGTTCAGCAGCGCTCTGAACTTCCTCACCGACCTGCTCAGCTTGCGATGCGAGTTCTTCGCACTCGCCTTTAAGGCTTCGATATTTGTATCTTTCCAGCTAGCCAGCTTGATCACGTCGACGACCTGTTTCTCGAGCTTTTGGCGACCCTTGACGAGCGCTTCGAGTACCGGCTTCTGCAGTCGGGAAAAGTACGAGATGAAATTCTCAAGCGCGGTGCTGAGCGGTTCGAAGAGCGAGTTGTCCTGTGCCCGCATTGCGACGTGGGCCTGAAGTTGTCGGAGAAGCTTGATGCGCTGCTCGTATTGGCCTAGTGTTGTCGCGTAGAAGAAGCCTTCGAGCGTCTTGAGCAGATCCTTTGCGAAGACCTTCATAGTAGGCTCATTATCGATAGAATCCGCTGCAGCGATGATGGTCTCATAGGCGATGAAGAACCAACTGTTGGCGTTATCGCGGCACTTGGCGGTCTCCATGTCGAAAAGGCGCGCCCATGTCGTTAGTTCGAGCTGGCGCCAGCTCACAAGTAGACTTGTAAGGTCGTCGAACAGTGGTGCAGTGCTGAACTCCTTGCTCGCGACGCGCTGCCACTCGTACATGTACCCGTAGAGTTTCTCCAACTTCGTGATAAGTTTTGCGACCGGATCGACGTGTCTGAACTCAAGCGCTTCGTCGCAAGTACGCAACACTTCCGACAGTGTGGCGTGTTCTGGCCATATGTTGCGGATCTGTCGGTATCGGATCTGGATGCGATGAAGCAAAGCCATCATCCGCTTGGCTTCTGGAAGGTTGGCGTCGAAGTAAAAGTTGTACGCCTTGCCTTGGCCAGAAGAAGCAAGTGCATCTGCCTTCTTCTCGAGCGCAAGGTATATCGCGGGCAAGGCGTGCTCGTGTCGACTACCGTATGCCTTGCCTTCAGCAACTCTGCTCATCTCTCTTGCACACCAATCAAGAAGCCGTTCGATGCCGTCCGTGGTGCTGCTGCTACCGAGCAAGATCAATGCATGCATATTGGCAAGCCGGATAGCGTGATCACGAGAGGTGGAGGAGTGTCCTGTTTGCAGCGACTCCTCGTCATCATAGTCCGGGAACAGCGAGCGGTCTTCTTCGTCACCGTCTTCGTCTTCGCCACGGTAGGTGTATAGGCTGCTGTTCTTTGCTTCATCGTGTTGGTCTTTCTGGAGCTGAATCTTCCACTCGCTATAGAACGACGAGAAGAGATTGTGAATCAGCTGCCGCGGCTTGTCGACGGACAGGTAAGGTGCATCCACAGCCTTGATGACAGCTAGAGAATGCAGAGCATGCCACCTCAAGTCGACCGCGTTCTGTCTCTGTGCTAGTTCGGCTTCGCAATCTTGGATCAAGATCTCGGAGTTTATGTTGCGCGTATGATATACGTGAAACCCAAAGAACGGGGTGTATTTGGTGATGTACGCAAGCGATCTCGAGGCATCGTTCTCCTCTTCTTGTTCAGTTGCGCCCAAAGATAAACCGATGCTAAGGCACACAAGGAAGCCTATTGCAGGACTAGTAATATCGTCGTAACTTCGGTAGCCTTCAGCCAGTCTCCGGATGATATGCGAGATGTTTTGCTTGAGCGTGTTGTCTTGAGCAGCCTCTTTGACAGACATCCCCCCCGTTGCCAGTGGGCGGATCACACTTAGCAGATTCGAAAACTCGCCCTGCAGAGCATCAAGTTCTGATACCTGGGGACGTACGATAGCAGGCACAGGAGGCTCCTCTCCCATATCGCGGATGGCGTTCTCGGTCTGGCGTATACGGAAGCTGGTGTCTTGGCCCGTGAAACCAACTTGGAATTCACGCAACATTTGCAATGCACCCAGAAGGCTAATTCTTTCCTCGTTGAACAAATTGCGCTCAATCATCGGCCGCAGCGCCGGATCGTGAGGGTAATTTGGTACATAGAGGTTCAATCCGGTCAATCCAAGTAGAACCCAGGCCTGAGAGTCGATTTTGTTGACAGCACTTGCGTGGCGGTAACACTGTTGCAACGGGGCCAGGGCTCCGAGATAGGCCTCTGATATGGATGCTGTAGGGTGAAATTCCAATGAGGTCTGATCGACCGTAGATATCACATCAATGCAGTGCGACGCATAAAGGCCGTTGAGAGTATTGCGATAGAGCCAGTCCAAAGCGCCCTGTTGGTGGCTGGTAAAGCGCTCCGAGTCGAGAACAAGCTCTTGCGCGAGCACTTGTATCTCCGCTTCAAAGCGCTCGAGCTGAGCAAGCTGAACTTCGTCCGAGGCGTGTAGCTGAGAAAGTAAAGCGGTGTGGACACATCCCTCGATGGCGACTGGCTGGCTCGACTGTTTGTGTAAACCAATGTACCTAGACAGGCGATCCATGTTGCCCCAGGCACTAGTTTGTTCCATAGGCTCATCCGCGAGTTTAGCAAGCTTCGTGGGTCTCCTCGCGAGCAATGAAGATTTGGCGCGTACGATAGGCACTGCGGCATTTGGTGAGATATACCTACGGTCATTCTTCGGTATAAGGCTCTGTGCGATATCAAGGTGCTGGCACAGTCCTTCGAAAACGGCCTCGAAGTAAGGCGTTATAGTGGTGTCGTCCTCGCCGATGCTCTCCTCAAGCTCGCGCACAGCATTGGTAAGAGCCGTAACAAGCTCATTAGCATCCACGTCTTGTGTCCTGACAAGCTCCGAGGAACTGGCAAAACGCTCGCGGATCTGTATCATTTCGTCGAGCTTCAAATGCGACTTCCACATGATCGCATCCAGTCTGTCAGCCAGTTTCTCCAGCGCAAGCACAGCCGCAAGCTGGACATGTTGCTTGGGCGTGTCAGGCTTGAAGTAGCGCCATACGTGTTCCATGCCTAGACCGCTGCTCAGTTGAACCTCGCTGCCGAACTTAGCCACCTCCTTAGACAGCTTGCTGCCCAAATCGACAGCAACCGCCGCTGGAACCTTGTTGAAGCCTGTGGTTACATCGGACAGCATTTTCAGGTATGTCTGGAACGTCGCACGATCAAAGTTCGAGCCAGTCATCAGACTGTGGAAGGACCAGAAGAGCTGGCGCAAGAGCTTTGGTGTCAAGCCTTCGATGTCGAGCAGATCCATGGCATCGCCGCCCTGGGTGATGCCCTGGATGCAGGAAGCCATACCCTGCCAGAACGCATAGAGGAATGCTGGGAGCTTCTGCAGTTCTTTTCGGCGTTCAAACTTAGTGGACGGAAGCGCCGCGAGGGCCTTCTGCATCTTGAAGCAGTCCAGCAGGACTTCGTATATCGAGCCGTACCACCTTGACAGGGCTTCGGAAGAACTGTTATGGCGAAGGATTAGCTCGTTGTTGAGTGGGTGGTACGACATCAGGGCGAGCGCCAAGCTGGGTTTCTCGTCTCCAGCAAGCTTCTTTTGTAAGGATCGTGCTTGGGGATCTGCAATCGATGTGAGGAATTGCAGCTGTTCGTGCAAACTCGACGAGGTGGTGTTGATGACTGGGGTGCCATTAACAAAGGTCGATTGATTGCCACGGTTAGTCAGTAGTCCTTTCGAGACCTGTTTCTCGAAACTCTGGAGAAGATCAGTATCCACAATTGACAGGTCCTCAAGTTGCGTCTGCGTGACTTCGGTCGCAGTGGTGTTGCACAACTCTCGGAAGCGATACATCCTGCTCTCAAGTGGGTGCTCTATCGCTGGCTCCCCCTCTGAACTCACTGCAACTTCCTCTTCGCCCAACAAACAGATCTCCACAGCTCTGTTTCGCATAGCTCTACTCAGCTCCCCGAACCTCGGGTCCACGGTCATGAAGATTCTGAAGTCGGGATGCGGCTTCATCATCCGGGCTTCACCATCGGCAGTCGAATGCTCGTTGATGCTGAGGTACCCATTCGGTTCGAGCAAGGAGTTCAGACGGTCGAGAACTGCGCTGCTACACAAGTTCGCGTTGTCAAGGACGAGCCATTTGCCTTGCTGGAGAGCCTGAATCAGAATACCGTCGACCCATTGGAAGCGGGCTCCGTCTATTTGCTGGGGCGTGTTGACAAGGACTTCGAGTTCTTGGCAGTACTTTGCCAGCTCTGTGGACGCGGGATTCTCCTGGGCAAGAGTTTGCAGAAGGACTAGTATCTCCTGGGTATCAGAGAGAGCGTAGTTGCTGAGCAGCTCTAGCAGTCTAGTGGCAGCAAATGTTGGGTTTGTCGCGGAAGAAAGTGCACGCCGCGTAAAGTCTTCCAGCGTCAACATGAAACGGTGAAGCTCTCGTGACGGATCTACCTGTTCGTAGCCGCCAACCAGATCCATGGCATCGATATCTGCGTTCATTGAGAATGTGACCATGCTCGCACCAGCGAACGACGCGACTTGGTTGATCATCGATGTCTTTCCTGATCCAGGTGGCCCAACCAGTATGACAGGCCAGTTTTGCCTTATACTGACGACGAGTGCCTCCATTGGCGCCAGCTGAGCGATGCGAAGAGTAAAAGTAGGGTCAGCCCGTGTGATGGCATGGTCCCTGGACAGCAGACCAAGTCCAACCTGCAATGTCGACAACGAAAGATTGTGGTAGAGCGTGACGCGTGGCTCATGTTGCCCATATATCGACTCGAAGAGTTTCAACAGTCGAACTCGGTCGGTCTCTGAGCGGAAGCGCTGGACAAAGATAGTGTCTAGGAAATCTCTCGCAGTCCCAGAGAATTGCGAGGATGTGAGCAGTTGCAACCAGCGAAGGGTATCTCGCAAATTGAATTCCCATGGCGCACCAAGACTGCCAAAAGCACGGTGGGTAACAACCTGTTGATCGAGCTCAGCAACAAAGGTGATCAATTTCTGGACTTCTTCGTCCGCAATACCAGGAAAGACCTTGCGACAGATGAGCGACAAATCCTCGGGTCGGAACACGTCGGCGTAAACGACCGTGAATCGATTGACGAATGATGCTGGAAGACCCTTACGCCCTCCGCCTTGGTGGTGTGGGTTCTGTGCGGCAAAAACCCGGAAGTCAGGATGCTTGTGGAACTTCTGGTCGAGCTCTGAGATGTAGACCTCGCCACGGTGATCGAGCACTGCGTTAAGACCTTCGAGCACTGACTGAGACGCAAGATTCATCTCATCAAGCAGCACCCAATCACCATTTTTCATGGCCTTGAGGAAGGGCGCGTCACGCCAAGCGAAGGTGCCAGCCTGACCACCCTCAACGGGTACGTCAGATCCAAACAGGTCCATCAAATCTGTCTGCTCGGACAGATTGAGCCTAGTGAGAGGCTTTCCAATCGCCCGGGCGAGAGCGGTAACCAGCGTAGTTTTACCGACACCGGGATTGCCTTCGAGCAAAATCGGTTTTGATAACTGCAAGGCACGGACGACTCTGGTGGCGTTCGACCTCGTAGTAGGTGCTTCGAGCGAAAAGCTGACGTCCTCGGCAGTGGTTGCAGAAAACTTTGGAATCGAAAATGGCCCCATTTGAAGAAGTTCCGGTGTTGAAGAGATAGCAATCGAACCGAAGTACATCGGGGATACGTCCTCGCCAACAAGCTCACTCAAGTGGTCCAGGCATGCTTTGCGCTCCTCGTCGATTGAAGCAGCAGATATGGCAAGCAGGCCCGCAGGATTTGCACCCAGAGTATCGATGAAGACCATGGCCGCACCATGCATGATGGCAAAGATCGGGGCATCGCTTGGAGAGTTGTTGATGAAGGTGACCCAGGCAAGTGTGTCTCGTATCGATATAGACGATGCCGCAGAGGTATTGTACTTGTTGTTAAACCACTTTGAGAACAAGACAAGATCTCTGGCATAATGCACAGCGCTCGGCTTGAGCTTCGATTGAACGATCTGTGTAATGTCCTCGTCGTCCGACAGCGCGGGCACCCATATCTCAGTAAAACGGTTCCTAAGAGCAGGCGACAGCTCTTTCTTGCCATAGTCACCACCGGGATTCATTGTAGCGAGAAACTGAAAGCCCTCGGTTGCAGTGACCAGCGAGTCCACAGGGCCTTTCTCGGCAAGAAGTAGGGTTCGCGATGACTCGAGCACACTGTTCAAGCGTTCGAGCACAGAGTCATCTGCAAGCGAGATCTCATCCAGTAGAAAATATTGTGCGTTTTTCATCGCATGGACCAGACTTCCGTCAGCCCACTCGAACAATGCCGCAGCCTTGATACGGTTGGCTTGAATCTCTTCGCGGTGAGTTGCCGGTATCAATTCGGGTGCGTCTGGCCGCTCGGCCAAAAACCTGTCGTACTCTTCAAGGAGCTCTCGCAACCCCGGGGCTACTTCTCGCAGTTGAAGATGAGGACCCAAAGCTTCCTGTAGTTGCCGGTAAAGGAGGTCTTCGACTGCGGCTCTGTTTCGTATCGGTCGCTGGGCACCAATCAGATCGCCAGTCTCCGTGTTTTGATGTGCGTTCAGAATGTGCAGTTGCCTGCCAAAAGCATCCGCAAGCATTTGACACACGGTAGTCTTTCCACAACCTGTCTCTCCAACGAGCAGCACAGGCTCATTGTTACGGATAGCATGGGCTACCAATACGAACAGTCGCCGCATCGCTTTCGTCCAGACGACACTGGCGTCCGCGCCAGTCACCTCCTTGCATAGCTTGATCTCCGGTGAATAATCCTCGCTGAACATGGTTTCCACCTGGATCTCAACCTTGGGCCCCTTTTTGCTCATCACTGTCTCGATGATCTTCTTGACAGCGACTCGCTCTTCTTCTTTCCGGACACGCTCGGCAAGCAGCATGTAACCGTTGTTCGCAAGATCTTGTATTGTGTCGGCTTTGCGTTGCGCCCAGCGGAACAGATCTCGAAGTGTTGCGAAACTCTTTTGCTCGAAGATCCGGTTCTCTTGCCGCAGGATAGAAAGTTCTTGGTATACGCTGACGATTCGCTTGCACCACGATTCGGGTATCATGGTACGTCGATGCAAGATCTCTGTCAGTTCTTCTACCGGGATGTCGTCGAAGTGGAGCTCAAGGAAACGATTGCGGAAGGCTCGAGACAAGGCCTTTCGACCACCGTACAAGCCAGCAGGATTCTGTGTTGCGAAAAGCATGAAGTCCTCGTGGGGTCGAACTACCTCTTGGGTTTCCGGTATCATTAGTTCTCGGTTGTCGTCCAGAAGTCTATTGAGAGCTTCCAAAACATCGGTAGGCGCCAAGTTCAATTCGTCTAGCACGATCCAGTGGCCTTCCCTTAGCGCTCTTACAAGGATGCCCTCCTGGAAGGTTAGCTTGCCGTCAGCACCTGAGATGTAAGATCCTAGATATTCCTGCAGATCAGTGTGCTCGTGATTGTTGATGCGCACGAACTTGTTCCCTGACCGCTTCGCAAGGTATTCAATCATGCTGGTCTTTCCGGAAGATGTGGGGCCTTGGATCAAAACAGGATAGCGGCGCGTTGAAGAAGCTCGGATGAGGTTGTTCATGTTCCGTTGAACGAACGGTGTGATAATGTAGTGAGTCTGCTCCTCGACCGGCTGCAGGCCCTGTCGGAGCCAGTAGTGACCTTCCCGGACATAACCCCTCCCATCACTTGGCTGCAACATTGGCTTTCCCAGTTCAGACTTCATGATTGACTTTTGCGGGAAGAGGTGCTCTTTGATAAGCGGAGCTACGAGATCTTCCGACGCTTTGCCAAGGAACGTCAGAAAGCTCATATGGAAGCCTTCAAACAACGCACGGCGTAATGTGCACAACGGCGCAATCTCACGGGCATATGAGAGCGTCCGCGTCAGTGTTCGAAGACTAAAATGTGCCTTCTGATCTGCGCCATCGACTAGCATATTCGCCCGAGCCAGTTCCTGGATCTTGAGATAGAGCTTGGTCACATCGGAGGATACGCGAACAATTGCCGGGTCAACCTGATCGCCTCCAAGGTACTTCTCAACGATGTTCTGCAAGCTCTTCTTGTCACCGTCAGGGCTCTCAACGTACAGCTCAGTGAATCGAGATCGAATGCCAGGAGGCAAGTCCTTCTTACCAACGTCGGTTGCCGGATTCATTGCTGCGAATACTCTGAAGTTCGGGTGGGCTACTACACGTTCAACATTCCCCGTTTCGGTGAGCAAGATTGACGGTTCGCCATCTGGCCCTCCGCCTAAGAGATCCGCAAGCGCTTCAAGCGTGTCTGAAGATGCCAAGTTGATCTCGTCGAGTAGGACCCAGTCGCCATTCCTGACCGCCTTGACAATGTTGCCTTCGAGAAAGGAGAATGCAAATGCCTCAGAGCCATTCGCAAGCTGTGCCTCGAGATCGTGCAGATCTGTCGCGAACTTATCCCAACGGGAACCTAGAAACGTAGCTGGCAAGGAGTCAACTTTGCGTTTCTTCTTCGGTTGGCCGCCATCAGGATCTGGTGACGAGGTTTGCGACTCGTGTGCTTTCCGTGCGGCATCCACCATCTTCAGAGCCTCTCGCCAGAGCGTGCAGACACCCTTCCAGTTGCCCTTCGCGACACGTTTTCCGAGCATCTCGAGAAATCGTTGATTCTTCTTGCGCGAGAAGGTGGTGTCGAAAAGTACATCGAATTCGTCTTTCATGGGGATCACAAGACTGCGAACATTGACAGGCTTGTAACCACCCAGCAGGTCACCGCTCTCGCTCTGCTGCGACAAGTTGAATGCCACTAAATTTCTTCCAAGTTGCTCAGCTAGGTATTGGATGCACGTTGTTTTTCCTGTACCTGTCTCACCCACAAGAAGCAGCGGCTCTTGGCGATCGACAGCTACTGCAATCTTCTCCAGTAACCGCAACGTGTAGCCGTTCGTGGAGAATGGTCTGCTCGTAATGTTCCGTTTCGAGATCTTATGTCGAGACAGTCTTGTCCTACCTATCCTCAGGACGCCAGACGTTGTGTTCTTAGCGGGAGCTTCGAGCTTCACTTCTCGATTTGAGAGCAGATGATCTCGTCGCTGAGGGTCGATGTGAAGCTCTTCTGCTACACACGCCATCACACGTGCTCGAGCTTGTTCGCTTCGCAAGCTACCCGCAAAACAGTCGAACGCTTCCATGAACATGTCGTCCAGCTGTGCAATACTGAAGGAAGAAGACTGCGCTAGCAAGACTGCGATGCGATCGCACCACTTGAGAAGATCTCGTGGCGTCAGCGCTCGCAGTGACGTGCCATTTTCGGAGGAGAATTTCGCATCCGAATACAGCTCGAGGAGACGAGCATATACTCTCATGATACCCGAGACGTGCTTGCCAAGGCCTGAGTACTTGTCCGAAACAATCTTCTCAAACTCGTCCAGGCCAGGCATACACACAGTGATGGATTTCCAGAAGCGGTGGCCAATCATGTTCTGGCGTGGGATGATCTGCTGGCCGCGCGGATTGAGCGTGCTGCGCATGGTTGCAATAATCCGGAAGCCCCGCGCAGCCCGAACGGTTTCTCCCCTGCTGGGAATGAGCAACTCGCCGCGCTCGATGAGAGGGAGCAAAGTGCTGACGACCTCGTTGGGCGCCCGATCAAGATCTTCGATGAAGATCCATCTTCCTTCTCGGACGGCTGTGGTGAGCACTCCCGGTCGCCAGCTAAAGGTTCCAGGCTTCGCTCCAGTTGCGTACATGCCCACAAGCAGCTTCGCATCGCTCTGTTCATTCAAATGAAGAGTGACCATAGAATCCAGTTTGTTCAGTTGCCACGCCAGATGCCGCGTGAGCAGCGTCTTTCCGGACCCTGCAAGACCCGTGAGCAGAAGAGGGCTCGAGCCTAGCAGAGCCTGCGCAATGCCCTGGAGGTTGGACTCTGTCGTCGGTGTTGATATGAGTTCCATTGGTCGTTCCTTTGATGGAGCACCGTCGAGACGTGGCAGTAGCACTCCACTGATGTTGACCGTATAAGGCGAAAGCTGGCGAGCTTGGGCTGGAGGAACCTGTCGCCCTTCTGTGGATCGATTCTGCCGTAGTCTCGTTTGGAGCTCCTTCCATCTCTTCTCTTCCCACAGCAACAGGAATCGGTAATCGATCGTTCGGCCTTCCCACTGGCCCTCGACTTCATCTTCCCCTACCACTCTCTTGATCATCTCTTGCGTTGCATGGTCGGCAGAATGCACGTACAGGCCAAAGTTCCTGACAGCCAGATACCGTACACACCGGTTCGGGTGCTGGAAAAGCTGTTCCATTGTGGCTGGTCGCATATGCTTTGCGAAATTCCGACAGTCGAAGCTCATTAGGCGAAACCAACCAAGCAAAGCCTCGCACAAGTCCTCCTCCGATACGTCGCCAACATCCCGTCTCTTGATCCCAGCCTGTTGAGATCCCAGGAAAGGCACTTGTGGCGACCTAGCGAGGCGCTCCGCATGCTCAGCAAGATGAGGCGCAAGAGGTAATATTCTTCCAAAAGCGGCAAGCTCCAGCTCAGGCGTGGCTTCCGCACTCATCCACCGTGTGCAAACCTCCACGAACAAAAAGTCATATTCGACGAACAAATCATCCGTACGTCCTGGAATGAGTGACTTCCGGGTGAGCCACTCGAAGTCGACCATTTTACCGGCCTGCGTGGAGGCGTCCATGTCGCGATATCCGGGTTTTCAGAACTTCGGACCAGCTTCCCATGCTTTTCTGTTTAGCAAGGAGTTCCAGGTTTCGCAATGGCCCGCTCCCGCACTATGGAAAGTCGTAAAAAACCCGCGGTCGGGTCGTTGCAGAGCCTCGCCTCTCGCATCCAAAAAAGTTCGAGGCGTGCAACTTTCTCGCCAAGCCGCTAATCCCCTTTGGCTCCTCTCCGCTCCGCAAAATCTCGCGAAGCAGACCTCACGACTACCGCAGCAACCGCATCAACATCTCCCCATCACCTCGCAGACCCCGTCTCGTCTTCCGCCGTCATGTCCGCCCCCGCCTCCCGCGCCCTCAGGCGCTGCGTCTGCACTGCGAAGCCCAACGCCTCGTACCTCCGCCCCACAGCCGCCTTCGCACAGCAGAGGATAGCACGACGATGGCAGTCGTCCGACGCCGCGGCGCCTGCGAACCCCAAGATCGCGACCATCGTGGACCAGATTAGCCAATTGACGCTGCTCGAGACGGCGGACTTGGTGTCGACGCTGAAGGTACGGCTTTTCTAGTCTTGGGGGAGACGCGCTCCGAGGATGAGGACTGCGATTTGGGCTTCTGCAGATGGCAATTGCGACTTCAGCCTTCTGCGTATGGCAGCTGCGCCTTTCCAGCTTGCACTTGCCTCGTCCTTGCCCAATTCCCATGCCACACCCTGCCACGAGCCCCTGCTAACGCCCCCCAGACCCGCCTCAACATCCCCGACATGCCCATGGGCGGCTTCGTCGGCGGCCCCGGCGGCGCCGCACCAGCCGCCGCGCCCGTCGAAGAAGAAGAAGCCGCGCCGGCCGCCGCCGAGAAGACCATGTTCACGCTCAAGCTGGAGAAGTTCGACGCCGGCGCCAAGCCCAAGGTGATCAAGGAGATCAAGGCGATGCTGGGGCTGTCGCTCGTCGATTCCAAGAAGTTTGTCGAGAGCGTCCCCAAGACGATGAAGGAGGGCGTGCCCAAGGAGGATGCGGAGAAGATTGTTGAGACGCTGAAGGCGCTCGGGGCGACTGTTATCATGGAGTAGACGTCAGGATAATACAGGGAGCAGATTGAGTTGGGATGAGAGGATTGCAAGAGTGGGGAAGACAGGAGGAAACGGGGAGACGTGTATTATATCACCGGCATTGCGCATGTCCAGATATGTATAAGAACATGTTCTTGGATTGCAGAACACCACTTTGGACGGTTACACTCTGTGGCATCCATGTCCGTCGTTGAGCGTTTCCTCGTGCACATCATGATTTCATTTTGTCTTCCCTGACTTTTTCGCCAACCTAAGGCCTGTGCCTAAGCCTCCAGCTACTGCCCTTAACATGTCCCCATCCAGACCTACCGCCTCGTCCCGTTAACATTCTTCACGCCCTGTCCCAGCTGACTCGCCACACACGTCGCCTCCCTGACCGCCCGCGAAAACGCGCCCCTCACACCGCCCTCCTCCAGCGCCAACAGCCCGCCAATCGTGCACCCTCCCGGCGTGCTCACCTTATCCCGCAGGATAGCCGGGTGCTCACCGCCCTCGAGCACCAACCCCGTGGTCCCCCTCATCGTCTGCGCGGCCATGATCTGCGCCTCGGCGCGCGGCAGCCCCATCGCGACGCCCGCATCGGCCGCGGCCTCGAGCACGAGCGCGAAGAAGGCGGGGCCGGAGCCGCACAGGGCGGTGCTGATGTCCATGAGGGCCGGGGGCAGCGTGACGACGCGGCCGATGGAGGAGAAGATGAACTCGACAAGCTTGTGCTGCTCGGGCCGGAGTGGCGGGGTGCTCGTCTGGATCACGCTCATGCTCTCGCGCACGAACGAGGCCGTGTTGGGCATCACGCGGACCACGCGGCACGCGTCCTGCGGCGGCCCGTCTGGGTACAGGAACCCCTCGATCTGCTCCTGCGTGACGCCCGCCAGTATGCTGACCAGCACCTTTCCCCGCAGCGCATCGCGCACGCCGTCCTCGCCCAGGATGTCCTTGAAGATGTGCGGCTTGCAGGAGAGCAGGATAACGTCGCCTTTCTGGATGCCCTCGAGGTTGTTGTTGGTGAGGGTCGTGAGGGGAAAGTTGTAGTGGCCGAGGGCGGCTTTAACTTTTTCCTCGGCGGGGGCCCAGGCGTCGCAGGCGACGAAGTTGGCGAGGTTGGGGGTGTCCTTCGCGGCGGGCTTATCGGAGAGGGCGGCTTGGGTCTTTGCAGCGGCGAGGGAGGCCATGACGCCGCCCATGATGGCGATGCCCATGGTGCCTGGGGTGCAACATGTTAGCTGGCGGTCCGGAGAGGTGGGCTGGCATTGGGGATGCGTGGGGTTCTGCGTGTCTTGAGAGAGACTCGTGCGATGGAAACCACGTTCAAGAGCGAGACTCTGAGAAAGAGTGGCCCAGCACGTGTCTTCCACTGCGACAGTGACTCGTCTGCGCTGTGTGCGGGGTCTTTCTTGCGGAGAGGACGTCTACATACCGGAGCCGAGCACGGTCAATGTGAGACCCTTGGAGTCTTGTGCGGCAGCCATGGTGTCTGAATGCTTTCAATCGAGGGAAGAAGGCGTGTCTGTGAGGACTGCAGCCCCGAGAGCGCGCAGCGATGCATGTAAAGCATGCCGCTTGCGGAGGGCCCGTGCCCGCGGGCGCGAAAACATGGGTAGACGCGGGTTAACTCGCGCCCTTTCGCACTGGGGACGCGCGCACATCGGCGCTGCAGGCCAGACAGGTGGGACCGCCGGCCGTTCACGCAACCCCACGCCCAACGCTCCGACGTGCATGTGCAAGCCAGCTAGCAACCCTCTCCGCACATGCAGCTGCACCCATGCCCATGATCCCACGAGCCTGCATCTAGCCCTCCCGGACGATTGACACCCGCATCCACGCGCACACGCATGCAGCCGCGCCTGCGCACGACGAGCGCCCCGGCCAGCATCTGACCTTCTTCCGACGACCGACCACCTCCAGGCTCACCTCCTCCAACACACCCCCGTCTTGGAGACCACGCCGACAATGGACCCCTTCGAAGTCCGCATCCGCTTCACCTCGCACCTAACCCACCTCACCGCCTCGCACACCACGCACCAACGCGCCGCCATCTTCGCCCTCAAGAACCGCTCCATGGACGAAGACCTGCACTCGTGCATCCTCGAGCAGCTCGAGACCTCGACGCTCAACACGCGTGCCAACATCATGTACTTCATCGAGACGCTGACCAGCCTCGCGAAGCAGGAAGGCGCGCTCGAGTTTGTGCGCATGATGCAGCGCGACATCCTCCGGGTGGTCGATGCCGTGGTCCCGGGGGACGGCAGCGGCGCGGCGAATGTGAGGGTCGTGCGGAAGGTGCTGGGCGGGCTAGGCGACAAGGGCGTGCTGATGCGGGATACGGTGGCAGAGCTGGAGGATATTCTGCGCGAGCGGGAGCGCGAGGGCGGCGAGGGCAATTTGTTCGTCGCGCCCGCGGGGGACCAGGGGACGCCGCGCCGGGGGACCGGTGTGAGGTTGGACAAGCGGCAGATTGAGCAGCGCATTGAGGAGGATCGGGAGAGGCACAAGCGTGCGCGCGAGAGTATCTGGGCGGTGCCGGGGGAGAACGAGGCGGAGATGGAGAGGCTGTGGGAGGAGGCGAGTGAGCTGGGCGAGGACGATTGGATTGCCGCGCAGGAGGATATGCTCGAGCGGAGGCAGGCTGTTGCGTTGGGGTAGCGTCTCGCCAACTGGGGACGAGTGTGACATGAGAGAGTGCAACATGCGATGGCTAGGCGTTCGGCTGCTTGAAGAGATACCACAGGAGCATTCTGCTAGGCGCTCTCAATTCGTTCTATGCATTTCCATTCTCAACGCTTTCAATTTCTACGTGATGCACACAAGCGGTAAGATGTAGCTGTTAAGATTTAATTGTGATTTTTGTGCCCCGTCAAACCGCAGCATTTTAAATGCGCATACAGTGCCGATCGACGGGAGGGTATACTACAAGAACAGTGTATAAAACAGCCGCCGAATGCCATGCCCAATGTCCGATGCCAATGCAATGTCGAATGCTCGATCGGTGAACTTACAGTCTTCGCTGTCTCGTCGTTCGAGACGATGTGACGTGATAGATGTGATGTGTTGCAGGTGTCGCCTTCTCCGAGCGCGATCCAAGAAGAATCGGGCGTGTTGTAAAGTCGATGGTCGTCCAGAGCCGAAGGGTTGTCGAGAGCCGGACGAGTCGCATCCATCCCCAGTCCTCCCAGCCCACACCCGGCACATCCGCAAGAAAACGCACCCGCCAAAAAGGCAAAGTCGCAGGACTTACCAGCGACGCCCATCCCTCTCCCTCTCCACCCTCTCGGCATCCCTCTCCGCCTCCCCCTCCGTCTTCACCCCACCCCTCCTCGGCGCCCCCGCCTTCTTCCTCAATCCCTTAGCCAAAACACTCGCCAGATCCGTACCTCCCGTGTCCCCGCTCTTCCTCCTCTTGCTGCTATGACTCGCCGGGCCTGTCGGGACACCGCTCCTGGCATCCCTGTCCCTCTCCTCGTCGTCATAGTCGTCGCGCGAGCGCTTGGACGACAGCGACGGTCGGGATGAGGAGTGGTGCGAGTGCGACGAGATGCGGGAGTGCAAGGAGCGCGCCTCGGGGCGCTCAGAGCGGTCCGGCGGCGCATTGCGCTCGAGCATGTCGCGTGCGCGAGCATTCTTCTCGCGCTCGGCAGCGTAGTGGTCCTGCGGCGCGGCCTCTGTGGGTGTGGTCGGCACGGAGGAGCTAATGCTGCCTTTCCTGCTGTGTCGGCGGTCGCGGTCTCGGTCTGCTGCTGGACCCTTGGGCGGCATGAAGGCGCGAGGGCCGGTCGGCGGTTGGGGAGGGGCCATGGGCTTTGCGGTCTTCGGCCTGCTTGCGCCGCGGATGGAGAAGTTATCTGCCGAAGGCCCGGTAGGCGCGTTTACAGGCGGGGAGACTGCGCGGGTCGGGGGTTCCTTCTCGTAGTCGCGATCCCGATCTCGGTCGCGGTCTTTGCGGCTCCGGCGAGACGACTGGTACTTCTCCTCAACGTAGTCGCGCTCGTCCTCGTCGACCTCACGATCACGTCGACGACGCTTCTCCTTGTCCTTGTCACGAGATCGGTATTTCTCGTCATCATGATCCCGCTCATAATCCCGCTCCTTCCTGTCCTTGCGATCGCGGTCTCGTGACCGTTCCCGATACTTGTCCCGGTCACTCCTGTCCTTCCGGCGAGAGCTTGACTCATCCTTGACGTACTCCTCGTCATCTCCAACGATGAGTGAGCGCGAGCGCGAGCGAGGCCGACGCTTGTGCTCTCGGCTGCGATCTCGGTGCGACCGGGAAGAACGTGACTTGTCCTTGTCGCGACGGCTGCGGTACTTGGAGTCGGCGGAAGCACTTCGAGTCCTATCACCTCGCGAGCCTCGAGAATCATAATCGTCACGATCGTCTCGCTCGTCGTAGTCGTCATAACGCGATGAACGATGCTTGCGTTTCTCTTTGCGAAGATCAACTTCATCGTCGTCGTGTCCTGCCTGCGGTGTTCGCGAGCCTATCCGATCTTCCCGTCGGTCGTCACGTGGCGAATGCGATCGATCACGGACATCATCCTGGGCAGCAGCTCTAGCTTGTGATCCTCCGCGCGAGCGTGATGGCGACCTGTCTTTGACACGAAGGCTTTCGTCCCTGATGGGAGATCGACTATTCTTGTTAGCGGGTTAAGGTAGAGTCTGCGCGTGTATTCAAACTTACGATCGAGCGCGGCGGGGAGGGCTGCGACTTCCAGCCGGAGCCTCAGCGGCAGGAGTGGCAGACGGGGCTGGGTTGAATCGGACATTGTTCGCTCGGCTTGAGAAGCCAGTATTAGGGCGGCCCTCACGCATAGCTCGGGGACCCGTAGGAGCGCCTGCCACACCAACTCCGCGCGGTTCACCTGTGAGGACGGTCGCCGCCCCATACGCATTATTGAATCCACCTCGAGGACCAAAATTGTTGTTGTACCCCATATTGCCCATGTGATGATTGTAGTTCATTTGATTCGAGTTGAACGAATTCATCATTTGAGGAGGATACTGCATGTTGCCACCCATCATACTCGGGTCGAAGCCTTGATCATCCATCTCCACAGACTCAACTGTCTGAATTTGGTTGAGCCCGGAAGACTGTTCTGCCTCGGGTCCTGCTGAGTTCGTGTCTTTCACATCTTGCGCTTCCCCGGAGGTGCCTTCAGCTGTAGCTTGATATGCGGTGCTGTCTCCTTCAGCTGCAGCGGTTTCTGCCTTACCTTCTTGACCGGGTTCAGAGGACGCAGAAGCCTGCACATCCTTGACTTCGGTTGGGTCAGCAGTTCCTGCACGGGAGCCTCCTTCGGACTGTCGGAGCACAGGATTGTCAGCTGCGTTGCTCCTTTGGGACTCTATAAGAGGAGAGTGAGATGCCTTTGGGGTCTTTGGCAATCTCGGATGTGGAAATCGACGTACTTTGTTCGGACCGGCTTGACTCCCTGGGCGGCTGTTGTGCTGCATGCCAGCACCTGCATGTCCACCTCCGAAACTTCCACTCCGGTTCTGCTGCTGGGGAAAGTTCCCCATGCCATTGCCTTGGAAACGATTCATGTTATTCTTGGGGTATTGGTTCATCATCTCAGAGTAGGCTCCAGATTGATTGTATCCAGCGGCATGGTTGTAGCCATTGTACCCATACCCGCCGCCGCCGCCCATGCCATTCCATCCGTTCCCAAAATTGCCACCGTAGTTCATGGACATATCATTCATCCCCATGCCCATGTTTCCACCGAAGCCGAACATGCCATTCATGCCGTTCATGTTGTTCATGCCATAGCCTGACCGGCGATTAAAATGTGCACGATTTCTTGGGGGATTAGGAGTCATACCCATGTTGTTCCATCCGGGGTTCATCATGTTGGGCATGTTCATCCCCATGCCAAAGTTTCCTTGGCCGTTGAAGCCGAAGCCCATCTGGTTAGGCATCCCATTCGCGTTCATCATGCCGCCAGTCGGGAACATTTGACCGTTGGGTCCATTCGCATTCTGAGCATTATCCTGGTCTTGTCCAGAGTCGGCACTCTTGTTCTCGTCTTCTGCGTCTTTTGCATCCTGGCCCCCTTCTTGCTGTGGCTCGTCCGGAGCGGTCGCGGATCCCTGTCGACGTTAGCTGTGAGAACTCTAGTAATTTCAACCTCGGCTTCAAGGTAGAACACTTCTTACTTCGTCATGCTGTGGTGCCGCCGAACCAGCATCGCCTTGGGCAGCCTGTTCTGCCGCGCTCGCATCTGTGGTACCATCCTCTGTCCGGGTCGCTTCCTCGATGCTTTCTACAGGGTTTTCGGCAGCCTGCGCCGAAGCTTGCGCCTCGGTCGGTGCTGGCGTAGGTTCAACCGCAGGTGTCGCCGCTGCCTCCGACGCTGCCTTGGCCTCTGCTGCTTTCGTCTCTTCCTTCTTCTTTTGCTTCTGTAACCACACACGCATAGTGTTTCGTAGCGCCTTGTTCGGGGGGCAAGAGTCTGCTTCTACCGGAGAATGGTCGCATGACGGGCATGTCGTGGGGAATTCGAGCTTCGAGTGGCCTGCCGTGGAGTTAGCGGCGATAACGTAGAACGGGAGAGGTGCGCAGTACATGTGGTGCAGATGACCTTGTTGCAGCATAAGAGCTTGTACGAATCAAAGGCGAGCTGGTCGCAGAGAGCGCAGAAGAAGCCCTTGGGGAATACACCTCGCTCGAGCGTCCTGCCAGTTGTGAGCGCGCATAACAGTATTGCGGGATAGAAGGAGCTTACAGAGCGAACTCTTTCAACTCGTCGGCGAGCGGCGCCAGCTTGGGGTCGGCTGCCGGGGTCGCCATCGCGAGGTTCCGGGTCGCAGACCGAGCGCAAGGCTACAGCAACTGCAGCTACACTTCAAGCAATCGCATCCGCCGGCCGAGGTGAATCGTTCACACGATGGGCGCGGCAATCGCTATTGGTCGCGGGACAAGCAAGGCTAAAGAACACGCGCAGTGTGGGGTCGGTGTTGGTGTAGTTGCCTGCGGGCGCCGGTGCGGTTGCTGTCACAAGTGACTTGCTTGGAAAACTTACGTCGCCAAGGAAAGCGCGACCCCGGCCGCCGCACGTTCACGTGAGCCGCTTGCTCCGCCAAACCACGCTATGCCCTTCAAGGCTTCAGCGCGTCATCTCCAGCCAGGTACCCGGCGTGCCACCACTGTCCAGCAATTGGGCCCTGTGCTTCCTTCTTCGCACAGGTTTGCTGTCTCCTTGCTATTCCAATCATGATCCTGAGCCAGATCTCGTATCTGGACTGCATCGTGTTTTTAGTCTTTCTTGTCCCCCAGCTGCTCATCCAAGTTGGTCTCATCCGCACGGCGACATGGGTGCTCGGTGCCCTGCCGTCGCTCGGTGAGTCCCTGACTTCCACCTTCTTACTGGATATTCATATTTACAGCCTTGCAAGTCTTTGTTCTGCCCGTCCAGTTCATTCGAGAAAGATACTTCACACCATACGAGCACCGTAGCGCCTTCGTTCAGCGCGCCACCCCATTTCAAGACTTCGTCATTCGCTGCGTGAGATATGCATTCGCGTTCATGCCGGCTTTTCTGGGCCGAGTCTTCTTCTCCAAAGGCGTTTCTCTCCCATTTCTAAGATTTCGAATGTTGCGGCACGGCATCGTCACCTCACCTTTGCGGTGGAATGAAATTAACAGAGTAAGGTCAGACCCAACTTGAGACCGGTTCCTCGCTGATTGTGACAGCCTGGCCTGAAAGGTATCTGGATCACGCACAACAAACAAGAGCAACCGGACATCATAGTCTACTACTGCCATGGTCAGTGATCTTGGGAAGAGGTTTGAGCAACTAAAACTGACCAGAAACAGGCGGAGGATTCGCCATGGGCTCAAGCTTCTTCTACATGGAATTCCTCCTCGCCTGGGTTGCCCTACTCAAAGAAGCAGGCTACCGGAACCCGGCCCTCTTCGCCTTAGAGTACACCCTAGTCCCAGACGCAGTCTACCCGACCCAGCTGCAGGAAACCCTCGCAGGCTACGAATACGTTCTTTCCATCGCGCGGGACCACACTCGAATCTGTGTTAGCGGCGACTCCGCCGGCGCAACCCTCATGCTCAGTTTCCTGCTCTACATGACAGACCACCCAGAGCTGCGCCATCAACGACCAGGTCTGGCTGTTATGATCTCGCCGTGGGTGACCATCATATCGAAAAACAACCGCAACACCCAGAGTGACTACCTAAACGCTACCAGCCTGGAGCTTTACGGCCGCCAGTACATTGGACCAAAGGTTCCCTCTGACGACCCGCTAGTATCGCCGGGGTATTGCAAAGACATGAAGAAGTGGGCGGCAGCGAGTCCAGAAAAGGGGTGGTCCTTCTTGTATGGTTCTGAAGAGGTTCTGGGGTCTGAGACTCGCGCGCTTATTTCATTGCTCAAGAAGGCCGGTACAACCGTGGACAGCAATGAACAACCGGGCGGTATACATGCTTGGCCTGTGGCGTCGCTGTATCTAGGCGAGACGAGGGACGCGCGATTGCATGGTTTGAGGGACATTGTTCAGACGATTCGAAGTCGGATCTGGTAGACACATGATAAGTCAAAATTTGATGCTACCATAAGACGACAACTGGATGAAAAAAGCTAGTTAAAGCAGCCCTCAGCAACAGTGAAGTCAAGTTAAGGCGAGAGCGACATCAAAGCAACTTGTAATTCGCATTTTCCTAGGCCCTCTGTCACAATGGACATCGCATCAGACTCGACCCGTGGACAAGCGAACCTATCCCCAAAATAAATCAGCAAACCTCCACCATCCAACTCCCCTCCCCAAATACTCAGCAGATCAAGCTCAAATGGCCTCCCAGAACAACCACCACTCCATCACCCACCAATCCACCGTCAACACCCCTGCGCCGTCGCCGTCCACCACCTCCCATAGAACGCTAAGCCCCCTTCGTCCATCACTAATCCTTGTCTGGTAAGCGCTAAGCCTCATCGAGAGGGGTATACCTCCTCTCCAACGCGCCACCATTGGCTCCACGCACCGCACAGCATGCTCCTGCGTGCAGAAAACCGGACAAGGAAGTCGGTGAGGTGTCTCAGGCGACGTATAAATAGGACGAGGGCGCCGGTTCTGGGTGTGAGACGCTGTGGTGCATCTTTCGGCCTTGAGTTTGCCAAGATTTGACACGTGATTTGTACGTACCTACACTAGGACTTTGGATTACCATAGGGAATGGGGATTATGTCGGAGAATGGGTTTCAATGTGAAGCCAGTCGGCAAGATAGTGGACATCGGTTCTCATCGGATTCAAGGTGACTTTGGCCATGTTTGGGTCAGCAGCATTTGTTGATTGCCCTAGTTGCGTGGGTAGAACCCCGGCATCGAAACGGTCAGACAAGTCGGAAATTCGTCTGACAGTGTCGGCACTCGAGGCGAGGAACGCGGATGACCAGGCGCTGGTAGCGTACTTGGAAGAGCAGGAGCGGGAGAGAGTTGCGAGGCTTGTGAAGGCTGGGAGGGAGCTGGGGTTTGAATTGCCGCGGCGATGTTGGTGAGGTGGTCGAGGGCTGTGGGGATTTTTGGAGAGACGAGCCGGCCAATAGCATGATTCTGCTGATTTTTTGTTGAAGCTGGAACCCCAGTGAAAGTTCCGCGTGGGATGAAGAGAGATTGAATTCTTGAGAACCAACATGAGACTCGATCTAGCCGCACCGCCTATCCGGATCTGCCTCTTGAGCGTTTAGTTGGACACCATACCGATCTTCAAGCGTGAAAAATATTCCAATTGAATGGGAGCTCTTCAAGATCTCTGCTGACAATTGTTCGCGCATCGTTCAATCGACCAGTGCTGACAGTCCTGGATAAGGTTCTCTAGGTTCCACATATCTCCAATGTCTCCATCAAGATGAAATATAGAGGATCTTTCCTTGATTTCTTGCACAGCCTTCCAAAAGCAGGCGGGTAGATCGGAGGGTAGCTCGTACAGATGATGCCGGAGCCCCCAGGGTTAATCGACAATGGCGACTGAGTGGACTGGTAAGTTCCCATGGCGAAGGTTTGGAGCATCGCCTTTTAAGCCATCCCACTAGGTGTGCTTGCTAGGAACACCCGGCAATTTGTCATTGCGTACCACACTTGGGTCTGCTGTATGGATCGTAGTCGAGCGCGCCAACCCCTTAGACTTTATGCCAGTCCAATACACTCTGGTAAGCTTTGCGTGATGCAAAAATGACATACATCTACCTTGCGATTTTCCGTTTTGCTAATGAAATTGGCCTGTCGTGGTTCAGGGACTTCCAACGTGCACATGAACAAATTTGAGTTGATCGATACCACAGCCCAGGAACCATCACCCTTGGTGAAACCAGACGGAAGGGAAAAAGTCTCGTGGTTGCCTGGATGGCATGTCGTACATGGTAAGGTCGGCAGTCGACAGATAGTGGCATCTGCCTATGTAGCCAGAGAAAAGATGCTTGATCAACTGCATAAGGGTCCGAGTGCCTTAAACCTTGACTCATGAACATGGAAGCGCGCGTTGAGAGTCCCACCTATAATTCGTGCCCATGGAGCATTGGGGTCGACCTTATGCTATAAACTACCAGATGCTTCTTTCGAGGGCAAGACGTCTCGGCGAAATATATATATATATATATACATATATATAACACCTATTAAGTCGTCTTATTCAATACGAATGTCTTGGCTCTCCGCCACTGTTGCAGCGGAAACCGCTTGGGCCCCGCCCCACGTTACGCAGGCATAGAGACACCAGCTATGCTTTGGATACAATTACGCAAGCCGTAGGTGTCCCGATTATCCGCGCGGACTACAACATAGACCTCGATCCATCGTCCAGCTCGACCTCACTACCTCGCAGAGCGGACCGATACAACATAGCGCTTTTCTGAGGATCAGCAATCATGGCACCCAGGAAGAGAAAGTCAGTTCCCGCATCGGATTCCAGCGAGGCAGATAGGACTTGTGAGTACTGCGGCCACAAATACAACAACAAAAGCGCTTACACGGTACGTCTTGCCACGGCCACGTACCGGGAACGACTCTAACTAGCCACAGGCCCACTGCATATCCTCGGGATGCGCGGTCCTAAACCGCGGCGCCTCCATGTGGAAGTGCTTCCGGTGCAACATGCGCTCTGCCCATCGAAAGACAATTGTGGTAAGCTATTCCTGCCGCAACGTCCGAAACTTCGTTCATTGTCTGCGTAGAAACATATGAAGGAAAAATGCTGGGAGACATGCGACGAGTGCGCCGAAGCCGGGCTGGAGAAGTGCGACGCGGTGAAACAAGTGGTCGCCTGCACCAGCTGTCGTCGCAGCGGAATGGCATGCACGAAGTTGCCGAAGGGTCAGGTCGCAGATGGTGGCCCCGTCGAAATCGCTCCGGCGGGAAGTGGTCAGGATGATGAGTCGGAAAACACACAGCCTGACGCTTCATATGCACCGAATGCTTCGCAAGATATCTCGAGGCAGGACCCACCACAGCTTCCGGCCGTGGAAGTGAGCGCAGTTCGTGATCAAGACGAGGATACCTACATGGAAGGCCAGGAAGATGAGGTCATCGGCAGCAATCAAGAGAAAACTATCCACGAAGATGGAAATGAAAAAGAGGGAAGCCAGAACGAGTCCGGTCGAAGTATATCGGTCCAAAATGATGTCCCGAATCGTAAGGATGAGGAACAGCGAGATGTGATGGCGGACAGGCCAAAATCGACCGAGCCTGACCGAGAAGCTCGCTCTCCCACTTCTCCAAGTCACACCCTGCGCTCTCACAAAACCAACACTGATGGTGCGCAAGATCAACACCCGCAAATCCACATCGCCTCTCCGAATCCGCCACAATCCCCCTTCTCGACCATGACTGTGGTAATCGCCCAGCCTCAAACACAAACCCCGGCTCAAATTGGTAAGCATCTGCTCCAACCCCATGAATCCACTAGAAGCCCCATGCTAACCGTGCATAGACACGTTGCCCCGCGATGTGTCCACCGCTCTGTCCCCCGTCGACCGCGCCTTCCTATCCGGCACCAGCCCCGAGCAAAACCACCACGGGGAAGACATACAAACACAACCCTCGCCCGCCAAAGAGCATCCTGCCCGTGGAACAACTCCTCCTATACCTCTAATCGCTCCAGTTGAGGTATCCAAGCCCTCACCATCACCTGGAGCTACCTTTCCGGTAGTACGTGACCCTTCACCTCTTCCTGCTGTCTAGCCCTCACTGAAACTCCCAATACAGCACCAGACGCGTGTACGGCATATATGCCTCGCCAAACATGGTGACCCCATCGACAATCTGCTGCAGCTTGATCGCTGCTCACACACCCGCATTAGCCTCCATGTAACCCATTCATCTCCTCGACTCTCGCCCCCTTTCCTGGGGTAGATGGAGATATTGATAGAACTTACTCCGCGCATCGTACTCATACGTAAAATCCGTGCGATCGCACCTCTTCTCCACAGGCGGCGTCGCAAAAGGGTTTTCGACGCACGACCGGTTCATGTATTTGTCGTCGGGGTACGCATCCGAGGTGTACTTTGCGGTCACGTAGACAGAATGATCGGGGGACACCGTGGCGGAGACGGTCCACTGGCCGTAGGTGGAGCGGGGGACGGCGGCGGCGGAGGTGAGGGCTACGAGAGCAGGGAGGAGGGTCGCGGAGAAATGCATTGTTGCGGTTTTGGAGATGAAGGTCGTTCTGAGGGATGGACGTTGCTGTGAGGCTGTGGTGTAGAGTTATGTGACGGCGAAACGATTACCTATATACAGCTGCGCGTACTCGGTGTCGTAGTCCCATAGTCACGGGTAATGCCATAGCAATAGCGATCCTGGTCGGCATAACGACGCCAATAGTCTATAGATGTTTCTTTCCAGATTCGGCGGCAGTGTTGCCCCATTCAGCGCGATTTAGGCCCGCACGGTTGCGATGATCTTCCCCACACAATACTATAGACCATTAACAATAGATACGTACCAGGTTTTTAAATGAATGAAGTATAGACATTCCCTGGCGCTGCAGCCGTTTTGATTGGGCAAATGACGTAACACTGAGTCGTTAAGTCGACCCATGTGTAGTGGCATGGAAGGAGGTGCGGTACAAATCTCCGACCATGAGCTGCTAACCGAAACGGGCAGCACCGAGCAGTGGAGCGTTTCGGGCTGACTTCAAGTCACGTGAATTTCTGTTCACCTTAGAAGGTACCTCGGTACGCTGACAACGTACTACGGATACGTTTCTGGCCAAGCTAGCTGCATAATGGGGAGCTTGAGGTCTGACAGCGCAACACGAGTCGAGCGATTCTGGTGCCCAGCCCTTGTATACCATGCAACATCATGTCGACGCACACTCCCAGAATATAAACCCCAGGAGATTCGCCCCAGATAACAATTTGAGGTTTTTAATTCCCTCACTCTCAGAATTGTACCTATCATCTCTCGAGATCCTACCTTCCACACCCACCCTTCCTAGTCCTCATGATCCGTCTTCCCCGTAACCCCCTCCCACTCATCTAACAACCTCATCGTGCGCTCGCACTTCTCCCGAATAGTCGGCCCACTATCACTCCCCAGTGCAACTCTGATCGGCACCTCCTGCTCCTCCGCCACCCCGCTCATCGTCAAGATATCCACCAACACCCTACACCCCTTCTTCACGTCCCCAACCTGCTTCCCATCATGCCCCTCCAACCCCCTCCTCGTCTGCCCCGCCGCACTCTCCTCATACGCCTCGATCGTCTTCTCGGAATTAACCGCCGCGCCTTTGTTCAGAAATCCCGTGCGAAAGTAGCCTGGTTCGGCGACTGTGACCGCGATCCCAAATGGTGCGAGCTCCTCGCGCATCGCCTCGCTGAGCCCACTCACAGCCCACTTCGTCGAGTAATACAGCGCGGCCCCCGCACCTCCCGTCCAGCTCGCAATCGATCCGAAATTGCAGATCGTGCGGTGGCCCGCGCTCGCCCGTAGATACGGCAGGAAAGCTTTGCTCACATTCAGCACGCCGAAGACGTTCGTGTTGAACGTGTCGTAGTCCTCCTGCGGAGAGGTTTCTTCCACCGCGCCGATGAGGACGTATCCCGCTGCGTTGACGAGGTGCGAGATGTAGCCGTACTTTGCGACTGCGTCTTTTGCGACGGCTTGGATGGCGGGAAGAGGTGAAGTCACATCGAGGACGACGGTGTGGGCGCCTGCGTCGGCGAGGGGGGAAAGTCTGCTGAGGCTGCGGCCGGATGCAATGACGTGGTGCCCGCGAGCGAGGGCCTCGAGAGCGAGGTAGTGCCCGAAGCCAGAAGTGGCGGCCGTGATGAACCAAACGGGCGTCTGTGTAGCCATTTTCACACTCTCTTTACGCTGCTGGTGCTGTTGCGTGTTGCGCTTATCGCCTGGCTGGTATTAAACAGCGCTTCGAGTGAGTCGTGTATGGAGACAGACAGAATCCCCTCCTCAACGGCGCAGTCCTTTATTTATGCCATCGTTCCCACCTTCTACATCTAGCGTCTCACCCTACCCACCTCATCCTACCACCTAACTCCGCCGCACGCGCGTGCAATGCCAAGTAGGCCTGTAGCGGTGTTAACATGAGGTCCGAATAGACTCTGCCCTGCGTCCGCTAGCTCTCGCCTTTCGTACGTACCCTACCCTTGCCTTCGCGTGCTCGGTTAGCTCTACCGAACTGCTGCCATTGGCTGCGACACATCGAGTAAGCATCCGAGTCTTCACAATCGTACGTTACGATGTAAGCCGAAAGATGTCGGGAGCGAAAGTGCGAAGATAGGTGGATCGCCGTCCGATTATTTTCGCTCCGAAAATTATCGCTCAGACTCCGACAGTGAACGACAAGTTGCAGGATTGCCGGATTGAGGAAGTGCTGCTATCGCCGTTACCTGCGGCACTTCATGTGTGTGTGCAGGGTACTGACCAAGATTCTTCGGTCGACGACCACCAATCTGGTCCTTTGCGCGGTAGGATTGATGGCACACAGCACATTGTTGGTGGTAAAGAACATTCAAGATCGAAGTAGAAATAGGATTAGGTTACATTCAAATGTTTACAACAGCTAGCCGAAGGCTTCTGGTGGTATCATACTCATCAAGCAATATACGACGTCGAATAAAACCAGTACGCCGAACCCCATCCCATGCAACATCTCTCGACGCCCTCTAGTCGACATAGCCTTTGCACTTCACGTGTACAAAGGAGTGCTTCCCGCCTTCTTTGATAACCATAGCTGTGAGCTGACCACCGCTCACGCACCCAGAGTCGAGGCCCATGCTGTACTTCTGGATATTCTTGCCCCTCTTCCGGTCGTGGCCGTAAATGACCGTACTCCGCTCGGCCTCAGGCTTGTGTTTCTGCTGGTGATTCCAGTACTTCTCCCACGGCGTATGGGCTCTCGTCTCCGAGGGCAGCAATGTCTCCAGGTCGATCGTCCGCATATTCATGACCTGGAACGGATCCTGCTGTTCGAGCGAGACGTCGGGCACGAGGCCTGCGTGCACGACGGCGATGTTGTGCAGGGAGCCGATGTTGCCAACACGGAGTATCACCGGGCACGACTGCAGGTATTCTAATTGTGGTTGCGTGAAGGACTTTGCGAGCTTGAGTAGCTTCGGGTTCTTGTAGGAGACGTCCTTGTCTTCGACATCATACGGCACGGGGTCGACGGAGTCTACGTCTGGACGCGGAATTGTAGTGTCGTGGTACTCGGCGGCTTCTTGGATGGAAAGGAGCACCTTGTCTTCGTGGTTGCCGCGGACGCAGGAAGCGCCGAGCTTGCCAGCGAGGGTGACGACGCCTGGAGAATCGGGACCTGATCCGCGTTAGCTGATTATCACAAGTCTCATCGGACGATAGCTTACCCTTCGAGATGATGTCTCCCGTGAGAATGAGGTGATCTTTATCCTCCTGGAATCCCACCTTCTTCAGCAGCGCCTCCAGCTCGTTCTTACACCCATGCACATCTCCCACAACCACCAGCCTGCCATCGCCCTTCGGCAGGTGCTTCGCCTCCAAATCTTTCACCTGCAGCATGTGCTTGAAGTCGGGTGTCGCACTGCTCGGTACCTCCTTCTGTGCCGCGGCGTCAAAGACCGCCTGCTCCGCCTGATACGCAGCGTATTGCGGTCCTATGTACAAGCGCCAGCTGATCAAGAGCACGATGGCAGCGAACGCGTAGATGACGAAATAGCGCTGCAGTCTCCGTGGGATGCGAGTCGAGGTGCGTGTGATCATCGCCCGCCACTTGGGGTGCAGCAGGTAATCGCCGTCGTCGACGGCGTAGAAGCCTTCCTCTTCGTCGGATACGTCGAGGTCGAAGTTGTTGTGAACTTGGTCGATGAGCGGGCGGCGAGAGTAGTGGTCCTGTGACATTGCGTGGCGCGGCGCGGACGGGGCGGGTGCGGTGCGCTCAGGGGAGGGCAGGTTGTACGTCGGCAGCTACAGTATCCGCTGTGCTGGTAAGTCGCTTGTGAAGGTTTTGTCACAGGTGATTGCGCGTCGCAAGCCGAAAGCGGCTTGCCGTACTAGAGCGTCGGGCGCGCTGCGGCGTCGGTCAGGGCGTGCTTGCTTTTCTCAGTCGCCAGGAGCGGAGCCGGCGGAAGGTGTGGGGAGAGGGTGAGTGAAGAACCACCGCATCTGGACCCTGAGCAAAGAAGAGGCGTCGCAAGGCCGACCGGAGCTCTTGGTGTTCATGTCGCCTCTGCATTGAAAAGGACTGGCCGATGTCATCTAGCCAAACAGAGTCTGGTTGACGAGGATCATACACGGCTATCGGTGCCGAAAGGCGCTTGCCAATGCCTTGGCATGAACGAATGGCTATTTTCGGAGAAGCGCAATCTCTACGACAGATAAAGGAGGGAAAAGAGCATGCGACACTATCTGCAGCGCTGGCCGGAGCATCATGTAGAGCTCCTACGGTGGATTTGAGAAGTGGAAGTAACATCCACAGCCGCGACTTCCATTTGGACCATGTCGGCTGTGCAAGCCACGTGAGCTTCCCGTTTGGATATAGCGCGATCCCTGCGTCCACGCCCCCACGCCTTGTACATCTCCACACAGGCATCAGTCATATCTCCAAATCATGGCCCGCCTCGGAGCGCCTTCGCATACTGTTGCCATGTCCAGAGAACCTTTGCAATTCATCGTCCTCGGCGAGTCTGGCGTCGGCAAGACCAGCTTCGCCGACAAAGTCGCCCTCGACACCCAGTATCACCGCTACGACCCATTCGCAATGCCTCATGGTTCTCAATTGCCGGATCCTAATCACGAATCTCAAGCGGCAAGTATTCGCGTGCACACTTTCATTCCTGCTCTGAGAGTGGAGCAGAATTCTACCCGCATGAAGCTGCAGGTTGACGGCGAACTCCTCGACATTGGCATCATGGATGTCAGTCTGACGCCGATACGGGTTAGAGAGCCTGGGTTCGTGTCTAGTCTCTTTGACCTGTTCTTACGGGACACTGATGGTGTTTTACTTCTATACGACATCACGAGCGAGGAGAGCTACAAGCACGTAACGGAATTTGGATGGGATTACATCTGGGCGTGTAGATCATCTCTCCCCTCTAAGAGGTTTGGATGTACGCTCGTCGGCAACAAAGTAGATCTCGTACGAGGAGGTGACAGCACAAAGAGACAAGTGCCCAAAGATCGGGCTGAAGAATGGGCAAGCATGGTTGGCGTCAATGCATTCGAAGTCGATAGATTCGACAAAAGTGTGCTGGAAGACGTCCTGCGAGATTTGGTCAAACATACGGATTGGGCGCAGCGAAGGACTCGGGAGGATATGGAGGTGATTGCTGAGAGTAAGAAGGGAGCAATGGAGGCCCAAGAGCCGACCGCACAGCCAACCCAGAAGACAAAGCACAAGAGCAAGGTATTCTCTACAGTGTCAAGATTTAAAAATCTTCTTTCAAGTAGGGGTTTTGGCGCCAGTTCGAAAGCATAATTACAATGACAAACATATCCTATGTCCAACTTGTATATATGATCACTCCCTCTCTATCTTGGAATTCACCAAATATAGATGTATGCACGCCCTCGTGCCGAACTAGAAGAAATATTTGCGGCGAGTAGACTAGCGAGGCCTTATTCGGCGGGTGACAGTGCTTCTGGGCGAAAGTGACGGACATGCTTGTGGTTTGGCACGATTTTTTGGTACTGATACGTGTTCACGTAATTGTACTTCGTGCTGAGTCTTAGTGCAGAATCTTAGTTGCAGTCGGGCCCGAAAAGATTGTTGTAAATAGCATAGCCTTGTGAAAAGAACTGCTGTTTATTTGTTCAGACTTCACGACGCAAACATACTTTGTGTTCCTAAAGTCGCATGTCGATATGACCACTGAACAGCTAATATAAAAGAGCATTCAACATACATTGAAAAAGAAAATTATCCTCCCAAGTGTGGCGGTCCAAAAATAAACCTCGCTCGAGACACAAATTCAACTGTGGGAACTAGGGAGACCACTCAGTCTTGCTTGTTGTATCATTGCCTAAAGAAGTGTTGCGGCATGATTGCCCGGTGCCCGTGTGAACTGACACCATTATTGGCTTCGAGTCGTACGGCATTCAGGTGCAACTACGTCCGTGCTGGGCACCTCTGGGATGGCTTACACTTTGGAGCCGCACGAGTCGCATCAGAAACGCCAAACTTATGTAGAATCCGGATTGCCTTCCCCTTCGACGTGCGATGCGATCTTACCTATTTTACTGGATGGCCTAAACTTGGGCTCGAAAGGCTCGATGCACACGTTCCCCTTGCGGAGCGGCCTTCACACCTATCGGAATTTTCGCTCGCTCAGGAACTTCACACTTCCCTCCTATCGAAACCTTGCAATGAATGTGTGCAGCTCAACTGCATCGCTTTGTATGTCTACTACAAAAGACGTGCAGTCAACGGTTTCCTCTATGTCTCAGATGATGCGTTCGAGGTCTTCCAGATCAAGCACATTGCCAGGTAATTCCTGAAGACGGAGAATGGAAAGACATAGAAGTTGGCTTTGTCGGGCTGGCGAAGTGGGCAGACAAGCGGTACAACTAAGAGGTTACCACTTCATCAGAGGATAATTTGCTCTCCCATTGCTTCTGACCTACGTATGGTATCGTACATGCCTGTAGGCCGAGTGTTCCTACATCAAATGGCTTGAGTCGCCGGATCACATTGCTCGTTGAAGTGGGCGCAGGTAACCGGACTCTGGCGTCAGATATACACGCTCTTGCTCTTTCCCGGCTCAGTTCGCTCTACGCCTACCTTCCCTTCGGCAAACTCGAGATTCTGCAGTCTTCCGCAGGACCATTATGGCTCCGGCAACACCCCACCTACTGGGCATCCCGCGTGAGATCAGGGATATTGTATGTGAGTATTTCTTTTCGTGGCAACTGCGCTCTCAAACAAAAAGCCTGGCATAATCGCTGTCGCTTCAGATGGAATGACCGGTACTAAGGCCAAGCGAATGTTTTGGGCTGCCAAAGGTAGGGATCTATATACAGATGCTATGTAAGTAACCGGGGAATCCTTTGGGAGCGTACTCACAGATAATAATTGTAGTCTCGCGCGGAATCCCAAGAGATAGGGTGGTGCCGGAGGCATACTGAAGGGCATAGCTAGCTTTGTTCAGACTGGCGGGCGAGATGAGACTCGGCTACACTGTCTTGGTAGCGATCGTATTTTATGAGGATGGAGTCAAACGGATACTGTGGACATGCCTAAGCGTTGCCTTAGGTGGGGATTGCGTCGTAGCTATATTACCTGACTGATGATTCAGTGAGGATCTTCAGTTCCATGGTATACCGCGACGTATAATTTAAGTTTGTTGACTCTGAGCTGGGCAGAAGCTATCACTAAATCTCGGTACACCCAATTTACGCAACTTCTTACTTTTTTTTAAAGTCAATCTAATGTGGGTTATCCGTACTTTCCAGCAGTATTTCCAGCTCGGATACGTATGTCTTCAGACGCAGCTTGGAGACGTCCAACATGAGAGGGATTCGCTCGCTCTCAGAGAGATCACTTGTTTAGCCACCCCCTGCAATAAATTTATATTCTTCAGACGCTGGCTCGCCTTGTAAAGTGTGGTAGAGTGCAGGGGATCGATGCCTGGTTCCTTCAGTAGTGCCAGTAGTCCATCTATATGCGCCAGCCACGTAAGATCACTTGGGTCGATATTGACAACCATCTAATATAATAATCGTGTAAGTTCTTATCGGTTCATATTTGCAGGCTCTGATGTTTTGGTCGCTCAACTCGTACATAGCGAACAACCACCACGACTCGAAGGGCGTATTGCAACCGATGCGATCGGACAGGTCTCTCTGCAGCCCAAGTATAGCAGAATGATATTCCTGTTGCAATTTTCCTCGATCTTAGAAAGTCTGCTATGGCCTCTGGAAGGATTCGAATTAAGCACACATGGCTTGTCTGACGCACGTCGTCGCACTTTTAGAGAGTTGACTACTGAGATCTTCACTGCCAAAATTCACAGGGACGGAAGCCTTTGAGAACACGCAAGACCAGACTTCGGACAGGCGACATGGTTTGCTCGCTTTTATGCCCAGACCTTCCCCTCCGCAATCGATTGCTACGTGAACGAGATCTTCCGGGCCACTGGGGTTCTTGAAAAAGCGGTCAGGATTAGTGGTACTGGTTGGATTGTGTGCAATAAGATGACATATGCTGAGATTTCGTTCGTGACCTAGTGCTCTATAGCTGAGGGCTTGCTGAAGCAATTGGGCAAGTGAGAAGGGTTTCAACAGCAATTTCACACACATAATGCGTAGCTTAGAGCTCTGCGGACTTTGGAATCTGTTAAGAAGGTTGAGGAGCAAGTCGCGCGTGGAAGGGCTGCCAATGGTCTGTAGTATGTGTGTTTACTTCAGGTCACTGTTCACCCTCATTCGATGGTCGATGTTCGGAACTACTCATTTAACCAAAGCTGAGCGATGACTTCGTTCAATAACACCGGATGTTAGTAGCCCACGATCTAAAGTCGAAACACCTTTTCTAGCCGCGACCCTTCGCCCCCCAAGTGACGTCAACGAGACTGAGAGCATACCCATCGACCCTTCTAGCACCCTCCAGCACAAATCTAGCATCTGCTTCCCCGAGAAGGTTCTTCCATTGGCTCTCGCTGCGTATGCAACCATTAAACAACGTCAACATTCTCATATCCACCCAGCTGTCAGGGAAATTCGATCGGTAGTACATTTCTCATGTCAAATTCGCAACTATCAACTTACCATGTCATCTCATGCCTCCATTTTCTTTCTGCCGCGCTATCACTAACATACTCGTAGATCAGAACTTCCGCCCCCAATAGTGGAACTAACGCTCGTAAGATCTAAACACGGTACTAGCCACTCCCGTTGAGGAAAATCCTTGCGAAGAGAAATACGTCGGCCCTTGTTGCTGGCTGCATTTGGAAGAAGTCATGCGCCTGGAATTCAATCCTGGACTATAATTCGACTGGCACAATCGTTTTACCTGCGGTGACGACATGATCATGATCCTGCACGATGCAGCATATATGCTTTGTAGACGATGCGAGAATTTTTGCTACATCTCTAGTTCCGCCTCCTACATCGACTAATCCGTGGATGGGCGATCATATTCAGCCCATGGGAAAGAGCCCATTAGAAGGTTCTGGCCGACGGCGTCACCGCCGGATATCGCGCATGCGAACCGTTCTGCTTGGTTAGGATGTTGCTAGAGATACCGATACATGGTAAGTTGATTCTGTGGGCCATATTGTACGCCGTGGTATTTGCCTTGACAGATCTTAAGGATTTCATCGCATCGGGGAGTCGCAGAAGTGCGGACAAAGACCCCTGGAGAGTGCCACCAAGTATTTCAAAGCGATCAGAGCCTCTCAAATGCGGTGAGAGCTCGCTATGCTCCCCATGGTCCGGCCGGTTACGGCTCTTTGAAGAGACCAGTCATGACCATGTAGCATATGAAACGACGGAGAGGGGCTCCCTCTATGCGTGTTCCCATCTCGCTGTTGCACCACATCGCCAACTCAGCTTTCGATATCGACCCTGATGGAGGGATGCGCTGTGGGAGATTGAGCTCGTGAACGATCAGCAACGGTGCTACATCTGCAGGCTAGGCGCCTAATAGCATAGATTTGCAAACGGCAATATACTCAGTGCGTTTACTTACACTGTGTAATATTTCCATGAGTGTATATCTCGGGCCAAGGATCTCTCTTCCCATCTCCTCGATGCTGTTAATAAGATCCAGCTCCTGCAATTGTGTTTGACTGTTGGCTGCGTTGGAGAGTGCTGAATTTCCAAATGTCTCCACTTGGCCAGCTAGTACGCTGATTTTCTGTGCCAACTCTCGTATGGAAGCCATTTTGAAATTGCTACGTCCGTATGTAGGATCTGGGACCATTTTCTTTTGGAATATTTTGAAGGGAAACTTGCAGCGAAGCGGTTCGCAATCGGGTGGAGGATAGTATTCGAGGATTTGCGCATGGTAGGCAGAGTCAATCATAGTGCAACCATGTTCTAACCGATCTCGCGATGTGTTACCACACATATCTAGTGAGAATTATTCAAGGTGACACCTGTAGTTTCGCCGGGCATCTCTGCCAGTCCCGCATATCATCAATTAGAGAGGTCGAGGCCATGGCACATCGTGAGTGACAGAGTCTGTGTTTGTGCCGGCATCTGTGGTCGGACTCACGCCCCAAGTTGCACAAGGCCTGCCAAAAGACGATCAAACCTCTAGTCTTCGCGGATGGCATCATTTCTAACCACGTTAATGATTACAATTGCTCCTGGAGATGATAAAATTCAAGGTGCACGCCAAGCAAACTGTGCTTGATTCTTCAGAGATGCGATATGGGACCTTTAAGACATTTGCTGCACTGTATGTACTTGCCCTTAAGCTGAATATAGCCAGATTAGGCGGGTAAGGATTTATTAGACAAAAATTTCAGCAAATAAACAGCTAGATATTTGTTAATAATAATCGTGGTACTACTTGTTTCCTTGCTCGCGTAAAACAGCTAGAAGTTCAGCTTAAGAGCAATACATACGGTACTTTCCTCATCTGATTGTTATGCCCTTGAAGTGACGAGTGACGCGTAGACTTCGACCAGACACGATAGAATCCGACTTGGAGATTTTTCTCAGGAGGTAATGGTCACGCTCGTAGATGTGCTCATTTACATCCTTAGATCGGTGAAACAGAGGTATTTGCGGGTACAACCCATCTAACGTCACAACTACTGTATGTCTTTCTGTGTCTTGAAACGAGGTATACATGTTGACCGGACCTACATTCGTTGGTGCAGTTTTGAGGAAATGAGTCGACGCTCTCTACACCCGAGAATTTGGATATCGTTTCCGATGGCGAGCTTGAGCTTGCCGCTTGTACAGGCATTTTGGAGGGGCTATGAAATCTAACCGAGGTAGCCTCACCAAAGCCGCCCCGCTGCACGTTAGTCGATTGTCCCACAGGGCACTTAGAGCTACAGGGCCCAATCCTGACAACTTTATGAGTGCATATCGAACACCACGAGGGCGCAACCATCGGGAAGAGGTTCTGCGAATGAAATAGTGCCAAGTGGTGGTGTAGCTTTGGTCGACCGGTCAGCAGTCTGACCGGATCTTGGCAATGCATGAAGCTTCGTATTCCATATTTTGCGGACACTTTGTGCCATCACAACTTAGTGCAGCTGCTCGAGATCGTTGTCCGAGGTCAAGAAGCAAGATCGACCCGTGCAGAATGAATATGTGTATGACTGGTGAAAGTCTTCCACATGGACGCGCGGATGTCCTGGTTGGCCGCGGTTCTGGCCGCAACGAGTACTGCTGTAGGCCCAACGGGTTTCACAGTGAAGCCGAATTTGGTGGTCTTCTGGTTCGTTGTTCTCTTTCGACCGAAAAAGCTCGGCTTGTCAATCATACGCAGAGTTAAAATTGTGATTCGCGATGGTCGAAGAGTTGGTGGCTGATCAACATCAACCAATGAAACCGCGCTCAGCCAGGTTCTTGCAACGACTAATTCAGCCTTGAAATTCATAGCAACCATGCCCATGTAGTTCTTGAATGGTCCAGAAAACTTTGGCAGCTCCGCAGTACCCATGCTCGCCGCGTCGATGAGGGACGATTGCTGCGGAAGGGGAATGTCCTCTTGCTTTCAGCCTTGGTACGTGTGCCGATACGGGTGAGAATCGTGTGCTTCGTTGGGACTTGCAAATCGGCTATCCAACGGCTTATGGATCGGTGTTTTGAAGCCGCTTAGTGGTCTTTCAATTCGAGAAGATTGTTCCCATCGCCACGTTCACCGGACGGTGGCACCGGTTTTCCGAATGTGATCACATTCAACCGGTGTGGTGTCCGGGTCCGGGCCAGCTTTCTGTAGGTTGGCTGACCATTCGCTGCTTCGTTAGCCATGCAACGGGTCCGGAGCGAATCGAATCGACTCGTCCAGAGAAATCTATCTGAGGGAAACGGGTTACAATGATGAAGGAAGTCGAGATGTTTAGACGGCCGGACGACCATTTTCTGCGACTGGGGAAAGCAACCGATTGTGATACGCCAGCGGGCGATTCGGCGTCCAGCGTTTTTGAGCCGATGAGCGAAGCTCTGTTTGTTCTGCGCGATACCTTGTCGCTAAAGGGCTCGTGCATTATGCAACCTCGTCGAATACATGATGCGACACGACGAGAGGCTGTGCCAATGTTCCAGACGAATAGCATTCTCTTTGACCCCTGTGCAAAGGACGAAGCCTTCTGATAATTGTCTCTGCCAATGATGTGCGAAACCGCGTCCCAGGAGGGGCACTGTACGCTGCTACCCCGCGATCTCGACCATGCGATATGTGCTGAGTGTTGTTGCAAAGACAATCTGTAATTTTCCTGACAGAAGCCCACAGCGTACAAGAGCAGTCGAGACAAGGTACGACGGCATCGCGGAACGACCATCCGCCAAGGAATTGACCATCATTTGCTTAGAGTGATGATGAAAAGCGGCTCTATCATGAGACATTCATTAACAGTCGTTGTTTTCGGTATGTGGAATCGTTCGTAGGACTGAGGCTAGATTCTGTGGCCAGTAAACACCAGTAGCAACTGACAGGTCATGCACTAGGTTATCAGGCTTCCGCGACATCAATACGCCAGCCGCCTGGTGGCGGATTGTCAATTGGCGACGTTTCCGGAATGGCCACTCTAGTAGTAGGAATACCAGCATCTCTCGTTGCGATACTTGCGCTCAACGAATATCGTAAACGTCGTCGGGCGCGCCACCGAGGTAGGCCGGATTCCCTTGTGTAAAAGACGGTGGAATCGAACGTGTGTGACATAGTGCTTGATAGCCCACGACGCAGTCCAACGCGACAGCGTGCTCCTGTTCGCTCAGGTGTAGGGGCTGCTTGCCTTGACAGCGAGGCAGTAGGGTGGCAATGCCGGGGCGAGCGATCCGTAGCTAGGATAGCGTCGTAACCTTGTCTTTAGGGTGAGGGTGGAAGTTGGAAATACAGAGTTGGAAGAAGAAAAGCTTCAGTAGCTACTCGCGAGATCATCGGCTGTCACTTTGGTGGAGAATCAAACTGAGCAAAAGGAAGATGAATTGAAGGGAAGCACTGACACTGACGGCAGGTGAGCGCAACGTGTCAAGCCATCTCGTTGGAGGAAGCGAGCCTATACTAGAAGGTATGTCAGTCGAGATCATGCAGCAGTGGGTCAAAGATTAAAGCGGACAGACATCCAAGTAAGAGAATTTGGGGATAACCTTTCTGCGAGCATAAATCTTCGTACGCCAGACCGAGCCCACCTGCATCCGTCGACAATGGGATACCACAGAACGAATGTATCAGTGGAGATGGGACCTGGTTTGTCAGAGCTGCCGAGCCCCGACCTTTTCGAAGACGAGCAAAGGTCATGGCAAGAAGAGTTGAACAGATCAGTGCATGGATCAGTTAGTCGCGGTTGATGTTGTCGAAGTGGAAACAATAGCGCACCGATCCAGAAGCGATAGTGAACGAATGAATGAAGAAGAAGTGAGAGAGTCCATAGTCACATAAGTGCAGTGATTGAGTGCTGAAGTCGCCCGTGACTATGATGCGGCGTGCGAACGTGGAGAGGGATCGTTGTGACATCTCGAGTGCTGCCACGACTCGGACAAGGTGAACGAGACTAAGACCAACATCGGAAACGGATCAACAAAAACACTGACCTGATACGATAGGCAACAGTAACAGGCTTGGGCTTGGCTGATGCTATGGAACAGTAGCTGCGTAACGAGAAATGTATGGGGCTACCGAGGCGACAGTCTGAATGGAGTAGGTTGACAGAATGGCAATGCGGACACGGAGGGGGATATATGCAAGGCTGACGCACGGACCTTGGGACCAAGTTGTGGCCCAAAAGTCCCGGGCACACCAACAGCCCCTCAATCGTGCCCTGGTAAGTAAGCCACTTAATGACACGAAGGGACAGCTATAAATGCATGCATCGATGTTTTAATGCACGTCGGGTAGCATCCCAGCCAGTCAACCGTCCTTCTTTATCTGCTTAGGTCATTTTTTGGGTTGACGCGATTTGCATCAACCAGTGGTAGTGGCGGTTTCCAGCTTGCTACGCCCTTACTAAAGAGAAATCAGTGATGTTCCAAGCCGTGTTCTTCGTGTTCTCGCGTCCAGCAGTGGTGTTAGGCTGCCTTGTGATGCGAGAGCGCTGTGAGGTTGCGGTGGCGCCGGGTTCCAAGCTGGCCACAATCGCACGGTTGCCTGTCGTGAACAAATAACTCGCGATGTTACCCTGAGTAAAACGATACTTTCATCTTTACATTCGGAACGATCAGTGCATCCTATGCCGTGGGCACCGCAGAGGCTGTAGGTGCTGGTGATAGGCGCCCCTCCTGTGCAGCAGAGCCGCACGTTTAACTTAGTAAGCACGTCCGACATTTTCCTTCCCAGCGGCTTGATGATTTCAAAGTCGGAAACAACGCATTGTGGAAGGTACCTCACTTCGAGCTGGTACCAGCTAGACTTTTGAACTAGGTAGTACTCAGAGAGAGCCGCGTCTGGCTATAATGTCTTGGGGGCCTAGACAACCTACCGTAGCAGAATGCTCAGCTCGCGTTTCTGGTGCTCAGGTGGCCATCTCCCCACACTTTTCTACTTGGCGCGTATTGGTCTAACCTCTATCATATTAATTAGTAGATAATACCTCTATAGCCAAAAACATCTCTATTATTTAGCGCTGGAATTCTTTGCTATAAAAGAGGATAGTGGGGAGCTGCGGTTTTGAACTAATCCATGACAGGGCTAGCATTGGGTTTTGGTCATTTCTGCACATGGCCACCTTCCCACCCATACAAGCACATGTAGGTCAATCATGAATATTGTACAGGTCTTCATCGATTACAATATGCTAGCGCATCGAGCGTGATTTGAGGCGTTGTCTGAGGCGGCCACGAGGCGGCAGCGTTGGGCTCACACTACTGAATTGTCTCCTTGGACTCGTTGCGAGGCTGCCCGGTACTTTGCCAGCGATCAGCCCATCTTTAGTAAAATGTCCCCAATTCGCAAGGTGGACCCTCCCTACTGTGCTCTCAAAACATCTATTTCATCGACTTGTCGGGCCATTCGCCACCTGTGGTTTGCGGTCGAGTCATTTCTTTGAACTCATCTTTCCGACACCTCACAATTGCTCCAGGATGGATACTCGAATAGCACTAAATTCTGGTTCGCCTCACTCCCTCCTATTTTAGAGACCAAGGTAAGTTCATTGTGCGCGACCGATCATGAACGGAGAACTCGGCAGGTTCCTGTCATACGACTTGAGATATAGGCAAATATATGTACGAAAACGAGAACCAGCGGATTCCACTCTACCCATGATCAATCTTTCATGCAGGAACATTCCTAGAGAATAGGGAGCTAAGGTTCGGCGGCCCCAGACTATTTACATGGTAGATCTTATGCCATCCTCGCAGAGGATCTTTAGAATTATCAACTGTAGACTCTTCGCGAGCTTTTGCAAGCCACAGCAAAACAACGCACATGAACTCTCTTCAGAAATAAATAAGTAAAATACCACACCGGGAGAATGTATTCTGCTGGCAGTGTCAGCCAATGGAGTAAAGTATGATTTTCGTTTGCAAAGCAGGGTTGGTCATTGCCCTGGCATCTACCAGTGTGGGATGAGCCTGTACGAGGGCGACCATTGTAGGCGCAAGGTATCTGTCAGACTATACCTGAAGTGATCACATTGAGCACCGAGCCATCGATAAACAAAAACGTCAAAGTTCTCAAGGTCATCCTCGGAAAGCCCTTTGGCGGTGAGCAGACTGCAGTCGTTTCCCTTTTCGCGTGGCGTGGCAAGGTTCAGGCCTCGGCCTAGCTTCACTGTCATATCAAGTGCATTACAAGATGACTGTGTAGACAAAGATAGACCAGCTGTTTATATGGATATTACTGTTCAAACTTGCTTCAAGGGCCCGTCACCGCAATTGCAGGAGTATCATGGCTCTCAGAAGCTCCGCCTCGGAACACCCCATAAGCGGCAACAGAAAGAAGCATGCATTACCTTACCTCAGGAATGCAAGAACACACCATGGCAAGGCTTCCCACGCAAATACGTCCAACTCCATAAGATTGGGGAACCATCTGTTTCCTTTCACTGGGGAATACCGCGAGGGTAACATAGGCAGAAACTGTTGCCCCCGAGCATCCAATCCGTCAGAACAACCTATATTTCAACACCATGGATAGCATGATACATTATAAGCTACAATTCCTGTGTTGATGGATCGCATTAGTGTCATCTCACGGAGACAGGCATGCCTATTGCCAGCGAGATGCTCGATACCATGTCTCCCCAAAACATTGATAGGTAGCCATCTCAATAGACATGGCGCAAGCTAAATCCCTCCGGTTTTTACGCAATGCCAGAAGTCTTTCCGCTCTTCGTCGTTCCGATGCCTGGTTGGAACATTGTCGCAAGCACCATAGCGCCGAGCATCCCATGAACAACCACAAATATACTTACTTTTTCCATCGTAACAGCCGCAACCGTTCGCTCTTGCCGTCTCTTCCGATGACACTGTAAGCTCGGCGACTGCCGGGCCTTTGAATGCCTTGAACACCTCTAGATAGCGGTTAGCTTCCTGAGCGAACCAGGCCGAGCGCAGGGCATACTTTTCGAGATCCTTGGGGTTTGCAGAGCCCTCAATTACTAGATTACCACCTTCCGCCCTCAATTCCGGTGTGCATCACTTCTCTGCGAATAAGGGGCGACAGTGGCGTTGGAGATTGCCGCGCGCGTTTTCACCGTGGAAGGCTTGGGGATTGTGAGGTAACAAGACAAAGTATGCACTCCCCGATTTTTGGTAAACCCCACCTGCTTGTATGGAGTCAGTTGCCTCTGTCAGTAGTCTGTCTTGAGGCAGGGAGGAGCGGATGCTGGTTCATAATACAGAGGACTGTGTTGATGGCAGAGAAGACGTCGCGGGCCAGCAACTGCATCACTCTTCGTCTTTGATGTTGACCACACCATAGAGCTGTCATCTCGCTCTCCATTGGTGAGAGGGGTGTTGATAGCAGGCCCTTGAAGGCATCGATTGAAGTCCCAGACATATACATGGTGCTGTGTCTTTCACTCCGTGCGCCCTATATCTAACACATCCATTTTGATCCGCAAGAATTCTCACTCAAGGTCAACCTCCCGAGTCCCTCATCGTCCACCACGCTCCACCCACAGCGCCCTATGCCGTAGCCGCCCACAATCCCCTCATCCTCTCACCGCCCGCAACCAACCCACACACCCCCATCCACCCCGCATGCCACCCGGGCACACCGCCCGTCACATTACTAAAATGTAGCGCCATGGGGAACCACGCCGTCGCAATCGCCGCATCCATCCACCACCTCTTATCCACCTGCGCATCCTCGTCTCTCGTCGCAACCTCCCCCTTCTCGCCCTGACTCCTTGCCGCCCTCTTCGCGCTAATATTTTGTGCCTCCCGTGCCAGCCGCAGGAAATCGCAGCTCACACCCACGAGCCAGAAGCGGTACGCGGTAGTGTACAGCCGCGCGGTGGTGGGCTCGCTGCGGTTCAGACGCGCGACGAAGCTTGCGGGCACGATCCCGTTGTCCGCGAGCACGCAGATATTTTCGAGGATCTGGTACGCGAAGTAGGAACTCGCCTGCGCGACCGCGATCTTGTGCAGCACCGCATCACTCCCCGGCTTCGGGCCCGCCATCAGGCTGCGGAGCCAGGCGTAGAGCGGCAGCGTGCCGAGGAGGCGCAGAGTGGTGCGGCATTTTGAGAGGAGCTGGGCGAGAGCGGCGACGGGGTGGGGGATGTTTGGGTCGGCCTTGAGAGGAACCGGTGACGAGGAGAGTTTGAGCGCGGCGAGGAGGCGGGTGTAGAGGGGTGAGGCGCGCGGTTGGAGGTATGCGAGGACGTAAAGGATGTAGTTTGAGGTGGAGAGGAAGGCGGAGAGGCCGCCGGGGGTGGCGAGGAGTCTGGGGTAGGCGGGTTAGCGACGCGATGGCGTTCGAACGGTTGTGGGGAAGGTAGGGAGCTGTGTGAGAGGAGATGGATGGAATGGGAACTTACTTGTTTAATCGCAGGATGAAGCGGTCTGCTTGCTTTACGGCTGCAGCCGCATTGCCGCCAACGCCGCCGTGGGCTTGGGTCTCGCGCTTGACGGTGTCCGCGGCGTGCTTGACTTGCTCGACGGCCTTATCGGCGGCCTGCACCGCTTGGTCGGGGAGCTTGTCTGTCATTTTGGGGAGTTACGAGAGTTGTGAACGAATGCCTGGGTGAAATGGCCGTATGGAGCAATGGGCTGCGAAGCAGGCTGGTAAGCTTCTCCGCCGCGGTGGTTTGGTACGTCTATGGGGAAGGTTGCCGAGGTTCGGCTCGGGCCTGAGACGCGGAGGAAAAGGGTCGGGGTAAGTGTTGTGATTGGATGAATAAAAGAGCAGCTATGTGCTTTGATTGGCTACAAAACATAAATGAATCCAAAACGAGTCACGGCAACAACCACATCGACATGTTTGGAGATAGACCTGAGCTTGAAGGCCATGTTCCTTACTTCTGCCTCAGCAGGTCGCAGTCTTTTCGTCACCTCCTATTATGTAAGTGCAGGTACGCAAGGCTTCATTGCTTGGAGAGCGCCGCGAGCATTTTCAGCCTCGATTCAATTGCGATCTCGAATCTCGACGCCGATGGACGCGAGCAGCTCTTTCGCCAAATGCTGGCCAAAGTGCCCCCGACAGTCCTTTGAGACGTGAAATCAATCCATCGACAAGAACTCGTCCCGCTCTACATGGTGCCTCGTGGCATCCGTGGCTGCGCAGGCCCATGGATACAAGGTATCTGCCGGCTTGAGCCACTTCAAATACCGGTGGTCGTCTTGCACCACCTGCATCCTAGTGCGTCAAGAAGAAACCTCGCGCTTGCAACCAAGCGCTTCGCCCAGTCGTCGACGCAAACTCACCATCCAAAACGGCATCTTAAATGTAAGATGCTTTGTGTTGAAGTGAGGTCCGAGGTAGAAGCTCAAGCGTGTCCGCAGGACTAAGATGCTCGCAAATACCTCCTTCACGAACGACTTCTCATCGCACCATGTCTCGGACGTGGCCCCCTCATAAGAACCATAGAGACGCTGCCAGAGAAAACCGTAGCCGAAGTCATAAACCTCCAGTACTTCGACACGTTGCTGCAGATATGGCCTTAAGAACAGATTCGAGTAAGGAGCCCCGAACATGTAGCCTCAGCTTGTCTCCATGAATGACTTCCAACGGAGCTCCGAGTATACCAACACTGATCCGCGAGCCTCCAGTATTCCATGTAACACCAATACATAGTCAGGGCTTTGTAGAATTGCGCAGTCTCCGTAGCGCAGAACTTGATGTTGTTCCTTGGTTCACATGTGTGCTCCTGACGGGTTTGTCGAATGTACGGAATAAGTAATTGGGTGTTTTCACACGTTGTCAGAGTGAAAGTTGAATTTCGGAAATGGCAGGTACACTAAGCTCTATACCTCACGTAGGTTCATGATGTCGATGATTAGGCACAAGCACATGTCAATGCCCCTCTGATGATGGCTAACGGCCCTTTGCTTCGCGTTTGATGATGCTCTCGGGTCGACATGTTGGTTGACTGGGCGCGGATTGCGGCACCATGGCCAATTAGATCATTGTGAGGCAGCAACGGGCACGGCACGCAGCAACGAAGCCAGTGTGAATTGTAGAGTAGGACTAATAGCATGGATTCAGCTCGTTTGCGGTGTAGAGGGGCAGTTCAGTGTTCGTTTGGGGAAGGGTCGACTGGGGACCGCTGCCAAGGACTAGAGACGGCTACCCTGCAGTTGAAACGCAGCTCGACATTCGAAACCCTGCCACAGCCTCCCGCCCACAGCCTCCACCACCTTTCTCTCTTCAGGGGCGATTCACCGCCGCTGTAACGCTGTACCGTCGCAAACCTCTCTGCTAGGCTGTACAAAAAACAATGGCTGGCCGCTTCGTACGAGCGTCCAAGTACCGTGAGTGTCGCGCGAGCTGCGCGGGTGCTGACAGCTAACATGTCGCAGGCCATGTCTTCGGACAAGGCGCGAAAAAGGTGCGGACAGACAACAGGCATACCCGCGATCGTCGCCGCTGACCATTCGAGCAGGAGCAAAGCTACGACAACCTGCGCATCTCCAAGAACGCCTGGGACACCAACCTCATCAAGGTCCGCTCGCGCCTCTCCAAGCAGAAGCAGGGCACGCGCTCACGTTGCACAGGCAAACCCAGAATACCTCTCCGTCAACTGGGAAGCCAGCGGCGGTGGCGCATTCGCCGTCATTCCCCTCAATGAGAAGGGACGCGTCCCCGAGCAGATACCCCTCTTCCGGGGGCACACCGCCGCTGTTCTCGACACCGACTGGTACGCGCACACAACATGCAAGCCGCAGGAGCAACGCTCATAGACACGCAGGAGTCCGTTCAACGATTCATTGATCTCTTCGGCTTCGGACGATGGCAAGGTGCGTTCGCCACCCCTAGATTGTTCGCGGGGGGTGGACTCTAACTAGGGACAGGTCTTCATTTGGAAGGTGCCAGAGGGCTTCTCGCTTTATAGCGACGCTGAAGAACCCAACGATGTCACTCCCGTCGCCAAGCTGAGCGGCCATCTGAGGTATGCCTGCCGCGCGTTCCACGGAGTAAGCGCTTACTCGACCATAGGAAAGTCGGACACGTCCTCTTCAACCCGGCCGCCGAAAACGTTCTCGCGTCCTCATCCGGAGACTACACCGTAAAGCTGTGGGATGTAGAGGCTGGCGCAGCCAAGCTCACCTTGAAGCACAAGGACATCGTGCAATCTCTCTCCTGGAGCGCCGATGGCTCCCAGCTCGTCACGACAAGCCGAGACAAGAAGCTGCGTGTGTGGGATGTGCGACAGGAAGCGCCCGCGATCGAAGTCCAGGGCCACCCAGGAGCCAAGAGCAGCCGTGCTGTTTGGTTGGGCGAGCACGACCGCATTGCGACCACGGGTTTCTCTCGCATGAGCGACCGCCAGCTTGCTCTGTGGGACGCGCGCAAGCCGGGAGAGCCTATCGGCGGATTCACGATTCTGGACAGCATCTCCGGTGTCTGCATGCCCTTCTGGGACGAGGGTACTCAGTGCCTGTACCTTGCTGGAAAGGGCGACGGCAACATCCGTTACTACGAATACGAGAACGACAAGTTCGAGTATCTCTCCGAATACAAGTCTGGCGAGCCGCAGCGTGGTATCGCCTTCATGCCCAAGCGCGGCATCAACCTGCACGAGAATGAGGTTCTCCGTGGTTTCAAGACTGTCAACGACTCTTACATCCAGCCAATCTCCTTCATCGTTCCCAGGCGCGCCGAGATGTTCCAAAGCGATATTTACCCACCTACGACCGGTCTCAATGCCGGTGCTACTGCGCAAGAATGGTTTGGCGGCAAGACGGCTTTGCCTCCAAAGATCTCCCTGGAGTCAGTGTACGAAGGCGATGGTCCTAAGGAGGTCCCCGCCGAATACAAGCCACCTCAGGCCGCTGAACCCATCCGAAGCCCGTCCCCCACAAAGACCGAAGCGCCCAAACCTGTAGAAGCTCCCGTTCCATCACCAGTGACCCGTGGACCACCTCCCTCGATGAGCGACAACAAGGCTTCTCTCGCGGCGGGTGCGTCGAAGTTCGCTGACAAGGACGAAGAATCTGAAGATGAGACCAGCAGCTTCGAGGAGGTACCGAAGCCTGTTGAGCGGCCGTCTGCTATGGCTGCACGCCAGGAGGAGACGACGCGTGGTCCTACCTTAAAGCAGGAGCCCGAGCCATCGAAGCCCACCCCGGCCCCGACTCCCGCGCCGGCTGCCTCAGCACCTGCACCTGCCGCATCAACCCCTACCTCATCGTCGACGCCTACGCCTGCACCGACCGCTTCAGGCGCCGCAGCTGGACTGAAGGACTTCCTGGCCGATATCAAGAACACGGTTCAACAACAAAGCGAGACCTTGCAGCGCCAGAACCAGATCATGTCCGATCAGTCTGACCAGATTGCCCTGCTACTAAAGAAAGTCGGCACTCTGGAAACCAAGATCAGCTCGCAAGGCGGCGATCGCGAGAAGGATGAGCGCATTCGTGAATTGGAGCTTGAGCTGGAAGAGGCCCGATCTTGATTGTCAACGACAAGCTGAGCACAGCAAGCGCGCGACTTATCACGCAATCTGTGCGTTGTGTCGTTGCTGGTGACGGATCCGTGGCTGGCAGGTTCATTCTGGATCTGTACTGTTACGGATCGTTCGCGCATTATTTCGAATCTCGAGCTGCTGGTTTACGATGTAAAACAAGGGAAAACTGCAATGGTCATGTCGGAACGGCCTGGGCAATGTTGAATATGTTGGGTGCGTGGTCTGTAGCGTTGGTTGTCTCTCTTCCTCCGTGGTAGTTAGCGGCATGTGTCGATATGTTACTCGAATATTTCCAAAATGGATCACTCAAGCGCTTCAATGCTATGATCGGTATTGAGATTTCAAAATGAATCACTTCAACGATTTCATCACACGGAAACAGGACCTCGGCGCATAACAAACCAATATCCACGGGGATGCTGCTGTCGCCAGCACGGACAAGGGCGCAGAGGCGCAGCCGAAAATAGCGCGCTGGCGCCAACATCCGCAACGCTAGCGTTTGCGCTTGGGGATTGCGCATCGCAATTTCGGATGGTTCCTCGCAGACAACGAGCGTTCTGGCCTTGCGGATCGCTTTATCAGGCAGCGCGGGTGCTGATCTGTTTGTCTAGACAGAGTCTATGGCTACACGCCCCGTTTCGCGGTGACACGGGCGGCGGATTCTTGTGCTCGCTTCGGGGAGCGCGGCGCATAGGAATTGGTGAAATTGCATGCGCCCGATTCGGCATAAGGGGGAAGTTTCAGTCTCAGGAAGGTTTGCGCGTGGGATTGGTCTAGAATCGCGTGGAGACTATCGATAATCCTACAGGCAGCGGTCGGTATAAAGGGCTTTGTTGCCCACGCGTGGGGAGGAGTCCATCGCCTTTCTGGTTTCATTTCGGAGAGGTTTAATACACACGGTCGCTCACACATTCGTTTGGTTCTGTGGAACTACAGTCACTCGCTCAAAAGTACCTTCATACAAAACTTAATCCTATTTAATACCTACCGGACATCTTCTTCGTCCTTTGCCAACCTCAACCACGCCGTCTGTTGAACCAACTAAACACGATCATCACCATGAAGACCACCCTTTTCACCGTCGCCGCATTCGCGGCCACCGCCCTCGCCAAAACCAACCTGGAAGGCTGCACCTCCTCCCAGACCGTCGCCTTCGGCGGCGCCTCCATGATCTACTGGGACCCGACCAACGGCGAAATCTGCTCCTTCCTCGACTGCGGCGGCGGCCGCGCGCCGCCCAAGACGACCGTGCCTGGCTGCGCGCAGTACGAGGGAACTGCTACGTACAGCCCGGACTTTATGCCGGGGTGGGGCGAGGCGACTGCCACCGCTTCCGCTGCGGAGAGCGAGAAGACCAACTTCGAGCAGGGTACTACGACGGAGAGTGCGAGCGCGGCCGGAGAGAGTGTGCCTGCGTATGAGACCAAGACGGGGGCCAGCACGCTGGTTACGAGTGCCGCGGTGCTGCCGAGTGGGGTTGCGAGCGGGACGGGGATCACGAGTGGGATTACCGGATATGTGAGCGAGCTCACTACCAAGGGGGGCAATGCAACTGCGAGCACCGGGACGCCGACACAGTCTGCTCCGGCTGAGAACACGGGTGCTGCGGCGGCGTTGAGTGTGAGAGGGGGACTCGTGGGTGTGGTTGCTGGTGTGTTTGGGTTGGCCTTGTTGTAGATGGTACAGCGGCGCGTGGATGTGGATGTGATTGATACCCCTTAAAAGTTTCGTCTTGGACATGGAAGTGCAAAATGTGAAAATAGAACATAACATCATAACATCATGAACCAAAGCACACAGTGCAAGTGTGAAGATCAACAACCACCACCGCCGTCTCCGCCTCCCCCGCCTCCACCATCTCCTCCTCCTCCTCCTCCGCCCCCATCATCGCCACCACCACCACCTGCATCGACAGCCCAAAATCCCCCATACCCCGCCGCACCCACCGCATCCCCGCCGCCGCTCCCCGTACCCCTTCCCCCCTTCTTCCCCCGCCCTTTCGGCGGGATCGCAAACCTCCACACCCCCACCTTCCTCCCCTTGTGCAACTCCATCCCCGATCCGATGATCTCTAGCAGAAATATGATAATGAGGAGGCACCCAAACGCCATACTGGCATACGCCAAGCTATCCCCGACACCCCTGTACGTCTGCCTCCCTCGCCCACTCCTTAGACCCCGTTGATAGCACCACCGGTCCTCCATAAAGTCGCCATACAGGTCATTGTGGCACTGCGTCCACCACACCAGCACGACGAGCCACCCCGCAAGCAGCGTGCACGCCGTGGCCAGGCTGTACAGAATCGGCACCGACCTCTTTCTGTAGAGGCACGTGCTGAAGATGGCGAGCCCGAGCGTGAAGGGCGCGGGGAGGTAGTACAGCAGGCCCGAGCCCGTGGCCGCCCACGTGTTGTTGATGTAGGCGGCGGTGGGCGCGGTGTAGATTTGCCAGCCGTAGGCGATGGAGAGGGGCGTGCAGATGACGGAGAAGAGGATGACGAAGAAGTAGATTACGAGCGGGGGCGCGGGGAGGGTTTTTCGGCGGTAAGGGACGGTGGCGTGCGTCTTGCTTGGGAGGTCCCTAACGGTGGCTTTCATCTTGGAGATACTATGGTGCTTTTAAACGTCCACGAGTGGTTATTGTTCATCTGGAGCTGTGGCACATGGTGGAGTTCCTTTGTCCTGGACACGTCGTGAGGGGTAGTGCTTGAGGGGTGGGAATGGTCGTCAACTTATGGTGTTGTTGGGTTGCGCGTGAACAGCCTCGTGAGGCGGTGCTACAGACACGAGGCGGTAGTGCGACCGTATTCGCTATGGTTTTCTTCATTTGGGCTGCCGGTGGAGATCGCTACCGTATGGGGTCTTGTGGGGGCCATGGCAGGCGAATCAGGAATGCCGGTCACTTGAAAAGGAAAGGCCATATTGGTGGCCGTTAATAACGTTTACTTTGCTTTTCGACGACGTCGCTCGACTGTAGAGGAGTTTTCCTGAACCGATGGCGATGCGCAGAGCGAGATGCATATGGTGCAGTCAATCTATCAGAAGCCGCCCGGGTTTAGCGCCACCTGGGCACTCCAGAGCCCACTTCCCCGCTTCATCCATGTGTACAGCGAGCGGCGTGGGTGCATCTAATTCCCGACGGTGAAATCCTCAAAATTAATAAGAACGAAGGATATCAGGCACATATATGGGAGTCTTCCACCTAGCTTATTAAGACTCACGCTCTACTTTGACGCCGCAGGTGCTTTTCCCACTTCTTCCAGCGTCTCAGTTTGCACGCGTCCATCACGATGGCGGGTTCAGTTCTCATCACGGGCGCAAACGGCTCCCTTGGCCTCGCACTTGTGTCCTACATCCTCTCCACGTATCCAGACCACACACTCCTCCTCACCGTCCGGAGCCCCTCATCCAGCGACCCAAACACGACAAAGCTCCACGAGATCATCGCGAAACACCCCAAAGCCGATGTGCGCATCGAACTTATCGATTTAGCATCTCTCAAAGATGTCGCGTCATATGCTGATGAAGTTGCTGCATGCATTCGACAAGGCCAATACCCTAAACTCTCAGCCATCATCTGCAATGCGATGACGTGGTCGCTCAACGCTGGGGTGCAGTTCTCCAAGGACGGACTGGAGCTTACTATGGCTGTAAACACGCTGTCACACTTCAATCTGGTACTCAGGCTACTTGGCGAGATGGAAGAGCGGGGACGTATCGTATTCTTGTCGAGTGATTCACATTGGCCCGGTAAAGCAGGGCTCGAAGTGTATCCGCCCGTGATCCCGGAGGATTTGGAAAGTTTGGTTAAGTATAAAAAAGATGCTCCCGGGGAAGAAGCGGGAAGAGGTTTCTTGAGGTATGGGCTGAGCAAATTGGTGGGTGTGATGCTGATGTACGAGCTGAATCGGCGACTGCAGAAGGTGCGTCCTGAATTTCCGTTCTTGAATTTTCTCGTCGCGTCCGGCCAAGCTGACGAGTCACGTAGCAAAAGACGCTGTCAAGCATTTGCGTCCTGGCAGTCGATCCAGGAGGTCTTCTTGACTCACGCGTATTCGCGCAGGCAGATGTTCCCCTTTTATGGTGTGTTCTTATCAATATAGCGCGCTTCCTCCAGCCTCTCTGGAGGCGGTTCAATCCCAGAATGAACACCAGCGCTGGTGCAGCAAGAGATGTTGCTGACTTGGCGGTTGCGGACGAACTTGCTGGCAAGGAAGGGCATTTCCTGTTCAGAGATGAAGATGAGAGTTCGCCGGCTAGCTACGATGAAGAGATGCAGGGACGGTTGTTCGTCAAGAGCGTAGAGTGGTGCATGATTAGGCAGGAGGATACGGTGCTACCTCTATGATAGCTGGACGAAATATCACACAGGAGGAGCCCTGAGTGGGAAGACCGAGAGGACGGATCGATGACCCCTCACTGGAGCTAGTTTCTAAAGCTGAAGTCTCCTCAACTGTCGCCGTTCTCCAAGGTTGTGCTTGTCGTCTCACATAAAACCACAGCCCTCACCTTCCCCCGTACAATGCAAGCTTCCTCACGCGCAGCGATCCTAGTGGCCGCATCTGGCTCCGAAATAATGCCAAAGAAGGTCTGGAAGGATGCCTCGTCCGGGAGGACAAGCTCAGCGATCGCATCGTAGGTAAAGTTTTTCTGGGCCCCGACTCGTTCGTGCGAGCGATGTAACAGCGGGTGTGTAAGCGGCAAATGGTCCACTGCGATTTCTTTTAGGAGTTCGACATATTTGGTGTCTCGTGGGTTTTGAACTCGGCTGGCGAAAGGGTGGACTTTCGTGTGATGAAGAGAAGGAAGTTGACTGAAAGTCATGTAGTTTGCTTACGTGATAAAATATGAACTTTGGGCCAGAGGTTGATGGTGAGGAAGTTATGTGTGAGTACTGAGGCTCTGACGACTCATTTCAATGGTCTCGTGCATATGTCTTGTTCCAACTTTCTTCTACTTCATCCGGGAATCATGTTTGACCAGTGTTGATCACGGCGAGGCTGACAATAGATGTGGCGCAGTACGGTACGACACGGCACAGCACGGCACGGTACAACATATGCTGCCCAAGGCCATGTCGTCGGAAGTATTTCCAAGTGCCTTTTTGGCCTAGATACCGCAGACTCTTTACACTGTCTTTGTTTTGTTGACGAAATCGAGGCGAGTTCTGATCGATACAATGAGGTGATGTATTTGACCTGGGTGTTTCACACAGCTGGAGATGCCGATTCCGGTGTATATAAGGTCCGGTCTTTAGGGGCTCACAAGGTTGTGGATAGCTCGAGTGATGTCGACGTGGTCAAGTGATATAGCAGGTAACTAGCCGAGGGGTGATAGTTCAGTTGCAGTAGCTTGGCCAAGCTTTCTGGAACGTGTGAGTAGCAAGCATCTGTACTCTTCCCGCATACCTGAATATCAAAGCAGTCTCTTATGCCAAGGTAGGACAATGAGCGCTGCTAGTAAGCATCCTATGCGTTAAGTTTGAAGTTCACGATCGTTCTTAAGCCCTTCCATAGAACTACCGCGCAGTTAGCAGAGCAGGCGGTGTTGGACGACACAGTCCGACATCCATCACGACCAAACGTCTGCCATGCGAGGTAGTGTGGTACGGTTCGCACTGTAGATCAAAGCACCAGACGAAGCGTCAACAAACAAGTGTGGTAGTAAGGTTTGTCATTTATGCCATTCGCTGTCCGACTCCCAATGTAACTCCGATAGATCCTGTCCTTTGTGTTGTTCGAGTACGGTGTTTACATAACAGTGCACCAGCACGACTCGTCGCAGCCGCAGCAGTCGCATGATTCGCCGCAGGTGGGCTTGATGGGCTTGGGAACGATGGTTGAGGCGATGCTACCCTTCATGGTGACTGTTTGGAGGAGTTGTGTCTGCGTCTAGACTTAGCCTATACCGCACAAGACAGAAGTGTGTTCGTCGTACTATGAGAAGTGTTGGAGTGGATGATATGAGATTGTCCGGCGGGAGCTGGAAGATTGGTGGTGGATTGGTGGTGATGAGGGAGGAGGTTTGTTTGTTAGAAGCGGGCACCTGCCAGCTTTATACCTCTCTCCTGGACGCAGGTCTGCAGCAAGGCCTTCCCCTTCCAGTCGTTCCAAGCGCCCTCCCCTCGTGCGCCATTGGACTCCGAGCAAGGCGCACGCCGTGCGGCACCACAGCCACACCCCTACCGTCCTATCTATCCAAGTGCCCGTCCAACCTGCCACTCTCGCGCCTCTCATTCGCCAATGGGCCTTCCCCCGCCTCAATCGGCACGCAAACAATCAATCCCAGCTCAGCTGAGCCACGTCAGCCACGGCCGCACTCCACTTCAACGGCCGCCATTGGGTGCATGCACGTTGCTTTCGTAACCTGCTCGCGCCCGTGGGCGCCGGCATGCGGGATTGTGGCATGTGCGGATGGGAGAAGGCAGCGCTAAGTCGCACCAAGCTTTTTTAGCGTGTACTTGGCGCCGAAAATGCCTCACTAAAGCAAGGCACAAGCTTTCCGTAAGCCTTTCGGCGACTTGGCGGTGAATGGAATGCAGGGTTAATTCCAGGCTTGTCGTGCCCACTGTGGCTGAGGTGATGTCGTCGCGCAGCCGGGTGGAGTTGCCATGACGATGTTAGATGGCAAGTACGCGTTTGAGACGTCTGCTGTGCTGTCACTGCGATCCAGGCATTCCATGCGCACGATCATCAAGTAACGATCGTGTTTGCATCCCGCGTACGAAAGATCGATCAACGCTGGAAGGTCGGAAGGGCCGCGACGGACTCGAGAACGGCCCGACTATGGTATCGCGCAGGAACACAGGCTTTGATCATCGGGACCCTGCTAGCTGAAGCAACAAGGAGACGCAGCTGAAGAGTAAGTTGGGGCTAGGGGCGAGAGGCATTGAAATACAACTCGGTTGTCAAACGTTAGCGTTCATCTCTGACCAGTTACGCGCAAATTGATCCAGAGAGTGACGGTGCACAAGATCGTCAACCTTTGCACCTTGGTCGTCATAGGTTCCGTCTACATCCATGGCCGCGTATAGAAGCTAATTATAGTGCCTTGACTTGGTCCAAATGTCGATGCCGTGAGCCGGCCTCGGCTGTGTCGGAACGATCGCGTATAATTTTGATAGTCATATTCGGCAAGGAGGCAGCCCACTGTTACTGCAGTTTGGCCTTTTTTTTTCTCTTTGCTCTCTCGACTCTCTTTGAGATGATCTCTACAAACCCGGCCAGCCCGCTTAGAAACCCATATCGTCACTATCGTACTCGGCCTCGGCTTCGGCTTCCAAATTAACCACCCTGACCATGTTCCTCACATTGTCCTTGTCGAACAGCCTCAGAATGCCCTGATTATCATACGCAACGGCAATATCCAGCGCGGTCCTCTTCTGATCGTCTTCCAGCGCCGTATCTAGTCCTTTGTTCACTAGAACTTCAAATCTCGCGGCGACTATATTCTGCTTCTGGCGTGGAATGTCCCTAAGACTCCTGCGCATAATCCAATCCTCGTCAATCTTCACCTTCAACCGAGCAGCCACATGCAGCAAGCCTCCCCCACGTTCATCTCTAATGAAAAGATCCGCCCCTGCGTCTTCAAACAATGTCAGGGCTTGTGCAGGTGTTACGACCTCGGCCCTCTTGTTTCCGACCGGCTCGAAGTAATCCGGTAATGATTTGTTTAGGTTGAAGACTGGCGATTGGCCCGCCGCATTTCTGGCGTTGATGTCAAGGCCGCGTTCCAGCATCTTGGAGAAAAGCGTACGCGACGCTTCACTTTCCGTTATGCGATATGCAAGAAGATGGAGAGCAGTATTTCCTCGGTTGTCTTGCGCGAAGGGATCTGCGCCAGCCGACAATAAGGCTTCTACCGGCGAAGCATCGCTTTGCAATATGGCGTATCTCAGTGCTAGATGGAGCGGGGTGTTACCGTAAACATCTGCCTGGTTGATCAATGCGACAGTTTCTGCCTCGGAAAGAAGAGGGAGCGCCCTTAGTATTGGGTGGCAAGAGAAGGCATGAACATTCACCGCGGCGAGCATGAGATGTAGGATGTTCCGTTTTTGATTGTCCACAGCGAGTGTGTCCGCTCCATTGGAGCTGAGATGGTGCAGAAATGACGGTGCAGTCTCTTTAGGACCCTCAACTTCCAGGCCCGCATCAATGAAAAGAACGTCGATTGGTGCATGAATACCTGCTCGACTTCGGCATGCGGCATGTAGCAAAGTACGTCCCCGTGGGTCCCTCCGCTGTGAATCGAGCTCTGGCAATTCAAGTATCGGGTGGACTAGCTTCCCATTCTCCAGAAGGTTGTGTAGGACTGAACCCGTTTCGAGTTGAGGCTCCGCGTCCAATTCGTTTGCCGAAATGAAAGAGGAATCATCGTGATCTTCTTCTCGCTTGGTAACGTGATTCGGATTCTTTCTCTCGAACAATGCAAACGGATCTGCTCCGTAAGCTAGTAGGAGGCTGACGATTCTGATTGCAGTGTCGCCAGCCTTGCGCTTGCTGTCCGTAGCCGTATCTGCCGCGATCCCGTGCTGTGTTGCTGCTACCCAGAGGGAGTACTCCTCCAATGCGGACACCCCACTAGCTTTAGATCCTCCGTCTTTGGACTTATGCGGCCGGCGTAAGTTCGGGTCCATGCCTGTAGCTAGAAGTGTTTCAACGATCTTGGGAAGCTTGAAATGAATCGAGGCAAACAATGCAGACGAGTCAAGAGTTGCACCATTTTGGATCATAAGTTTAACCTGTATGGGGCGCTTGTTTAGCAAAACTAGCCATAAAATCATGAAAAGGGTACATACCATCTCAAGGTCATTACATGTAAGCGCAAGGCAGCTTGTCCCTTCTTCGTCTACGGCATTCACGTCGGCTCCAGATGAGATAAGCAATCTTGCAGCCTCTGTATGGAAAGGTCCCAAATAACCTGATCCCACGCTAGAGATCTGGCCAAGGGCAACGTGCAAAGGAATGCGATTGAAGTTCTTTGCGTCTCGAATGTTGATGTTCGCACCTTGAGAAATTAGGTATGGTAGAGCTTGAGCGACATGCCACCAGTATTTGCCTTTTGCCAGATGATGAATTACTGAGCTTGGGTCAAGATGAAATCGTTCAACCAGTAGACGTAAGACTTCCATATTTGGCAGTGGTGTATGTACTGCTTCTTCCAATAAAGAAAGCGTAGAGTCAGTCCTTTTATCGCTTGTATCCGGCTTCCTGGATAGCCCAGGTATGGAGCTGTTATTGAAGGCATGCCATCGCCCCGTCTTAAACTGTCGTTCGGCTTCCAGGTCGCCGATTTCATGCACAAGCGATGCTAAGCCGGCCCGTACAAAGATATTGATGAATGGAATATGGCAACGATGATTTTCTAAAAAATTCACGCCATTGTCGAAAAGAAGCTTGATGGTGTGGTACTGGCGGTGCAACAGCAGGTGGAAAACTAGTTCCTTGTGTCCTTGGCCATCGTTGCTGATTTCAAATTCTTGAACGGCGCGAAATTGAGCCTCTCTGTAGATCTTCGCACTATGCACAGCGAAACCGAGCGCACCATGCGAATGCGGGTATGATACTGGGGCTTTGGAATGCCTTTCCCTGGCTCGCACGAAACAATCGACGACATAGTCGCTTTCAGGACGCTCGTAATACAGGTGATGTATGTGAGCACCATTTTCGACTAGCATGTCAAGGATCTCATCAATTCTAGTGGTCTCTCTGTACGGGTCCAAGTAAGTGCGATTCGAATCCGTCGAGAACACGATACAGGGTCGTGTTGAATCTTTCAGAGTGAGTCCAGCGGCTTTTGTTGTCATTCGCATGGCTTGGGTGTTGGTGGCCCATAGAGCGTTTTCCGTGTCGTGATCAGCACATGCGGTGAACAGTTCACTTCTCGAAGCATTCGCGCCCGCCTCGAGCAGTAGTCTAACTGTTTCCGGCCTTCCTGATCTGCAAGCATAGTATAGAGGAGTATGTCCATCTTTATCTTCTGCATCGACGATGATCCCGGGGGCTTCTAGCAGCTGGCCTACGATGTTGCTTTGGCGTGCGCGTGCCGCAAGATGAAGAGGGGTTAATCCGTCGTGGCTGGTGATTGTTGGATCCGCCCCCGCGAGCAGCAGTGTCCTGACGTTTCGTTGCGAGATAGTACTCGCAAAATGAAGAGCCGTGAGGCCCTGATTGTCAAACGAATTGATGTCGTTTGACTTCGCTACCATAAAATCAAACATGCTGTGATACCCTGGTAGAATCTGAGACGGCAGATGCTCGTGTGGCTGTCTGGCAGCCAAGATATGAATAGCGGACCTCCCTGCGTTGTTTCGTTTGTCGATGTCGATTTCTAGATTGATGAGTCGTTCTACCAGAGGAAGATACTCCAACGCATGAAATCGGTCCAGCACGCTGTTGTGCAAAGCCAGCTCATGCAGGAGGGAATTACCACGATAGTCGACATCTACATGATCCATACATTTCTGTAATAGGTAGTCCAGATTGGTCATTTCGTTGCGGTGATATGTCTGGCGTGATACTCCTTTGTAGGACGAAATAGCCATATGAAGTAGCGTTCGACCGTCGAAGTCGCGCACACCGATATCTGCCCCTTTCTGGAGTAGAGCCTCTAGCTCCTTAGGCCCAAAACGGGAAGAAAATTTACCACAAATTCCTTGACAAAGAACTGTGAAACCTTTCGCATCTCTCGCGTTAATATCAGCACCAGCTTTGAGTAGGACCTCCAATGGTGCTGTCATTTGCCTCTCATCCATCCGCATCTTGTGCAACGGTGTTTCCTCAAAGCGATTGCGCTCGTTGGGATCGGCTCCTGCATCCAAGAGCGCTTTCACGACTGCAATTCCAGCTTTCTCGAGCCCAATGTGGAGCGGGCCGTTGCCGCTCTGGTCTCTAAAGGTCAGGTCCGGTCGATATTCAAGAAGCCTAAGCGTCGCATTGTCATGGTAACCCTCCAGCAATAAATGTATCGGCGACTTGTCTCCGAGGCGGGAATCTCGAAGAGGTTTGTTGATGTCAGCCTGTCCCAGCTCAACTAGCAAGCTTATTGATTCAGGGATTGTGGCCAGATGCAATGGTGCTTTTCCTGAATCGTTCACAGCATTCGCATCGGCACCAGCATCGAGAAGCAGACGTATTACGACTGGGTCTTGCACTGCAAAGTGAAGTGCAGTGTTCCCCTCGTGTTCTTTTTGATGGACATCGGCTCCCTTGTCAAGCAATAGCTTGACTAGCTCCAACCGTCCCTCTGTGTTGGACGCCTGGAAGCTGTGATCCTGGAAACTCTTGCACAAAGCATGCAATGCAGTAAAGCCCCGATTCTTTTGTTCTTTTGTTTCTTCCATGTAGAACCAATCCCGACCCGAGCCAATGCCACCAAATTCTGGACCGAGATTCTCGCCAAGAATCGCTGGATCAGCCCCGGCTTCGATCAGCGCCACTATGGTGTCGTAGTCCGACGAACGACAGGCGGCAATAAGTGCGGTATCCCCGCGCACCTCAGCATTGACCTGTACGCCTGGATGTTGTAAAATACGGCGTACAAGCTTCACTCGACCGGTGGATGCTGACCACTGCAAGGCTTGTTGGACCACATCAAGATCGTGTAGGAATGGCATGAAAGCATTCAAAGCTTCTAAATGGCCATTTTGACAAGCGTACTATTGCACATGAATTAGCTCGAAGCCAGTGGGAGAATAAATAGACCTCACCATCAATGGCGTATGTCCGACAGATCTATCCGCATTGCCACACCAATTTCCAGGATCTTCTTTGGTCTTCTTTGTAAGAGGGTCTACTCCAGCTTCAAGAAGTACTCTCACGACCTCTGCACGATTTTCGTTTGCTGCTGCGTGAAGAGGTTTGAGACCACGTCGCTCGTCGGGTGAGTCAGTCTCAGCGCCAGCACGTATCAGTTTCATGACGACAGCTGCATGTCCCGATGAGGCCGCAAGATACAGAGCCGTCTTGCTAGACACATCCCTCGAATTTATATCCGCCCCAATGTCAATGAGATGTTGAGCGTAATCGGATAAGCCGTACTTGGCAGCAATGTGTAGCGCAGTGGTGCTATGAACGTTGTCGTCTTGTAACTTCAGCCACGCTTTTCGTCTTGCAGCATTGTCCAGGAAGCTATGAATGAGAGTATTCATAGAAGCTTGAGGGAAATGTGCCAATGCGCATCGAGACACGTGGTTGTACCAATTAGTGGCTGCATACACAAAGAACGGATATCGCAAACGTATCCGCTTTTCCTCTTCAGTGACAGACTTTGTGTGGAAGAAGGAATAGCTTTTGGTCTGCACATCACGATCTTTGGAGACTTTCACACTATCGAGGCAGCCAGACTGCAAGTATGTCAAGCACGCGATAGCAAGACGACCATTGGTTGGGCCGAAACGAAAAATCGGGTAGCCGCCATCACCTTCTTCTCGTGTTTCACATTTCAGATACTCTGTAAAGGAGTGATGACACACACACACACAGTTTCATCCGGTAGTATTTCGAGTAAAGGCCCGGTGGCGGCACGAACGAGGTCTTTTTGCGCCTTCAGGTCACCGTGGCTGTCTGTGCGATATGTTGTGTTGAGCAATTCCGCAAGTTCCAGAAGCCGTAGTGGACGCGTAGCGTGTGTCACCCATTGAAGAATGAGCATCTGGATCTGCTCTGGGACACCCGATCTTGTCGCGTGTTCACGTAACAAACTTGTGTACATGCCGTGCAGATCGAGCGGTAGTGCTTTGAGCACATCGTCGATGCATGCTCCTGGCTCAAGGAAACCATCGAGGGCAAGTTTCGCGTACAAGAAAAGCCCATTAGAACGGCCCGGTATTGCATCTCGAATCAGGGTCTGGTCGCTAGAGTTTATCTTTGTTGAACTCAACCTATGATTGACGTATGTGTCGATGTCTATGTCAATGTCTCTTTCGAGTAGGCGTATGCTCAGCAGCTTTGAGTTCCTCAGGGCTGTTTCCACGGCTGATACTGGTCGACTTGTGATCAGAACCTTTGCTTGACGAGGTTTCCACTGACCAAATGCTGCCAGAGACAAGAGGAAATCATCATGACCATGATCCATTTCATCAAGAGCATCCACGACACAGAACACTTTCCCAGCAAGGCAATTGATTGCAAGCTTAAGATTGGACCAGTGGTCCTCCATTGTAATACTGTGGATGGAGCGGCCCGCTTCAATTAATTCCTTCAGCCGTTTTTGCAGTGGCGGGCTGGATACCAAGATCTGGTCTAACCAATCGCGGAGCAAGGCAACGGGCTCGTGATTTGCATCAATGATTTGGCGGAAGTAGAAGTATAGCACGTGAGTGCCTGGTTCGGACTGGGCCAGTGCATCTACCAGATGTGCAGCGAGTACCGACTTTCCTGACCCCGGTATACCTTTGATCCATAGAAGCCCGTCATTCGTGCTTTGGTGCCAGTTGAGGTAAGTATGGCTCGATGTAAGCCATGCCCCTGTTCCAGGTAGGTGAGACGCAAGATGCTTGCGAAATTCTCCGCTGTCGAGTTCGTAGTCTGTAGGTTTTAGCCATGAGTGTATTTTCCGGATCTCCTCTGGTGATTGGGGGAGGACATTTTCCGGGTTATAATCGCTGATGTCGTCTCGGTGTATGACGATGGCATCGTCACTGGAGTTACTTAGAGACCGTGTCATGGTACTTGGCGGTGCTCAGACTGAGCGAGTGGAGAAGAGGGGAAAACACGAGAATGCGTCGCTTTTGATGGATTTAGGCACCCAATGGCTGGGTGCCTAATCAGGGTGAGTGAGCGCATGATTTCCCATTGGAAAGCATCGATCGGAACTGACACAAATTATTTTGTAGCTGACGACAACATGCTGAGACATATATACATGTGTTTCTGTTGTGGTAACACGTCTTTGCTGAAGTGCCGAAGGAATGGTCACGTGAGTGCACCACCAATGACTAACCAACTCGAGTTAGCGCGGCTGACCCCTGCTGCTCGACATTTCGATTCAATTCCCACGTTTCTCTGTCTGTACAACGATCCGCAGCCACGGTTCTTGCATCATATCTCGCCTTATGGTATTGCCACGAGGGACTAGAGAACTGACCCTGGAGTTTGGGGTCGCGCCCGCTGTCCGGCACCTGAGACTCTTGCCGACATTGGCTCGCGGACTTTTGAGGAACAGCGCTAGTACATATACCGGTATTACTCCACTAGCCACCTAGAAAGCAATGGATCCACGACTCTCCCACAGCTACTCGTCAGTCGGCAGATGCATCAAGACACTAAGCAACTACTCAATCGCATGGGGAACATCTGTGAGCTGAATGTAAAATTCGTCCATGAACACTATTTTGTGCTTGCATAAATTCAGTTGCCACCTTTGGGAAAGAGTTTGAATCATGTTGGCGTTATTTCAAAAGCGTTGGCGAATTCAGCAACCATGCTGAGGTGCGAGGCCGCCCGATGGAGAACCCATGGCAAATTGGCCGTGGTGGGCTGTCCTCATTCATGTTCTACCACGCTCTAATGTATATCTTGATATATGGAGCCCAAGGTTGGGAGACGTCGGAGCCTGCGGCAGCCGATAGATTTACAATTCGCACTCTCGAGATTGACTTCGTCGACCTAAATGATCGAGCCTGCTTGCACCGGAACTTAGCTGTCCGAACACCTTAATACCTCGTTACCGGGGGTTGGGGAAGGCCTACGACGAACTGAGGAGCTGGCGAGATGTCTTTGTTGAAGTAAAGGTTCGCTACTCGTCCACACAAATATACAATCCGGCAAAGGCGTTTTGACAAAGTCGGTCGCATTACGTTCAAAGCTAATGGCACCATGATGGTGGACGTCAATGCCGGCCAGATCCTTATTGACTATGACTTCAGCGAATCCTTGCCCGTCTCCCATCAGTGAAAGGCTGGATCGCTGGGTAGCCTGGAAAGAACGTGCTCTTTGGCGTCGGAAAACAAGGGGATTAGTCGTTTTCGACCCCAGATCTGGCTGGTGGCCAGAAGGAGCAGCTCACTGCGCTCGACGAGGATGTACATATTTTGGGACCCAAGCGCGCGATAAGCGATCAAGCAGATTTCACCATAGTATCGCCGGATTTTTTTTCCTTCAAGAACAAGATACATGCTACGATACATCAAACTCTAATTATTTAGCTTCCGCCACATACGGAGTTTCGTATGGTCGTTCCGCCTGGGGGGTTATTCTTGCAAGATGACGACGCTCCCCTGTTACCCAGTCGACAATCGCAGAGTGTGAAGTGACCCTATTATCCCATACTACCACGGTCTTCGGTGCCCAGCGCACGCGTGCCTGGTAATCTATACCGCGACCGATGTGGTCTACAAGGAACTTGAGCAGGTACTCGCTTTCTTCCTTCTTCAGCCCATCAATAGAGCGAGTAACTACAGCCGGTCAGTTTAAACAGATAGTTAATAGGAGATTATCACTTACATCCACCGTTCACAAACAGTGCTTTCTCTCCAGTGGCAGGATGTGTCCTTACGAGGGGATGAGAGTGTTTGACAGGCTCCCGTCGAACAACACCACCACGACTCCTGCTGAACTCAGCCTGTTCGAAACCAGAGTGTAACGCCGTAAGCCCATGGAGGCGCTCTTTGAGGGCTGGTGAAAGGCGATTGTATGCTTCGACATGATTGACGAAAGCAGTGTCACCACCGACCTCCGGCGTATCGAGGATGATAAGAAATGTTGTTCCCGGAGGCTGTTCCTCATACGTTACATCTGAGTGCCATGCGACACTGCTGTTTCGGTTTGCGAGGAAGCTTTCGAACTCGCCATTGCCGCCATTGCGATATACAAGGTGGATCTCTGGGTAACCCTCGGGCGCACCGCTGGTCTGAAATCACATCAAGGTTAGAACACATCTTAACCGATTACAACAGTATACTCACAGGATGGATGTGGTGCCTTCCGAAGTATGCACCAAAGTCCAAAGCCTGCTGAATGGGAAGATCTGCGAGGTCCTGGTCTCTAAATGCTACGACCTTTCGCTGAGCGACGAGAAGCGCAAGTTGGTCTTTACCAGCGTTGCTAAGCTTACTCAACTGTACACCGGTCACTTCGGACCCAGTTGAGGGAGTCAAATGTTGGAGCTTTGACCCTTCAACAAGGAGGTCCTTGAAGCTGGGGTCAGCGTCTTTGCCATGCTCAGTATGGTTGAACGGCTCCCAAGGCGGGTATCTTTCACCGTGGTCCCACACTGGCAAATAGTGTGGGTACTTTGAAATGTTAGTTGAGGCCAACGAACATGCTTCTCGAAGCTTACAGTCGCAGTAGTAGTGCCGCCCTCTTCATCAATGACGCGGCGGACTTTGGGTTTTTCTTTGACACCTGGCTCGGTCTCCTCGACTAGCTGTTTTGGCTGCACAGATTTTGCTTGCTCGACAGTCGTATCTCGGTCTACTGGCTTATCTTGCTCGATGGGAGAGTCTGCCCGAAGGGCGATATGTTCGGTAGGTTTTTCAGTGGCAATGGATGCTGGTAGAGCAGCCTCAACCTGGCTCACGATTTCGGTCGTCATGTTGTCGAGAAAGGATGCTTCGCATCGACCTGACCTCAAGGAGTCGACTTTTATATAGGAATTCACTCCCCGACTGGTTCAAGTCACCAGACAAACACTCACTGCAGACCCGATGCCGCTATTAACGGCAGTCGGACACAACGCTTTCCGAATGGCCTCGGATATGGGCGTGCGCACCTCTGAGTGGACACGGATACAGGTATATGAACGTCTGACATGCCTAGCGATGTATCTATCTTCAAGCGCGACTGTAAACAAATGACATTCGTTGCAGGTGTACGGTGTTGTTGCGCAAGGGCCAGCATTCGATTCGCAATATCGCGTATTTCGAGGGGCTAATGACGACGACCCTGCGCGTACTGAGGCTAACGCAACGACACAATCGGATGTGCGCCCTGCGCTTACCATCCAAGTGATGAAAAATACATCAAAAGCGCTGGAAGAATCCACCATGATCATGTTGTCCAAATCTTTGCGTCGGAATGTGCAAGAAGACACAACGCAGTTTCTCCCGTCGACTAGAAGACGCACCATGTACCCTGAATCAAGACGTCCGGTATCGCATGGAGAATCTTAGTGAAGTATCTCTTGATCCCTATCGCGATCGCATAATTGAGTCTAAAACGACGTGATACAACGACTTCAGCTACGCGAGGGATGTTTCTAAGGCTTGATTTGCCTCGATGAAACCCGCGGAACACTAAGCTAGACCATTGGCGCCTGAGGCGTCGAAGCTCGATCATGAAGGCTGCTGAAAGCTTACCATCGCCGAGGAAGGCCCGGCGAAGCTTGCGGTACAGCCTTGGGCTACTCAATTCCGCCTCCTAATCAAGCAATTCCTCCTGAGCTTTGCGTGGCCGAGTGCGCTCTGGAAGCACGCCCCATACCTGATTCCCTCAGTACCGACCCGCCTGTGGACGCAATAAGCCACATTCGTTATCCTAGTGGTACATGTGGTGAGATGCACCGACTGCCGCCCAGAAAATGATATGATCACGTAGATGATTGTGTAATTGAGCGATCTCGCGATACACATATATAGCTCAGAAATCATCATGATCTCAACTGCCTCATCCAAAAAAAAACTTGGCTGTTTGAACCGCCATGACGAGCGTTTCGGTCGAGGACGCACTCCCAACTGCTGCTCAGGCGGACACTGTGTCCATTCAATCCATAGAGAAAACGAATGACAAACCACCACAGGGCATCTCCAAGGACGCAGAACTCGTCACTGCAAGGGGCAATATCATCTCTAAAGATGGAGTTGTCTATTCGTCCAACGAATCCGACGATAGTCTATCTGGAAACATATTTGCGGACCTTGAAGTCGCTGCGTACTACAAAGACCTATATGAGAAATCCAAGTACGAATGTAGGCATGTCTTCGACCCCAAGGCCACCTGGACCGATGAGGAGGAGAAGAAGGTCATTCGGAAGCTCGACTTGCGCGTTTGCTTCTGGGCATGCACGATGTTCTTTAGTCTTCAAGTTGATCGCGGCAACTTGGTCCAAGCTGTGTCTGGCACTTTCCTGAAAGATCTGAAGCTGACTACAAACGGTGTGTTCCTACCAACTCTTGATTGACCTACGAGTATGAAGCTAATTATATCACAGACTACAACTGGGGAAACACAGTTTTTCTATTCTCCTTCTTGCTCGCCGAGCTGCCCTCTCAGCTTGTCTCGAAGAAGATAGGCCCTGATCGATGGATACCGACCCAAATGGTAAGCAATGCCAGCCATATATTGTAGTTGAAGAATCCGTGCTGAGTTTTACTAGGTGCTATGGTCGATCGTTGCCATGAGCCAAGCAGCTTTAACTGGCAGAGCTAGTTTTCTGGCTACCCGTGCTCTGCTCGCCATCCTCGAGGGCGGCTTTATCCCTGATCTTGTCCTGTGGCTATCTTATTTTTATACCGGTCGCGAACTACCGATTCGTCTTAGCTTCTTCTGGACCGCATTGAGTATCACTACAATCGTTACATCCCTGCTTGCCTTCGCGATTTTCCATCTGGAAGGCGTCCATGGTCTGGCGGGTTGGCGATGGCTTTTTCTGCTCGAGGGACTCATCACGCTACTCATCGGAATCGCATCATTCTTCCTTATGCCTGCATCGGCTGTGCAAACAAAGACGTGGTACAGGCCCAATGGTTGGTTCACCGACCGCGAGCTCACCATCGTCGTCAACCGTGTGCTCCGCGACGACCCTCGCAAAGGCGACATGCATAACCGTCAAGCCATCACCCCCAAGAGGCTCTGGAACTCGATGAAAGACTACGATCTCTGGCCGTTGTACATCGTGGGCCTCATATGCTTCATTCCCCAGAGTCCAGTCGCTTACTATCAAACACTTGTTCTGCGCTCACTCGGCTTCAGCACCCTCAACGTCCAGCTTCTCGTCATTCCTTCGGCTGTTCTTCATATAATCACACTTCTCAGCATCACATGGATAAGCGAGAAGCTCAACCAACGTGCCCTCGTGGCCGTTTGGCAGAACCTGTGGACATTACCTTGCGTCATCGCGCTTTATGCCTGGCCCGACCTCATCAAGAATTCCTGGGGCACATATGCCTTGATCACGGTCCTCCTCAGCTATCCTTACTGCCACGCCATCAACGTCGCATGGGTCTCGACCAACTCAAACAACGTCGGTTCGCGCTCAGTTTCTGCAGCGTTGTACAACATGATGGTGCAATGCGGAGGGATCATCGGCTCAAACATCTATCGCGAGGACGACAAGCCCGTTTACAGGCGTGGAAACCGTAATCTTGTCATCATCAACATTGTCTCAATATTATGGTTCCTGTTTACCAAGGCATACTATGTTTGGAAAAACAAAACTCGTGATCGTAAATGGAAGGCCATGTCGCATGAGGTAGGATATCAACTAGTCCTGATCTTGAGGAAGAGGCTTGCAAACTGACCAAATCTAGGAACGCATCAACTACATTCAGACGACGACCGATACCGCGAGCAGGCGCTTAGACTTTAGGTTTGTGCATTGAGATGACACTCGACGTTGCTTGGAGCTTTTTCCAATAGCATTGAGCGTCAAAACATACTCTCAAAAGAACAATGACGTCTCCCATCGTGCTTGAAACAACATTGCGCCCGTATCGCATGTCGATTTTGGTCTCCTGCTCATGGGTCTGCAGCAATCATACACGAGGATCTGTCCCTGATGACTACGTACAAATGGACAACATGCAGCCCGAGAAATATCAAGTCGTCTAGTTTAACTACAATGAACTTATCATCGCATTACTTTTATTGGCATCAGTACGCATAGAATCGGAATGCTAGTGTATATATCGGATCTGATATAGTGGTCTTAGTTCTAACGTGACTTCTTTCACCCCGGTGGCATAGAAAATTTTGACCATAACCCGCCACCAACCCCTTGGACGGATAATAGCGTCCATCAAGAATCTCGGTAAGTACGTGGAAATCCCCCGCGCGGTATCCTGGTCATCACTAATGGTCTGAAGTCTCTGCATTAACTCTTTGTGCACAGAAGCGCGATGTACAAGCTCGTATTGCTGATTGCACTGAACCTGAGGCTGGCGACGTTTGTCGGCGCTGCTTCTTTAGGGACCGTTCACTAGCCTTGATGACCGTGCTCTGAACGGCGTGGCCACATCTACCCGAACTACACGGCCAAATGGACAAGTACGTTGATGCTATCGGAGCTTTTACGAGCCCGGAACATGACATACTGCGATTTGGAACCGCGTCCTCGCAATTCATGTGGGAGACGTGCGCGGTACTGCAAGGTCTAGTCTTGGATTCCATGATGGAGCCGATACAGGTAACCACCGCCTGATATCCAGACACGAAGCACTAAATCAACTGGCGACCTTAGTGGCACATGAGGTACGTAACCTAGCAGAAGCGCTATCAACCTGTTATGGCACCCACTTATTCTCACTGGATAGCTTGGACATATCTTTGGGCTTTACCATGAATACCAGCGAAACGATCGCAGGTGCTTCATAAGAATGCCGACCGCGGATTCCAGTGCCAAAAATGTGTCCCGGTGGCCAGCACATTACATTCACTTGCGATCTACTCTACGGCTATAAGAGCGCTTCGAACCAGGCGCAATCAAACAGCCCTAATACTCTCCGACAACAACTCGGGCAGAGGTTATGCCAAGAGTTCTACTTTGGAACCCTTTATGGCTTTGTTGGAGCATCTTATCTGAACTAGCCCCCACCACAGGGAGTGCTTACCGGCTACTATGTGTATTCGATCATGCAATACGACAGCAAAAGCGCCTCGGACGACGATTGCAGTGCTCTCACTCCCCATCGATGCCCAATCCGGCATAAAAATGGGGTTCGGCCACGAGCATCAACGAGACGACCGTAAGTACAATGTAAGTACCGCACTTCGTGGCACCTTCTAACATCCTCGCAAGGCGACAAGCACATTCTCTTCAACTGTGATAAGGTATCAGGCTACCAGCAAAGCTTAGACAAGCTCATGAGTGCAGACCGGCCTCCCCCTCAACAACTGGCGCATAATCTTTTGTGCAACGACTGGAGGACTGCGCTTTCCGTCGGTTCTACTATATACGATTTCGTCTACGGGCCCACGCAGAAGATGTTCGGCTCCTTCGACAAAGATTCCATTATGCACTACGGCAGCGAAGGGTTCTCGGACAAAACACTATGCACGCCGTCCACGCCCTGTGGGTGCCCTATCACCACAATCGATGGGGAGTACATTTGGCCCAAAAGCAGAGTGTCTGCGGGAGATGCGGAAGCTGCACGGGAGATATATCCTTGGCCAGGACCAGCACTCCCACAACCGAAGCGGGGTAAGTGATCAATGTCTTGAGAGGAAGGCATAGCGCTAACAAGTTTGAGGCATCAATTACCGCGCATGAGGTTCAATACCCGTTGTGTGAGTAATTTTCTGTCAGTGTTGAGACAGGCACCAATTGGTGAAGGACTGGATATCTGGCTGCGCAAAACTGCGACTGAGATAGATGCACGGTTAGGGGCAACACGTACTTGTCAGCCATAAGAGAACTTGCATCTTTCACCATACTCTCTTGTAATTTGTAAGAACAAAAGTCTCAATGCCGTCCCAGCACTCGCGAGATGCTTTCGTGTTACGAGGGGATGGACTTGCATTTGGTTTCATACTAGCCCTTACTCCCGACCTAACCACACGACACCTTCGCAGCCCCAATCGTCTACGTCTAATCCCTTCATCCGCGCGAACGCATTTCTATTCGGCTTTAGTTGTAGCGCCGGCACTCGCTATCATGCCTCAGACTCCCCTGCACATACATTATGTCCGCATCCTGACAAGTCGCACCTCGCCAGCGTTTGACCCTCTCCACATCCAACTGAGAGATCAGAGCGAATGTCACCATACAGCCACGCACTCTTCACTCCAGCGAACTGTCTTGCCACAAAGTTCGTAGCCGTGAACAACCTCACTTCGACACATTAGTACTACCGTTTCCGAGCCTCCCCGTCCCCTCTCTAATGCCAACCGATTGCCCCAAAATCCACACCAACTTCCCACTCATACGTGCTCCTTCCGCCCTTCCCTCGCGACCATTCACTCACTCATCACACTGAATATCTTTCCTCTGGCGCTCCTTCCCAAGATGGCATCTATTATCGCGTCTGTCTTCCGACAAAACTCCTCGCTTATTCCCATCGCGTACTCTCCCGAAAACCAACTCATCCTGACGGCAGAGCCCTGACCCATAGTGACCGCAAAACCCCTCACGCATGCTGACCGTCGATTCTCCCACAAGTCTCATCCGATGCCGGAGCACCCTATCCATGCCCTCGCCGTCTCCAGCCCACCGACAACCCCAAGCCAGGTCCGCTGTCACCTGCTCCGAACCCCCTCGAGCACGCCCCGCCATCGCGTCCTTGTTAGACCAGTTTCGTCTTCCTCTCCAAATCTCGAATCACACCTGCTCCCCACAATCGGCGACATTACCACATTGATCGGAACAGCGCGGGTGCGGAGAGGTATGTCAGGTCAGAAAATTGAAGTTTAGTATTGATGCGCTGGATGTGTCGCCGACGCCGTCTATGCTACGCGATGCTACGCTGATGTTGTGTACAAGTGCTATGCCTGAAGAATGCACACGAGAAATCCCAATGTACGCGATGCATACTTGGTACGCTACCGGACGCCCGGTACGCCAAAACGACAACTCATCGAGGTGTCATTCTACTGCCCCTTCCCAAAGCTCTTCTGCCTCTGCGCGTACTCTTTGATAATAACCGAGCAATTCACCTCCTGGCACAGCCTCTTCCGCCTCGCGGGCTCGAGCTTCTTGGCAAACTCCAGCCCGCTCGCGCGCTCCACCACCTCGACGGGGACCTCGAAGTCCGTCAGCGGCTTGGTATTTGGGATGACGGCATTCGGCAGCACGAAGGCGCCCAGCGCTACATTTCCGCCCAGCCTTCCGTCCTCGGCGAAAATGACTTTGTAGAAATGCGTCGGCACGGCGACGTTCGGTGGTGACCCGATGACTTCGTACGACACGCGCCACTTCCCGTCGGCCTCCTTCTTCGGCAAGTAAAGCGGGCCGGTCACAATCCTCACGCTGGGGTAGCTCTTGGTCAGCCTTCGGCAGAAATCCTCAAAATGCGCCCAGTAATCCCGATTGAACCCGTCGCCGACCTGCGGACACATGTTGCTCAGCGCAAACGTATCGTCCATGGCGGTCTGGCTCCACTTGGCGTCGGCCGCGGGGACCTGGTGGCCGCGGTCGTACCCGCTGCGGAAGTAGTCCTTGAGCTTGGCGCGGAACATGTCCGGGATGGCGACATCCTCGACGAAGACGGAGTGCTTGCGGTCGGCGTGGTTGTTGGCGAGGGACTCGGGCGTGATGTGCTCGGCGACCCAGTGCGGGTTGCGCGTGCGGCGGTCGAAGGAGGAGGTGAGGGAGGCGGCGGGGCGGAGGTCGTTGACGGGGCCGGGGAAGCCGTACTGGAAGATGCCGCTGGGGTCGACCTGGGCGCGGTTAGCACTGCATGGTGGCGTGCATGCGGGGGACTTGCGAGAGCCTTCTGGACCGGGGCATGGGGATGCTGGGCCACGGGCAACGGAGGCGGCGGAGGCGCTCGCTGCATGCCCGCGCCAGTGGTCGTCGTGGTGGTTGTGACGACGGTCGCGGGCGCTTCCTTCCTCGTCGACCAGAGCGCCGCGGTGGCTGCTGCGCCCGTGGCGGCTCCGGCGGCGGCCACGATGGCGAAGGTGACTTTGGACATGGTGGTGAGGCTCTAGCCTGTGCTCTGGGGTGCTTCGGCGCCGTTCGCAAGCGGACGGGCGGGGGCAGTCGTCTTAAGAGCTGCCACAGTGATCAGCCGGCCGAGCGGCGCGTGGACAGTGTTTCAGACGCGTCGAGTTCGCCGTGTTTGGTTTGCTGGCGCCTATCCAGCTGGTCATCTGTCGTTCTCGTGGAGAAGTTTAGGGCTAGCGCCGCGCTTGCTGGTTGCGTCCTAGCGTCCGTTGGAACTTTCGACGTCTGGGGCTCACCACCATGAAGTCACCATCGCCGACGAGTCATTGCAGCCCGTCATCTGCGCCTGTCCGGACATACACATGCACATGGCGTCTCTATAGAGCATCTGAATTGAGCTGAGCATACAAACGAGTGCGCAGAGATGTCTTCGTGGATATCTCGGGCCACCGAGAGCCACAAGGCGCAGTTGGTGACCACAGCCGTGGTGTCGGGAGTGGTGGTTGGGAGTGCGATTCTGGGTCTCCAGAAAGCACGGCGCATGTACAAAGTCGAGACTCTAAAGGCTTCAATACCAGACATTGATGGCGAGCATCACGCGTCCAGGGTAAGCAGCTCACATGACCATTCCAAGCCCGTTCGGGCAATCTGAATGAAGGACCGATCTATGCGTGCAATGCAGGCTAACAATCCATTGCCCAGTTGACCGAGTATGGCGCTGCATCGAGCATCCACGCCCCAAGCAAAGAAGACAAGCGGAGCACCGAGCTCGCAGCAAGAGCACGGAAAGGAGACTACGACGATGGTTGGTCCGCCCCTTCTTCCACACGTCCCCTTCTAACATCCCCAGACCTCATCCTCGAGCAGCTCGCCCGAAACCGCGTGTTCCTCACCGACGCCGGCCTCGCCAAGCTCCGCTCCGCCTTCATCATCGTAGTGGGCTGCGGCGGCGTCGGCTCCCACGCAACCGCCGCCCTCGCCCGCTCCGGCTGCTCCAACCTCCGCCTCATCGACTTCGACCAGGTAACCCTCTCCTCGCTCAACCGCCACGCCGTCGCGACCCTGGCCGACGTCGGCACTCCCAAGGTTCACTGTCTCCGCCGCCGCCTCGAGCAAATCACCCCCTGGACGCACTTCGACTGCCGCAACGAGCTGTTCGGGGAAGCCTCCGCGGCGACGCAACTCGCGCCCGACGCCGAGGGCCAGGCACCCACCTTCGTCATCGATGCTATCGACAACATCGAGAGCAAAGTCGCACTGCTGGCGTACTGCCACAAGAACGGGCTCCCCGTCATCTCCTCCATGGGCGCGGGGTGCAAGTCCGACCCCACGCGCCTCTTCATCGGCGACATCTCCGCCTCAACCGACGACCCCTTGTCCAAGTCCACGCGGCGCCGGCTCCGCGCGCTCGGCGTGAAAGACGGCATTCCCGTCGTCTTCTCCACGGAGCGGCCCGGCCCCGGAAAGGCACAGCTGCTCCCGCTCTCGGACGATGAGTTCAAAAAGGGCGACGTAGGGGAGCTCGGCGTGCTGCCCGATTTCCGCGTGCGCATCTTACCGGTTCTGGGCACTATGCCTGCTATCTTCGGGCTCGCGGTGGCGAACCACGTCATCTGCGCTATCTCGGGGTATCCGCAGGAGTACCTCCCGTCCAAGAACAGGGACAGCATGTACGACGGCATCCTCGGCGCTTTGCAAGGCTCGGAAGGCCGGATCGCGAAGGACCTCGGGTTCAACCAGGAGGGTCTGCGCATCGCCATCACCAAGGATGACGTCGGGTACCTCATCGAAGAGGTGTACAACGGGCGCAGTGTTGTCAGTGGGCTGTCGACGAGGTTGGCATTGGTCAGGTGGAAGAAGCCTGACAAGGAGAGCTTCATTGATCGGAGGACGCCCGGGCAGAACAATACGTATCTGGGAATGAATGAGGTCGTGTGCATGACGAAGGAGGAGGCGGCGAAGCATGAGAAGGAAGTGCTGAGGGGTGGGAAGGAGCCGGGGGAGGTGTGGGATGGGAAGGTTGTGGAGAGGGTGAGGGGGAAGATGGAGGAGGAGGGGAGGTATGAGAGGTTTAGATAGGGTGGGGTGATGTACGGGCGGTTGAGTATATTGTGTACGCTTTCGCTGATGTAAATGTTCCTCTCCGCGTTATTCACAACAATAGGCGACCCGGTTGCGGTCATCGGTGACAACTGTCGTCATCACCAGGAGTCTTCCGTGTATATGCAGGTGCTGCATCCGCAGCACCCGATCCCACCACATGCCTCCTTTTGCCAGGCTTCTCAGTCTCTGTCCCCTCACGCCCCATGCAGCCATTTTGTGTCCGTTTTAGTCCCCGTCTCCGCCCGCACACCATGGTATAGTTCAAACGCCATTTGTGGAAGCCCATACTGGGGCTTGTCGCATTCTTCTCCACCCCATCGTCGGGAATTCCACAAATTTGTAGCCAAACTGCCTGTGCGAAGTAGTGTGAAGAGAGTCTGTTGGGAGTTCCGGCAGGTTTTATACCAGATCCTGTCCCTCAACGCCCTGTGTTGAAGATGGCCATCATCACCTGCGTCCTGTCAAGGCCACTCTGGCATCTGTAGAATTTCCACTCATCATGGCGTTCGCTTTCTTCCAGTTTGGTTCTCTTCTCCCGCACACCGTGGAGTGGTGCGAAATGCACTTGGTGAAGCACATAGCACGTTCGCGGGCCGATTCCTGGGCCGCATCGGTTGCGAGTGCGGCTGTTTCTGGTCGATTCGCTCACAAGCAGGAATGTGAGGAGAATCTGTAAGGAAACAAGGCAGGTTCCGTGCTTTCTCCCCGTCCCGGCTGGACTCCTTGTTATGATGTGAACTTGGCCGCCATCCGCAGTGCCCTATCAAGGCCGTTCTTGCATCCGTAGAAGTCCTTCGCGCGCTTGAAGTCACCGGCGTGAGTACTTGGTTCCCGTCCGCCGAGCGCACCATGCAGCTACCAGCTCCATGCTTTCTAGCGCAGCACATGGATCAGCGCCCTATTGCGTTTTAGACCCCATGCGTTTCGTCAAACTAGTTTTTAGGTCCTTCTTCCAGCGCATTGGTAGTGTGATTAGATTGCCCAGAGACTCAAGGGAAGTTTTATACCTGTCCACCTCCCAAGTTGGAGATATCGGGGTTGGAGTTGGTGACATTCATCGCTACCTGAACGGAGGGCAGTCCAACGCACAGCCCTTCACAATCCACCACAGGATGTTATGCCGCAACCTTTTGACTACCGCACCCGGTGGGCACTCCATTCACTGTGGCGTTGATCGCTCTTGGCACAGAACATAGCCTGTCTCGCCGAACGCTTGCAAAACTCATACTTGCCTGATTCTGCCTGTTTGTTCACAGGGGACGAGGGTGCAGCAGTTCGAAGAGAAGTAGAGAACAGTTTGGGATATTATATATTTCTTTCCATCCTAAATCTAAAAGACATGTTTCGGAGTTGGTGATGGGCGTCGCCACTGGCGCTTGCACAGCGTCTTACGGCGGATGCAACTGCATCACTCGATCTTTCAAACTGGCTCTCCAGCAGCGCATCATCCACCATGGTGTCGATCCCTTTGGGCACAGCACATAGGTTCTTTGTTCGTCACTTTTAGACCACATATGTTGCCAGACATTGTTGTTGTAGTCAGCCCGCTGATGAGCGAGCAGTGGTGTAAACAGAGTTGGTAGGAGTAGGAAAGAGGGAAGAGGGAAGCTTTATACTTCTCTCCATCTCTGATCGGGGAAATGTGGGTTAGCGTTGATGGGGAGCATCACCACCTGAACGGAGGTTAATTCTCGGCACAGCACCTCGCAGCACATAGATTTTTCCATCCTCAGCCCCCCGCCAAGCACTCTATTCACCATGTGTGGATCCCGGAGTCGCTGGAGAACAAGCATGAGGTCGCTCGTGTGAGTGCCTGTAGGCGCCCGCGAGGGTGAGGGAGGTTGGGGAGATCTACGTACAGGCGTGCAGAAAACACTTTAATGTCCATCCCTACGTAACGGGACACCTTGTGTGGCGTGACACTTTTCGTTCGGGACCTTCGGAGTCCTCGCACACTACAATACAACGCCAAACTCGACGGGAATCGATTCTGCAGCTGTTCTTCAGTAATTTTGGTACACTCCGACCAGGCAGAATGCAGTGTCAGTCTAGCTATCGTTCGTTCTGTCCATGGCATGTATCAACCCTCTCCAAGTATCCCCCCGTTTGTTTGCAACAGCGGATCCCAGTGGGCTATTCGGGGGAGTAGGAATGAAGCTCAGTTCTTGAACATGAAGATTGCAGGCTCTAAAGGTCAAATTAGGGTGAGGAATATGCATTCCGGCAGTTTCTCCGCACGCACGGCAAGATCGTTGAAACTCGTCTGATAGAGCCTGGTGTTTTAGCCTCTCTTGGCATGCAGTAGCTTGCAGTAGCGTGCTCAGATATCTGCGTATTGTATCATAACGAACTCGGCGCTATGCCTACAGCAGGCCGCCTGCAAAGAATAGCTGTGTGGCTCATGCTGGCGGCTTTCTGGAAGTGCCTCCAATCAAAACGCTCAGCCTCATTACCTTTAGTGTCCAGCCTTCTGTTTCTTAGCCGGAAGGAAGGATAAAACATCCCCACCCAAGATGTGCGTTCTTTGAGGATTGAAACATGATATTGATCAGGACTGTAAAACACTTAGGCGACCGAATAATGATATGAGTGACTCATCTAACTCTCACCGGAGTCCTTTAAGAATCCCCGTACTAGCCCAGAAAGTCGATATGCAAATTCCCGCGACAGTCACCGGAACTGATGCACCCTGAAGATCACCCGGATGATTCCTTTGCCACCACACCCAAAGGCCCACAGTGATTCCGAGGATAGCGAAGTGAATCGAAAAGACATAGAACGACGACACCACATATCTTGCATGGATGCCCCAAACGTAATTTCCGTCATCGCTGGCACTATGAATCATGAACTCAGAATCCCGCTTAGGTAAGGCATCTACAAGGCGTGTGGCATTATCTTCGGGGCAAGCGCAGTCGTGGATTCCGAGTAATGTAGGGAAAGAGCCGAGCCAGCACGGCGTGATACATGATTTAACTATTTCTTCGAACTCGTGTCTTGATATCCATGGATCCTTCGCTGTTATCTCTGGTGGACGGGGAGAGTATTCGTAATCGAATGTCATAGGGAGGTCGATCCCTCGGTCAACGAGTCGCCCTGGTCGTATCTTCTGAAGCTGATCACCCTGATAAGCTTTAGCTTTCTTTGCTTTTCAGTGTCTTACCTTAACAAATTCCCAATAGCTAAGCCGCCAGTACGAAAACCACAATCGAAGGCGTCCTCTTAGTATGTAATGTCTCTGCTTGAGCTTTTGTTGGAACGAACGATCAGTGGACAATCCTTCATCTCCAACTTGATCCCACACGAGCGCGCTTCGCGATCCTTCTACCTTGAAGATGAGCCACAATGGCTTCTTTTGCTGATAGCTATTCTGGTTGGGTGCTGACGAGGCTCCACTAGAAGTTTGAGCCTGAGTAGGACGGTTGCTCAACAGCGGAGTAGAATTGCTATTCGTAGGAGGCGAGTAAGTAGCAGTAGGAGCAGCCATGTTGACGCTTTGCAGCTGAGCCTTTGGTGATGACGTAGGCTTTAGCTGTGGGTTGGTCCGCACTGTTGGCGAGCAGTGTGAAGTGCACAAAAGCGGTCGTTGAGATGTTCCCGAAGTCTTTTCTAAGATGTCTGCAAGGATATCTTTTTGTGCAAGCTTCAAAGTGCGCCAGCGAGCTGTTCCACAAAGCTTTTGGAATTAGCACAAAGTAACCCATATTTCAGGATACTTACACATCGCCAAAACACTCGTGTTTCTCCCTCACTTAGTGGACGCATCCGAGGTGGTAGTGGCCACCAGTTCCATTCCAGGTCAGTAAAATCCTCTAGCAGCCCTTGGAATGCGTTCAATACACTATAGCTTCTCTGTGAATCGTATGTAATGCGCTCCCTAGGTATCGGCAAGATATCCCTAAGGAGGCCATCAGGTAGAAGGAACTCGTTCAGTCTGGTTACCATATCTCGAAAAGGCTCGCCTCCAACGAGGTGTTGTGTAACAAGGTCAAGCCGTGGAAATTGTGCGGTACCTATACTCCAAGGATAGTCTTTCCCATTCTGTTCTCCTTCGCCACTCTCCAATTCATTATGGCTTCTCTCTTCCTCATCGCTCGTATCTTGTTCACCACTCATATCTTCCTCATTCATCCTGAGCCCATCTTTCACCTTCTTGCTAGGGATTGAATCTATTTGTTCACCAATTTCTGACTGTCTTGGAACGTTCTCGAGAACAGGAGTGAAGTTATTTTTGGTCAACCAGGATTCCAGATACGAAAAATTCGTTTTGTCGGGTCTGTGGATATGCCGTAGGTCTTGCTCGGTCCAAGAATTCTGAAGAGAGATGTGCCTATCTGTGATTTTCCTCGCAATTCTTATTCGTGCCTCTTTGGATCGTAGAATTGCCACTAATTCTTGCGCCACTAGTGTCCTGTCTAATCGCTTGAGGTCTTCATGGAAGACCTTGAGGATACGTCGAAAGTTATCCGCGAACCGCTCCTTAGGCATTAACTGAAGTGCTTTCTCGTACACGGGAGCTAACCTAGAATTGGTAGCCAAGATGCTAACGACAGCGTTCTCTATGCCAGTACTCCGTCCAATGCTTGGTGTAGATACCTGAGACTGGTTATCATCTCCCTCAGACACGAGAGACCTGATGTCATCATCAATCTTAGTATGAGCAAGTAATAGAGTATCCATTGTTGATTCCTCGTCACCGGTTTCTGCAATGATGCTCTGGACTCGAGTTTGCCCTGTGAAGATAGAGTCGCCGCCGCCAGCCGTAGTTCCGTCATATATAGAGGCTTCGTCGGATTTCAAAATTGGTCGTCGTTTCTCAATCTGAAGTGATGTACGGTCTCGCTGCTCGATAAGTGCTTGAGAGTTCTCTCTTAGAGGCATCATTATTGCGTTCTGACTGATGCTTTGCGGTTGTGATTTCCCGGTCGTCTCCTTCACCTCTAGAACCTGTATGTTCTCATCTTCGATCTCCTTCCACCGCCCTTGAATTGTGTAAAGCCGAGTAATGCATATCCAAACTCTTCCATTCCCAACACCAACGCCAACTATCTTCCCTGACACGGCTGAGGACAATGGTCGAAATTCCGAGGGTAGCCACACAAGGTTCTGTGAACCACGCCTTATCCACACATCATTTGCACTCAAAGCTAGGCCTAGATCCTGAGGTTCAACAAGGGATAGAAATGGAGGGAAATCTGATGGACCTATGATCCTGATAGGGCCAATGTCCGTGTGGAGATACAAGCCAGAGGTGTCGAACGAGATGTGATCAAGTGATTTAGCGACAGTGAGTGTCTGCAGGTGCGCGCCGCTGCTCACATCCCAGATCTTGACGGTGCTGTCATCTGACGCTGACACTAGCCGCGTTGAGTCGTGCGAGAA